GAGAGTTAGCCTAACGCTAAGCGCTAAGCCCTGCCTAAGGCACTAAGACCCTAGCTTTACTTAGCCTAATTACATACTAATTACATATAGCCTCTTTAGCTCTAACATAAAGCGGACGAGAGCTCGCTAGCCTTTTTTAGAGGTTGCTAGCTCCGCCGATAAAGGCGAGGCCGGGCAATCCCTCGCAGTTCGTCGCAAATCGATACGACTCTACGGCGCGACTCCTCCTTCGGAGTCGTAATCCGCCTAGGCGTACCCTTATATCGTTATCGTAACTACGTTACTTAGGCAACCGTTATACGTAGACGCGGGCTATTCCTTATTTAGTATCGATCTTTCCGGTATCCTACGATAAGAGAGCTTTCTATTAATTACCGACGACGAATAGAAACGGCCCTTAAGCGCGATAACTGCGTCCGTCGTAGAGAACGTAAAGCAGTAGCTTTTTAGCAAAAATTTCTATAGCACCGATTATAATATAAGCGCCTAAACGTTATATTATTCGAGGCGGATTTATAACGCGCGTCTCGCCTATACTATAAGGCCGATACGTTCGACCTCCTCTAAGGAACAATAGCTAAGGAATATCGTAGAGGCGAGGATCGAGACCCTTAGGACACCGCGATAGGGAATAGTAAGATTAACGCTCCTCGCGAGGAATCGCTACTATTAGACGGTCTAGGATCGGCCGGATAGTCCTTATTTATTACCGGCTTAACGCCTATGCCTAAGCTAGAGAGTAAGGCAAGCAATAAGGGTATAGTATAGGGCACTACGGTCGGGAATTACACGGCCGCGCCTAAGCTAGAGGACCTAATAGATAAGGCGGATATAGTATTAGATACTACGGTCGAGAGTCGTACGGCCGCGCTAGAGCTAGAGAATATAACGGATAAGGAAGATGCAATATTAGACAAAACGGTCGAGAATCGTATAGCTACGCCGAAGCCTAAGGATGTAATAAGTAGGGAGGATATAGCCTCGGATACCCCGATCGAGATTCCTATAATCGCGGCTAGGGCTAAGGATATAATAAGTAGAGAGGAGGCAGACGTAGACCCTTCGATCGAGGTTCCTATACTCGCGGCTAAGCTTAAGAATATAGCGAATAGAAAGGATATAGCGCCTAGCGCTACGGTCGAGACACGTACGGCTACGCCTAAGCTAGAGGATATAGAAAACTCGACAAAGGATTCGGTAGGTAAAGAAGATATAATAGCGGATTAGATCGGCGAGCATCGTAGAGAGATAGATAACGCCGCGCTCGACCCGTAATAACCGCGGCTAGAGGAAAACGGTACTAACCTAACGTAGACGCTAGAAGGATTTATAATTCTCGCTATAGTAGAAGGCAATATCCGATAGATCTTTCGTAGGGCGCTATAGCTTATTTCTACCGACGGTAGCTTAAGTACTAGCGAGATTTAGATAGTATTAAGCTATACTGCCGAGAATAGGCACGTACGGCCTTTCCTAATATTTACCGAGGACGGATCCGATATAGAGCTATACTACGCATTAACGGACGCCGGCCGACGACTATTATAACGATACGCACCGTTATTCCTAGGTCGTAGTCGCATTAACGAAACGCTAATAGCAAGCTTAGTACCGTTACCCCCGGCTAATAAGGCAGACGAGTCCGATTAGGAATCGCTCGATATAATAGCTCGGCCGCAATCGTAGGGAACGCCGGATAGTAAGTTTAGTATAGCGTAGCGTTAGACTATCGCTAACCTGTCGATAGTGCTTCCGAATCTAGACTATCTACTCTCCGATATTAGACGGTTTTTATTTCTAAAATATTACGTACCGGCGGTTATCGCGGCGGTTAATCTAGACTACGTTTTCGATAGGAAGTCGTTTATATAGGCGGTTATAGCGCTTACTACGAAGAAGAAATAGTTAACGGAATTAGCGAAGGTATTATTAGGCGAGGGCCGATAGACAGGTCGAGTACTCTATAAGGCTATAGCCGACTATTTTATTAATAACGGCGACCCGCCGCCGCACTATTTAGGTAAATAGGAGTTTGTTTAGAAGGGCAAAGCGTTAGAGGTTAGGATTCCGGAGGCCGAGAAGCTATAGGACGCTATGCCTAGCTTCTTTGCCCTCTACCGTAACGCTACGGCCTACGCGTCTAGTAGCCCGGTTAACGGTGCAGAAAGCGGCCCGACTAATCCTATTAGCGCGTAGCCTCTTTATGCGCCTTCGGCTTTAGAATCGGTACTATCCTTAACAATACCCGCAAACCGACCGGCTTCGCTAAAATTACTATCTTTACTAGCGTATACCCTTCCTAATTTACCGCTATTATAGGTACTAGCCTCTCTAACGTAGGCGCCGAGTAACGGCTTGCTATAAGCGCCCGTACTAGCTCCCCCTAAGCTACTTACTACTCCGATCGAGTCGGTATACGAAGAATACCTAGACCCTTCCTCTAAAGAACTTAAGTTCGAGCGATAGCGGCTCTAAGAGTAGCGCTTGCGCTAGACTTTAATTAATAAGCATCTTCTTCGTACTAACGAGACACTCGAATAAGCGACAATCCGGTAGTACGTAGAATACGAGGACTATAATAAGAAAGTCGATATACTAATCGCCGCTAATCCTATAGAGCGTAATAAGGCTAAAGATACACGCTTTATCTAGGCCGCGAAACTCGTATATAACGTATACGCCGAGGACGTAGACGGTCGACTGCCTAACCTCTTTCGCCTACGCCTATATAAGTAACTCGTCGAATACTATCTAGTAAGGCTTTAGTATTACCTATACTATCTATACCTTACTACGGGCGATTAGCGCTTCTAGATTCTACGCGAATTGCATTAGTATATAGGCAAGCTAGTTACCGATTTTAAAAGCCTACTCTTTATATAACTATACTCCTTCCGAATCGTAAACAACGATTACGCCCGTAAATACTCTATCTTTAGGACCGACCTCTACTCGGACGGTTACGATACGTAGTAGGAGATTTACGCGATACGCTTTAGCGAGTACGTAGCGCTTATAACTACGAGCGAATTAAAGGAGCTTCCTAACCTAGCTAACCTCGATACGAATTTTCTACTAACTATTACTTTCTATTATACGAAGTTGTAGTACCGACTCCTAGCAAACATTACCCGCTTACGCGAGAACTTCCTTAGCTTAAGCACTTATACCGGCGACCTACGATTCTAGCTAGCACTGTCTCTAATCCGTAATAGAGCTATCGGTCTTATAGTACGCGCTATCTTATACTTCCTATAGACGGTCGACCTTGTATAAGAGTAGTTCTACCGCTTCGTCTCGAAGGAACATCGGGATAGTATTATAGTAGGCGGTTACCTAGTCCTATATAAGCGTAGCAAGAACGGTAAGGATGTATCCTACCGCGACTATAGTAAGGAATACTAGAAGACAAGTAAGCGACCTATTAGCGAACACGTCGGAGCGACAAAGTATTATAAGATCGACCTAACTACCTATAGCGAAGTCTAGTTCTTATAGATAGTAGCTACCGAACGACTCTCTATAGTGCGCCTACCTCTACTAGACTCCTAGCTTAAGGATTACACTATTTAGCTACTACTAATCGGTATAGAGCTTAGTGCCTAGTCGGCTATATAGCTCTATAAGTAGTACGAGTCCTCCCTTAACTCTAGTAGCCTACCCTACCTATACCGTCGCAACCTAGGTCGCCTAGCTATTACCTAGGACGTCGTCGCTTATACCTAGCGGTATATTACGGTCCGTAACGCCTATACGCTTCGCGGCGAGGGCTATATATCCGCCCTCTATACTAATAAGGCGCTTACGGATACGAAGGCTACTAATACGTCGCGTACGGAATAGTACGCTTAGCTTATAGATAGCGGTCGCTACTAGAACGGTACCTATACCGCTAATAAGGGCAAAGGCATGCCTTTACTACTTCTTAACCGTTAATACCTAGTAGACTTTAGCCTAGTCTACTAGCTAACTTAGATCGATCCGGTATACGCCTTATCTACCTTTACTGCCTATATCTAGACGCTTAAGGACGGTACTATCCCTAATAGATTAGAGCCCGCGCTAACGCTACAGTTCTATAATTTGCCGAAGACAGCCTCTACCGATCTAGTCTTCGATCCTTTAGGCGTCTAGGAGCGTATTATATAGGGTAATACTATTTTTAAGTACGATAAGATAGTAACGAATAAGAATTACTAGTAGTACAATATCGACTATACTTAGGATCCTATAGGTGCATTCCTAGTACTATTACCCGACTACTCGCTTACGCGACGCCCTTCGTAACTGTCGTAATAAGCAAGTATAAAACCGACGTAGTTATTACTAGAGAGATACGATTCTGTACCTAGCATTACTGTTCTAGTATACTGTTTAGGCTTAGCCTTTATACGACGCTATTACGCTCTTTTGCCTTAAACCTTCCTACGGTACGGCCTACTAAGGACCTTTGTTTTAGAATACTATAGACAGTGCCGACCTTTTTTATAGGGGGGGAGGCTATTACGATATAACACTATTGCATATACGATAGCAGGCAGCGGTTACTATCGACCGCTACGGTCGCTATTGCTACTAATAGTAGGACTATTATATAGATAGCTTGCCTCGCGGCACCTTAGAGAATGTATTAACTTTTGTACCGTATAACTGTTACGATACCTTCGTACTGTAACCGTGTGCCTAGCATCTTTAGGTATTATTATATAATAAATCTAACTACTACGTCGTATCTATATACCTATTTAATTACTCCTCTTATAAGTTAGCTAGTTCTATTTAAATTCTATTTAATTCCTATCCGAATCCTTTTTAAATTCTTTCTGAAGTCTTTCTAAATCCTTTCCGAATCCTTTCTAAATCCTATTTCTATTCCTTTTAAGAATCTTTATCCTATAGCAACACTATAAAAATAAAAAAATAAAAAACTACTTATCTCTTATAAAATTTTATTTGAATTCTATTAGAACTATAGTAGGCTTACTTGATAGTTTCGCATTCTAATTAGACCAAGCCTCGGCTAGCCCCTTGTGATTTAAGGTTCCTAACCACCGCGGTAGTCAGACCGGCGATTTCGGTGGTCAGACCGGCGCAGCGCTGCGGCCACGTCCACCAATTCCGTGGACTGGCTCACATACCCAACAAGATATGCCATCAATACGCCGCCTCTTATGATGTGTCCTTCCAGTGCTCGTCGTCCCAATGCTCTGCAGCTAGCTTCAGACACTTCTTGTTGAAACAACCTCGCTGATGTACGGCGTTCGGATCAAAGTCCATAGTCAGTCTTTGCTCATAAGTTGGTGCATCGCCTCCACCAAATACTGCATTCTGCATTTCTGGATTCCTCCAGTTCGCTCTTTGCCAATCGATATTCTCCTGCGCGCACGACTGACGCAACCTTGGCCAGCTCTGGCCTCGTGGAAGGGCCACCTGCTTCTCGGCCTCGGCCAGGATGCACCAACAGGCGGCGTTGATGAGGACGGCCTCAAGCGAGCCGAACGCTTTGAAGCGATGCCTCAATAGGGCTGTGATCCGATGAAGACCGCGATGTTCCATTTCTGAGGCGAATCGGAATTCCTCGTCATCAGCCGGACGACGAACATCAAGGCAGAACCTGGTAGCTGGTTCATATGTGCCCTGGGAACAGTTGGGAAGCTCTGCTTCGCGAACAGCCACAGCCCATTCGGTGTAAAGTGTTTCAATTGTCTCCCGGCTGCGCTTCTCGACTTCATGAAGGACTCGATAGTTTTGATGCACCGGCTGGACGACTTCCCAATCCCCATCCGAGATCAACGATCGATAGAGCCGGATTGTGATGTTGAGTGTTGAGTCTTCGCAGCATTGTGCTGGAAGGGCTGAGAGCTTTTCCTTGAGAGTGTGTTTACCTTGGTGCCGGTGGATTTAGTTATATAGCGCAATCCACCGGATTTTCTACCGGTTACAATCCACTACCTATTCTACCTCTTTGTTTACCTTGTTTTCCGGTAGATACTATCGGTGGATTGTAATTAATTACTATAGCGCCGTCCGAGTGCGGTATGCTATATTTAGTAGGTATATACGTCTACCGAAAACGCACTTTTAAACCGCGTTTTCGGTAGATTCGCGCTATACGCGTTCCTTGCCTAGAAACACTATCTCTTTGCCTATATTCTTATTATTACTATCTCTTACTATTACTATAGATTCTTCGAGAGCGCGTAATTAACGGATCGGTATATTGCTTTATATAATAGCTAGCTACTAGAATTCGATACTCGTTACCCTTCTATAGCGGAAATAGCGTAGGAAATAGTATAAACTAGCGGGCGTAGTGCAGACGCTTACGTAGGCGAAGAAAGGTCGATATAAGGTATTTCGAGTACTATATAGTCCGCCGAAGGAGAGTTATAATATAATAGGTTTAAGGCAGCCGGTACTAAAGAGTTTAATTAAAGAGTTAGACGAGAAGGCGCTTATTCGATATCGTAGAAGGAAGAACGATATAACGGTCGCTAAGAAGGTAATAATTTATATAGACTTCGTATACTATAACCGCTCGATATTAGACCTAAGAAGGCTCTATTAGCACTCGATACGGACGTTTAATCGGGTATTAAAAGAAGTTAGTATTACGCTCTATTACCTTGCCGACGAATATATACGACTACCGGACGACCTATCGCCTTATAAGAAGCTAATTAGTAGCCGCGATGCTAGCAAATTTAAGTACTTCGCGGACGTTATAGGAGCGATAGATAGCACCCTTATTCCGGTAAGTGTGCTATAGTCTTAGCAAGGCCCTTATCGCTATAGGAAGAACTATATCGCATAGAATATAATAGCGGCTTATAGCTTAGATATAGTAGTCTATTATACTCTTATCGGTTACGAGGGCGCTAGAAATAATAGTTAGGTATTAAAGAAGGCGTATTCGAAGGACTTTATCGTTCCTACTAGTAAGAAGTACTTAGTAGATAGCGGCTATTCCTTTAAGGATAAGAGGCTTCTCGTACTATATAAAAGGACTAGATACTACCTTCGAGAACAGGCCGCTACTAGCAGGCGTCTAGTTAATAAGGAAGAGCTATATAACCTCTGTTACGCTTAGCTAGACCCCGCAGTAGTCCGGGTTAGTTTGGTTTGGTTTGCTAAGCCGAAATTCTAGTTTAGTTTAGTTTAGTTTACTAAGAAACCGGTGCACGGACCGGTTTGCCGGCTACGTGCCGGCTACGGACAAAAACCTATCCTAAAACACGTCCAAATAGCCCGAAACATAGATGCAATCGTATAGCGTGTACAATATAGGGCCCCCGTCGCGTCCCGGACTCGTTCCGAGGTCGTCGTATGTCGTCGCAGTTTGCTTAGAAACTAGCTTAGACTAGCGGGGCAAAAAACCAAACCGGAACTAAACCGGAGGGATACCGCTAAGAAACTAAACTATATACATTTAGTAGTTCGGAAACCGAACTACTACGGGGTCTACGCTTAGCTTCGTAATATAGTTAAGCGATTGTTTAGTATAATATAGAAGCGCTTCTATATTATTAAACAAGGCCCTTACGAGCGGTATTCGATACGCTCGTAGTCTAGGTTTATTATATCCTACTTCGTGCTCTATAACTTTATCCTTCGCTATAGACAATAGCCTTTATCTAGTAAGCCTAAAGTTACTATAGTCTACCCTTCGGAGGTTAATAAGGACGACGAATTAGCAGGCGTTACCGCCGATAATAAGGATCTATATTAGCGCTATCGTAAAGCCTTTACGTAGAATATATAGGACGATTACAGGCAATACCTAGAAGACTATAGTTTAGACGAGAGGGAGGTTTAGGAGGCCGAGTTTTAGTTATAGAGAATCGCAGAAGTCGTAGAATAGTTTACTAATATAGTAGCGAATAGGCAGGAATCGGATTATATAAGGAACTTAGTAAGATTTGTTCGTATTCGTTGCTTTTCGGTTTAAACCGACATATTTAACTATTGCTAGCGATTTGCTTATTCTCCTTCGATATTCGAGTGCGTCTAGCTATCTAGATTCTTAGTATTATAAGGCTAGAATTGAAGTTCGAGTCGTTAGGATATCCTTTCGCTATAAATATAGACCTCGTACGTAACGACGATTTTGCTAGCAAAAAGTAATAATACCTTTATATAAATTAATAGTATAGACCCTAAGCTACATTTCCGACGAAAAAGCATCCTAACCTATAGAACTCTCTACCGAAAACCGGGCCTCGATAGGCTTAAAATATGTTTCTTCCGCGATTACAATCTATCCCTTCTATAATAATACTACTAGCTACTACCGACCGTATCTATACGGAATATAAAAGCTCGACGGCGACGGATACTTAGTATAATAGTAGTTATTTATACTAGGAATTAGCTACGGTCTAGGTTTAATATCCTATAGTACCTAGCGGAAATACTAATCTAAATGCTCCCTTTTCTTCTTATTACGTACCTACTTCCTTATAATAGCGATATGCCCTATATTAGGCTTACCTACTTCTATTGTAAGAAGAGCGCAGTCTGCCTTACTAACGCTCTATAGAATATCCTTATCTATAAGGCGATTAGCAACGTCTCTAGTATTAATATCGTACCTGTATTCGATACGCTTCTTCTTAGCCTCTACCTTCTTAGTAGTACGCTCTTCGCGCTCTCGCTCTTACTTAGTAATAGCGTCTTCTCGAGCTGCTTTAGCGTCGTTACGAGAAGCCTTTAGGAAGGTAGAGAAGGTCTATTATAGTAGAATCTAGCTTTTCTTAATAATAGTAAGTAGGGCGTCTTTATCCTTCTTACCCTTTCTAGCTATATCTAACTCCGCCTATTTCTTCGCCGCTGCCTTCTTCGTAATATTAGCCTTCGTATAGCGCGTAGTAACAAGTACCTAGACTTCTATTTCTAATATTATAGATAGGTCTAATTTACCGTTAATATCGGCTTTAAGGAGCGCTACTCGATCGGCCTCTATTATGCCTTCTAGTAGCGGCACTTCGTTACCTTTACCCTCTTCCGCTATCTTTACTTCCTTATCTTCGCTATCGTCGTCTGCCGCTATATCCTTATTACTATCTAACGCTAGGTTAGCGCCGACACCTGCCTCGTAGCCGCTCGCAATATTAAGCTTAATAATCTTAAAGAGCTCTTCCGTATACTCTAATGCCTCGTCGCGCTATTGCTTATACTTTAGATACTTCTAGAAGTGCTTATTTGTAACCTCTTTATTACTAGGCTTCGGTAGATGTCTATTCTAGCTGCTTATATGCTTTAAATAAGCAGTATACGGATAATACTTCTCTTTAAACGTCCGCTACCGAGCCTTCGAGCCTTCCTACTTAAAATAGAGCTTAAAGTTTATACTTATTTGCGCCGCAATTCTATAGTAGTATTTAAAATAGAAGCTATTGCTATAGTTTAATAGTTACTTATCCTTTAGCTTCTTTACCTCCTTTAAGAAATACACCTTATACTCCGGTTACTAGCGTACAATCTCTAGAAATTCGCTACCTATATCCTTATCCTTATTCGAGTCCTTTAGTACTAACTTTCTCTTCTTTATAGGCGTCTTAGTAACCGCCGCCTTCTGCTTAGAAGGCGTTGTTATTGTCTTCTTCGAAGCGGTTATTGTAGCCTTCTTCGGCGCTATTATTCTCGAGCAATTGCTATATAATAACGACCTTTATTTAGCGCCTAATTATAGTACGTCGAATACGAGATAGACACGTATTACTAAGGCGGCTACTTCCGATGCACGGTCTTTCTAATCTACCGGATTATTTACCTTAAAAAGAGGTGGATTGGAAAATAACGCACCGGTGGATTAATCTACGGTATCTACAATCCACCGATCTACCGACGCTAAAGTAAACACACTCTAAGCTCAGCTAGGCTGCTTGCATCGATAGCGTAGCTTGTTATGGTTCTAGCCTCTTAACCTGGACTGTATTTCAGTCGGATGTAGATAATGGACATAGCAGTTATTATGCCATGAGAGAGGTGGTAGTGTTCAAAGGAAGTGATTGCTGCCTAGTTCTATGTGAGTACTTGTGTCATGTACCCGACTCAATTGAGTACGCGGCAAACACGGCAAACACTAGCTATTCTAATGCAGGTGTGAAACTCTTCCTCTCTCAAGTACTCTCTTCCCCGACATCCACCTTGTGCTGTTTCAAACACCTTTGAACCAAATCGCCACCATGGCACAGGTACCTCTCAAGAAAGACTCAAAAATCGTGATAATCGGCGCTGGCGTATTTGGTCTCAGCACAACACTGCACCTCCTCAAACGAGGCTATACCAATATCCACATCTTCGACCGACAACCCTTCGACATCAACCAATATGACGAAACCCAAGGAGCAGATGGAGCATCCTGTGATCTCAATAAAATCGTCCGGGCGTCCTACGGCGGCGAACAACTCTATCAAAACCTAGCATTCAAAGCAATGCCCGAATGGGAACGGTGGAATAAAGACCTAGCAGCGACACCAAAATCGCAACTGCCAAAATCCCTCAATCCAAATATCCCACTCTGGCATAACTCGGGCTTCCTCCGTCTTAGCAAAAATGGTCTGGAAGCGAAAGAAATCGAAACACAATCCAACTTCCCATCTTCGATAAACCACACGCAATACCGCATCTCAGACCCCAAACGCAGAGCCGAAGCCATAGATCTCGGAATCCCATCAACAAAACTCGACCCTTTTAGCCGTCTCCCACGCAATCTCCCCGTAGACGGAATTCTAGACACAACAGCCGGTTACGTCCTCGCCTCACGAGCTTGCGCATGGGCACTCCATCTAATCCGAAAGTCTGGCTACGTAACAACACATTTCGGTCCCAATAACGCTCTTCAATCCCTCATGAAAACCAAGAACAAAATCACAGGAATCGTAACGACTGGGATAGAACGACATACCGCGGATTTCGTCCTCGTGGCTTGTGGCGGTTGGACACCGAGTTTAATTCCCGAAACAGAAGAGATTTTAGAAACGACCGCAGGATCAGTCTTGTCGATTCAAATTCCGAAGGAGAGGAAGGATTTGTGGGACAAATTCGACGAAAAGGTTTTCCCGGTGTGGAGTTGGGGCATGGGGTCTTATTCCGCTCACCCAAATGCCTCTGCTTCTGAGAATGAAAATATAGGAGGCCTCTACGGCCTTCCCCTCACACCCGAAGGAATTCTAAAAATCGCGTTCAGAGGTGCGAAATGGACATCTTATACCCGTCGTTCATCAGTCGGGAAACAACTCTCATACCCGCAGACACAAACCGACAAGATTCCTCTCGAAGCAATGCGCGTCATTCGCTCCTTCGTTTCGGAAAACCTCCCGGAACTTTTAGACCTCGATCTCACAAATCTTCGGTTGTGTTGGTATACTGACAGCGTGGACAACTCCTTTCTGATAGATTACGTGCCCGGCGTGGAAGGTCTTGTTGTCGCGAGTGGGGGAAGTGGACACGGATTCAAATTTTTGCCGGTTTTGGGGGAGCATGTTGTGGATGTCATCGAAGGGAAGGACACCGAATATACGAGGTTGTTTAAGTGGAAAGGTGTACCGCAAGGAAGAAAGAATGGATTGGAGGAAGGACCTAGTGGTTGGAGAACGTTGGACAAGCAGAGGATGGTTGGAAATAAGGAATGGAGGGAAGGATTCTCAGATGGTACTGCTGTCACAAGTAAGCTGTGAGAGATATTCATTCAGACGAGCTCTGAGCGAGGCCCTCGAGCTGTTCTTGCTTCGCTTCTTCCTTCTCATTCAAATACTTCTCCCAAGCCTGTTCAACGTTCCTCCTCGCCCATTTAGCCCTCTGCTCAAAGCCTTCGACTTTATTTCTTTCGTCTTCCGCGACTTGAAGGACATCCCAGCATCGATCGTCACCGGCGTTCGCTAAGGCAACGGCAAGATCCTCTAAAGTCCCGAATCTCGGCATCCATCCCAGGGGCTGCATATCCGTGAAGTGTCGGAAAGCCCATTCCAGCATTTGATGGCCTATATCGTACTGCTGTTTGGTGTAGGTAGGATCCGAGGATTCTTTTGCCTTCCGTAGAGCCGTCCTGCCTGCTTCCATAAAGACAAGGATCAGGCGATCATAGGTGATCGAGGTAGGAATGACTCGAAGTGCGAGGAGCTCTGAAACCAGGAATGACGCGCGTTGGGCATCTGCTGGAGTGGAGACTCGACAGCCCTTCAGGAGTAGATTGAAAGTCTCGACGTTGGCAAAAGACTTTTGGGCCCCTTGGGCCATCGGCGCGAAAGTGTGTATGAGCTTGTAGACTTTCATGGCTTCATCAAGATTCTTCTGCTCAACATAGCATTCGATGAGGAGGTTCAGAATTGCTATTGAGATCTTGCGACCTTGCTGGTGCAGCTCTCGCAATGTTAGTAGTGCGTCTTTTACTAGATCGGGCTTGTCTCGCAGATACAGGAACAAAGCTCGTGTCTGTGCAACGGTCGGCTCCAGCTTCTCCATGGGCATGATTGTGAGAATGCTCATAGCTCGGTTGGTATCGGGAGGTTTCGCAGAAAGGTATGCTTGTATGAGAAGCTCGAAATGAATCGGCTTGTATGCGGTCCCTCTCTTGCTGAGGTGCGCGAACACTTCCGTCCCCATCGCAGCGTCTCCCACTTGGGCTGCGGTTGCCAATACGTTCAAACAAACTCCAGAAGAGGGGTTGAGGTATTCCGTATTGACCTGGCTCGTCCAGACAAATGATGTCGCATCGTGATGTCGATATTCGCTGGCTTTATCAAGCAAGAAACTCCATACGTTCCTCCTCAAATTGCGCTCTCCGGTGTCGTAGCGCATGCGCATTATTCGGTATGCCTCCTCTACCTCACCTGCTTCGCACAGCATGAAGACAGCCATATCGTACAGCCACGGTTCCACGTGCAGCTCATCCTGTCTCATCTTGTCCAGTCTGAGGAGGCCTTGCTCAAACAGTGCTTCTCTGAATAGCCCAGCAACCACGTCGTGTGCGCCATCTTCGCTGAGCTGATACCACTTCTTTCCCATATATTCCAGAATATCTGACCTCAAAAGATGGTCCAGATGTATACTCAAGACCTTCAGTACAGCATGACAAGTACCCACATCCGGCTGCAAACCATCAGCTCTCATCTCCTCCAATAGCTCTGATACGCGCCACGCAGCGCCATCCTCGTGATGGACATTTGCCGCAATCAGCGCATTGTAGATTTGCACATTCGGCTTCTCACCGCGCTCTTTCACCAGGTATTCAGCGATGTATCGGCATTGCTTCGCATGCCCCTGTGCAGCTGCAGCTCGAAGTCGGCCGTATATAAAATCGGTTTCGTCTTGCTCCAGTTCTGGAGGCACCGGCCTATATCTTTTCCTAAAACCGCGAGCCCGTTTGTGTGTTCCTAGATGATCAAAGATATGTTTGCCAAGGTATTGAGCTGAGGCATCGTATCGTACTTCAGCGATGGCTTCGGATTGCCTTGTAGACGTGGAGAATCGCAAAAATTGCCGCTGTCGAATCGGGCGCTGCGTCCGTTGCAGGAACCGCGCAGCGGAAACAAGTGATGCTGGCGTCCATGAAGGACATAGACATTGCCAGAGCGGGTCAATGGCGACTTTGACGGCGGTCATGTCATGTTGGTGCTGCACTGCTGATGCGATATAGGTAGAAATGGAAAATTGACGATTCGGGGTTCACGTTTAATGTGGGTCAGTCACGTGAAAGCGGCCAATGCCTGAGCTTAAGTGGCATAGGCCGAAGATCGCTTTGCTTTTAAAACCTAGCATTGATCACTGCAGAGTGCAGACTAGTGGTTACGTATCTTCTCTACCACAGAAATACTTCTCTCGCCCTCATGACAGCAAGCAATTCTCGCAAAGCAGGAGCTCGGGAGTCTCCGAGTCCAATTTCCTGTCTCGCTCGCTTAAATACCCCCTCTAGATCTTCTATCATGCCACTATATGCCCCTTCCATCTCATGTTTCCAATGTCTATCGACCTTGAGCTTGAAGGTCCCTAGATCGAACTCACCCAGCCAGCGCCCAGAATGCAAGATGAATCCAAGCAGTACGACGATACGGATATTCTCGTGCAGAGCCTGGTATCCTTTTGTCCGAACGAGAAAGGTCTCAACTTCACAATCGCCGTCCTCGTTGAATCCTTGAAGATGGAAGCGACATCTTCGATAGAAGAGAGGTAGGATCTCTGCTCGAAGCTGGGCGTTCACGAGGGCGAGAGGCGGCTGCCAATAACTGCGACCAGAGTATATATTGTGATATTGTTCCAGCGTGACAAGTGTCGGAACTGTATCCAGATAGTGTTGTAGGACCAGTAAACGCAATTCTTTCGGTAGTTTGAGCAAGAGACATTCGCCCTTAGAATGCGAAACATCCGAGCTGGATGACGAGCCATCGTTGCTGGATGACTCACGTTCCAATTTCGAGACACCCGGACACTGCAGACCCGCAATCGATGCTCTCAATGCTGCCTTGAAGGTATATGCATCGGCCATATTTGCCTACTCCGGCTTGGTCACCCCAAGCACCTCTACAAGACGACGTAAGGTGTCGACTATGAGACGATCAGAACGCTCGGCTTGTCTGGCGTCGTCCACGATGTCCTCGATCTGCTTGATGTAGATCGGAGGGATACTGTTGTACCAAAGATGTGGCCCAAGAATGCTGAAAGACTTGAAGTCGAAATCAATAGTTCCTCGAAAGTCCAGAATGCCGAATCTATGCTTGATGGTAATCTTCCACAGATTACTTGCGATGTCTCTACTCTGCTCAGCAATATCCAAGAATTTTGAAACCTCAATCCGCGCTCTTCGATAATGCAGGGCGAGTAAGAAGCGATTTTGTCGATAAAACAATGCCAATGTCTCCTTCCGTAGCTGCCGAGAGACTTGTGTAATTGCTGGCTGTTGGGCCTGAGTGAGTTTCACATCACCACCAAAAATCGCTGGCGGGACAGAAAATTGCAGGAAAGAAGGGCTGTAGCAGCCACCAACAGTCGGTGATCCTTGGTTCTGGAAGAGATGCTCGAAGATCTCTAGCCTTAGCTCTGTTGGCAGCTCTAGCAAGCCTGAACGCGCCATGCAGCTCTCGACGGAGAGTGGACCATTGAGTCGATGTTAAATGACTGGGAGGAGCAGTAATGACTTCGATGGCGGCGCATGTGCCACGGAGAACAAAGGTGTGCTCACCGCACATCGGAGCAAAACGACGCTAGCACCGATCGGGAGTTGAGGTGGAGCCGTGACATTAATTACAGTCTCTAAGCATGCCGTGATGGCTGCGAGGTTTGGAAGGAACCAGATGTGTGAATGTGAGAGTTCATTATGATAGCATCATCCAGACAAGACAAGAAAGGGACCACGACAGCCAAACGCCATTCCGGACGCCGATAGCACCATGTCAATGTCGTTGCCATTCGGAGGTATGATACATGATTCGAAAGACTTCAAAGTAAAGCTGGGTATCTGTATACCCATGCAAGCGATCGTTCGCCATGCTCTCACAGCTCAGCATTCGAGATTCTCGTAGAGGGTAGATCATCTCGGTCAGTAAACGATTAATGCTGTCACCTAATCGGTTCACATCGTCGCGTTCCTCCAAAGCTGTGCATCCGAGGGCATCCTCGATCACCCGAAGTAGAGGCAGTGGCTTGTCGTTCACGGGATGAACGAACTCTTGCCTGTTCAGCACAACCCATTCATGACAGTCCACGAGAAGTGATGTCGATCGATGAGCAGTCTCCAAGTAGCGGATCGATATGGTCGTAATGTGTTTGTGGATGGAAGGATGGTGGGAGAGTTCGCGATTTCATTGCCGTATCTGGCTCCTACTTTCTCGATACCGCAGGAGTAGTATGATTGGCCTGTCTTGGTAAAGCTTCGATAGTGCCTCATGGCGTATGAGACTGCATACTTGTAGAAGACCCGGGTGATATGGCTCAGGTCGGCAGTTCCATGGCCACTTGGGTGGTTTGCCCACGAGTATGCACCCGCCTTGGTCCTTGAACTCGAGATCGAAGGCGTAGTCCCAGATCAGAAGCCGGAGTTCCTTGGGAAGATCAAATATGCTCGTAGGGCTCATAACGTTTTGCATTGAAAGCTCAAGCTATCATCAGCAAGCGATCTTGAGGTTGTACAACATCAGGAGGTCGCGAGGAGAGTCGTCGCCGAGAATCGGCTACTAATTATTGGGGGATACAAGATTCACCAGAGCCACAGCGACGATGCTGCTGATGAGCGTTGCCAGATTGTAGTTGAGAACGTGTTGTGATGCAAGAGATTAGGGAATCTCAACCTCAGGCATGCCGGGCCAGCCCGCTAGCGCTGCCAAGACCAGCGTGCGGGAGCTGCCACCCACTTGAAATTCCCTTTGGACATCACGACCACGATCACTGTCGCCGTTAAGCTATCGCCAGCGACATCTTCACCCAACGACCGCAAAGATGTCTCTCGTTTCCGGCGAGAAGTCGAACTTCCAGTTCATCCTGCGTCTCCTCAACACCAACGTGCGTACCCCCGAACACCACCATGCGAGAATGCGACGAACATTCGGTCACGAGAGGCGCGGAAAAGAGACAGGTTGCGACAGAGACTGACGGGAAGCATACAGGTCGATGGCAAGCAAAAGGTCATGTACGCTATGACCAAGATTAAGGGTGTCGGTCGCCGATACTCTAACTTGGTCTGCAAGAAGGCCGATGTTGATCTCAACAAGCGGTACGCCTCCACGAAAACCTGAATCCGAAACCCCACACGACAGGATTCCATTAATGCGTAATGGCCTCGTACTAACACTGCATCCAAAGCGCCGGCGAGCTTACCTCCGAAGAACTTGAGCGTATCGTCACCATTCTCCAGAACCCAACCCAATACAAGATCCCAACATGGTTCCTCAACAGACAGCGCGACATCGTGGACGGCAAGGACGGCCAGGTGCTCGCCAACGGCGTGGACAGCAAGCTCCGTGATGACTTGGAGCGCCTGAAGAAGATCCGCGCCCACCGTGGTCTCCGTCACTACTGGGGTCTCCGTGTCCGTGGTCAGCACTCCAAGACCACCGGTCGTCGTGGTAGGACCGTCGGTGTCAGCAAGAAGAAGGGATAGTGGTCTGCGAGATGTTTTCTGTGCTATGATGGTGTGGTGGGAATGGCGTCTATACTCGGCACATTGCTTTGGGCGTGCTATTATGCATTGATGGATGCACGGGTGGTCTGTGACAGCGGCAGAGACGCAAAAGTAGCATGACCAGAATCCAATCATCAAGTTCAGCGCTCGAATGTACGATGTTCATGATCTGCATACTTGTCAAGTGGAAGGCCACAATAGGTCTGATGGGTAGAACAAGCCGCGCGATGAGAAATCGGGATGTCCCGTTCGTGATGTGCGAAGACTTCGATTTTCGGAACAACGCCGATCCCTTTGCTTTGCCATCGACAGATGCTACGTAGGTCATGTATTCTTTGGACGGATATGAGCAGCGACTATGTCTTGGATGATTGGTATGCTAATCATGGAACCAGAACGGACAACAGGTTACAGCACTTCTTCAACTCACTCTCAGAAGCCTCATCGATTTTCTGAGTTCTCTCCTCGACTTCGCCATACTCCATCTCACCCTTCTGCTCCTCTGGCACCCTAGCTTTATGAAGCCTCACAAACTCCCGCAGTTCATCGACACTCATCCAACCTTTTCCACAACGAAGAATCTCACGGAACTTCTCGTCGACTCATTCCCGATCTTTATCCGCCTTTCCCTCGTCTTCGATCCTCTTCTCCTGCTCTTGGCGGACCTCTTCAGCCTGCTCTGGACCTAGACTTGATTTCACCTTGTCATACTTGGTTTGACTACCTTCTTGCCGGGTAACAGCATCAAGCATGGGATACCAGAGGAGACAGGGGGTCAGAAGAGATGAAATTGAGAAAACTGTGAGGAACTCTAGTACTGCCACGAGATAGCAGCCAAGTCTGCAATACATTGGACTCTTTCCAATAATTGACACGCTATCATACTAAGCTGCAGAAATCTAGGATCACGAGTGGTGCACAGAAGTGATCGGAGCACCTAGCGTCGGGAGCTTTCAGGCACACAATGTTTCTCATGGAACGAGGCAAAGAACCATATTACAAGCATTCGAGGCTCTGCTAAGGGGATGTTCAGGTAATGTATTTACATGCACGCAGTCCATCAGCAACGCGATTCGGAACAGTTGGCATTCGCCACAAACTCGACTCGACCTTCCGAATACCGTAGCCCTCGCAACAATCTGTTCCACGATTTGTAATAGATCAAATCCTTCTGCAGCTGTCGACTATGGCACGAGATTCCACAGCATAGGAACACACTCCCGCAACTCGTCCTCGCTGAGATCCTCCTCCTTCATCAAATCTTCATCCCTGGCCCGTTCCTTTCGCCTGGGCTTGTTGAACTCCACCCTTTCTGCAGGCTTCAGGATCATCCGCTGATACAACTTGTCCAGCTCTTTCCAATTGCCATAGTCCTGATTCTTCCGATCGTCCGGCACCCGAGCGACTTGATCCTTGATGAATCCTTGCATCTCCTTTACCTGCTCCTCACCCCGTGGAAATCCGTGGCCCATTCTGCCCTCAATGTCACGGAATCTCTGATCATTACGATCAAGATCAGGTTGCGATCCCGTCTTGGCCTGGGCTTCTTGCCGTCGCTCTTTCAGCATTCTGTCGGCGGCTGGTCCCATCTGTTTGTATTGCTCCCGCTCATACATAGCCCGCTCCGCAGCACCATATTGCATTGCCTGCTGGAGTGCGGGAGCCTGATGCAAACGTCAGTGAATTCTTGCAACCATAGATTGTGAGAGACATACGTTGGCCTGGGACCATGCCTTGAAGGGCTCTGTGGTCATCCCTGTCGACAATTGATCCTTCCAATCCCTCCTCGCTCTTTCTAATTCACGAGCTTCCATTGTTAGAATTTCTGAACTCATACGAGAGTGAGGGTCGCTTTTATAGCCATCTCGCAAACTCGGCTTCGTATCCATATGGTCAGACACCGCCCATATCGGGTAGATCAGGCCATACCTCGATCTCTGACCTCGGTGCCATTCTATCAGGCCCCAAAGAGCTTCCAGACTGTGCCACATGCAAGCCATAAGCCACGAAGAGGAGATGGGTTGAAAATTGTGCAAATCTCAGCTGACAGGTTCTGCAAAGTATCTGCTTGACACGAGATATGACAGAGTCGATCTCTTTTGAGGGGACCAATGAACAGCGGAAGTTGGGAGTGCGGTCAAGAAGATCCGAATTCCAAACAAGCCCAGTAAGTGTTGTACATCAAGGTAGTTGCGTGTGAGAAAAGACTCGAGTGTCATAATCGCCTATCGATAGGGTTCTTGCTTCGCGACGCTACACTACTTAGTTGTTCCTTCACGACCTCAGTCGTACCATGCACCCGAATATCTTTTCTTGGCTTGGCTCCCATTTCATGTCACGGCTCGGTGGTATTGGAAAAGAACTTGAACTTCAAATGCAATTCATGGTATCGAGCTCACCGTCAGTCCAAAACATCCTTCACTCTCCAAATCCGGAACGCCTTGCCATTCATCAACATTATATCTTGTACACCATTCCTCCGCTCAGCATGATCTTATTGCGATCATTCAGCTCCTGAAGTGCTTTCTGGGCTTCCTCATCCTCAAATCGAGTCTCGCCACCTCGTAGTCTGCCGTTGACAGCTGCGATTAGTGGCTCGACATCTGCAACATCATGAATAAACAGTGGACCGTCAATCAGCTGGCCAAGTGCGGTCTGGAACGTTTGGAGACGAGCCGCTGATATCGGTTCAGGTTCATCGTGCGCCTCTTCTTGTGGTTCATTCTCCTGCGATTCGTCCTGCAGGAGTTGAGAAGCTGGAAGAGAGGACGCCATGCTTGCTTGCGAGCCGTTAACGCCATTCGTCTGAGTCGTGCGCTGCGTGCGTTGCGTTCGTGCTGGGGTCGAGTTGTAAAGATCCTCCTCATTCTGGTCATCATCTTCAGCGCCTGCTCCAGCATTGTTTGAGGAAGCATGGCTGTTGGCACCATTCGTTCTGTTCGTGGCCCTCGTACTTCGACCAGGGGTGCGAGTCGCTCGCCTACCATTCGCTCCTCGATAAGCAACATCCCCACCGTCATCATCATCGCTGCTATCAGATTCGGAATCTGTGTCCATTGCTTCAGGAGAGTGCCTCGCTCTCTTTCGTCTTCTCTTCTCATCTTCAACGACCTCTTTGAAGAGAGCAAACCGAAGTATGCCTTCTGCAATTTCAGCGTCCTTCTCATCAACGCGATTTGACAATCGCGACTTTGCGTGGGCAGTGGCAAGACGAATGAGAGTCTCGAGCGTACGGGCAGTCATAGGTGAAGTCTTTCGCTGATTGCCTTCCATCTCGTCGTTCCTCAGTGCACTGTACGCAGCCACAATATGGTCTGCAGCACCCTTTGTCAAGATGGGCTTTATCCGTGACTTCACGTACTGAATGTACTTTTTGATGAAAGGTATGCTGAGAACTTCTCGGCGCTGGTTCGCTCCTCGACCTCTGGTGATTGTCACGCCCGTGTGCAGCATGGCATCGTACTTTTCGTATGGCTCGGTGGTCTTGTTGGAGTTGTCTCCTTCCTCTTCCAGACCCACGCCGAGAGTCTGGTTGGCCTGCTCGCGAACGGGAGCTCCTTCTTCGGTTCCTGGCTGGCGGTAACGGTGCATTCGAAGAACATGCTCCGAGACTTGTCGATCTCTCATATCTTCGATATCGTCTGTGACAACGAAGAGCAGATCGAAACGTGACAGCAGCGAGTCGGGAAGTGCGATGTTCTTGTGCGGATCTTTGTGGGTGTCGTATTGGCCGTAGATAGGGTTGGCCGCAGCAATGACTGAGCATCGTGCGTTCAGAGAAGTGTGAATTCCGGCCTTGGCGATGGTGACGGTCTGCTGCTCCATGACTTCGTGAATGGCCACTCTGTCCACATCAGACATCTTGTCGAACTCATCGATACAGACGACACCTCGATCACCAAGAACCATAGCTCCGGCTTCCAGACGCCTCTCGCCAGTCTCTTTGTCAGATGTGACAGCTGCTGTGAGACCAACACCGGAAGATCCACGACCAGTCGTGGCAATCGCCAAAGGCGCCGTATTGAGGACAAATCGCAACAATTGTGACTTTGCAGTGGATGGATCACCAACCATGAGAATGTTGATGTCACCACGAAGATGCGTGCCGTTGTCAAGATTCTTCTCCATTCCACCTAGTAGCATGAGCAATATGGCCTTCTTGATGTAGTCGTGTCCATAAATGCTGGGCGCAAGTGATTGGGAGAGCAGATCAAAGACTTTTCGTTGCTTTGAAATTTTGTTGATGTTTCTGATGTCGCCATCGGTGATGACTTGCTGAGCGATGCCTCCCCCGGACTTTGACGAAAGCAGAATCACGTTGTTCGCCAAAAGAATCGTCTTGAAAGTTGAACTGCCCTGACCAGCGTTGCGGTTTCCTAGAGATCGGTAAATTCCAACAAGTTGTATCCGGTCACCAGGCTTCACCCTGTCCACCATATCGTCGTCCATGATCACATCTACACCGCGGGGCAGCTGACCAGCAGGCGCTCGCTCTGGCATCTCTTGTATCGAGACCGTTTGATGGTCCCTATACGTGCAGTATCCGTATTCTGTAACGAGAGGGTTTCCTTCGCCATCTTCTGTAGGATATACACTTGTGCTTGCTGCCCCATTCGCAGTCATCGTTTGATCTCGATATTCCCTGAAGTGAAAGGTGGATTTTCGCTCGTTCCAATGCACACTCTTCACCACCTTAGGTCGCACCAGGGAGCACTTTGTGACAATGCCCTCCAGGGCAACCATGTGATTCAGAAATTGCGAGGATAATGTGCGCGGATTGCAGGCATACTCGCCGAAGCTGCCGACAAATGCGCAGTAGTACATGGTCTCTTCGTCGACTTGCTGTGTGGCTCGATTCCGTAATGTCTGGACGATGTTGAACAGGGCTCTGTCGAATGCTTGCGTCCAGTCGAATGGTTGATTCAGAAGGCCATCGGCCATCTCTCGGTTGTGTTGTCGGACTTCATCGATGCTGACTGTCAATCTCCGCAGCCCGCGATTGAGCATGAGCAAGATCTCAGCCTGGTAGCTTCGCGCTCGCTGATCCTCTGTATGCTGTTAGACGTCTCCTCTTCTCCTATCCAACACCGGCGACACGTACGAGGATCGAGAAACTCCTCTGCAGCACGAATGCGATCTCTGACCGCCTCATCTCGAAGTTGTATGCCGTCCATTGTGTATTTGATGTGTCAATGCAGATGTGGTGGTGCAGAGGAGAAAGGTTGAAAGAGAAACGCCCGCAGTGCGGTTCAAAAGACGCGCCTTCCCAGAAAACGCGAACAATCGCGCTAGTGGCTCTAGCGCGTAACCCCCGTAAGTCCACCACCGCACACCTTCAAATTTCACCTACATCGACCCTGAGACACAGCATTGCTGCAAGAACAGCAATGACGGGAGCAAGGGAAGTAAAGGTAGCGCTATCGAAAGTATCAGTCCGTCCAGTTACAGAGAGCGAGTATCAGAACACGCAAGGTCAAGTCCTACAAGGGGATTCTCCGTTCCCGCTGAACGTAGTAGGAAGCGAAGACACAGTCCATTATCCTAGACGACGTGTGGGCGATGAAGTTCGTATTTGCCAGTCCGAGCATGATGAAGTCAAACTTGGATCCAAAGACAAGTGCCAGAAGCATGACTCCGGTCGAACAATTCTGCCAGGCAGCATAGGGTCGATTCTTAGTCTATTGATTCTGTTAAAGGTAAAACAGATTGCAACTTGTAAGGAGCAGAAAATGACAATGGCGGCGATATGAACAAGCACTTTCACAATCTCGTGTCCAACTTTCACAGTTCTAAAAAGAAGTTGACAAAAAAGGAGGACTGTCACAGGTGTATTCCCAGCGTTATAGGAACCTGTGGACGTCAATATAGTGTCCGATGAGAGCAGGATTTGAACCTACGCCTCCGAAGAGAATAGATTACAACCAATGGTTCTAGTCTATCGCTTTAGACCGCTCAGCCATCTCACCTTACCGTGTTGACTGGGCGGTGAAAGGATTTTCAATGTGAATATGTTGGAATTTCTGACTCACGGTGCGTCGGCTAGCCGCTGCGCCCATGTCTATGCGCCTGAGACCTTGAAGCGAGCTACCAGGTTGTCTTGCATGTCAGGAAATTTAGCGTACCACTGTTGTAAACAGTGGTTTACTTCCGGAGGGCGTTATCTATTGACTCGGTATAGTTTGCCTAGTATTTGACGGTGCTTTTCCTCTTCTAGTACCGTAATAACCTTCTCGGTTATACTTCTAGTTCTAACCTTATCTCTATAGCTCTTTCTTATATATAGATCTAGCTCTTTCTATAATAGCGCAAATAGCACCTTCTTGTTGCTATTATTCTTATCGCTATACTACCTATCTTGTCTAAACTAGTGCCGCCGTTTAGGCCGGATCGCATACTATATAATATAATCGATATTTAAGAATAGCTATTTAATATACTAGAGTATAGATTAACGTACGATCCGGACCGTTTCGAGGTATTAAAGGCCTACGTAAGCAATATATATAAGGAGTCGAGGTCGGCGAGAACGAAGGATAGCTTAGAGTAGCAGTCGTACTAGTATTGTCGTTATAGGCGCGATTAGTAGCGAAACAGGGTACTTCTAGATAGTATTCGCAAGGCTAAATACAATAAAGAGCCTTATAATACCGTAGTAGTCGTTATATCGCATTATCGGAAGGGGGCTACTAAACTATACGAAATTAGTGTCTGCCGCTATCGAGTCGACCCTTCTATAGTTAGTAAGGACCTATATTGCTATAACCTAAGATATATAGATATTAGGTCGTTAAGCAACGCTCTAAGGGTGTTTCTCGAGGAGCTAATAGAATAGCGCAAATTTAATATAGCCGAGGTGCTAGATTTCGTTAGAAATAGTCCTTCGAAGGACGAGTTTAGTAAGATAGGTAGGTAGTATATAAAGGCAGGTACTATTACGTAGTCGAAGGTTAGGCCTAATTTAAGGAAGGTGCGTAGTAACGACCGTAGAAATGCGAGTATCTAGCTAGACGACCTTCCTATCGCCCTCTAAGGCCTCTATAACGACCTAGATAGCAGGCCGCTCTAGTATTAGATAATAGAGAAGAAAATAAAGGGCAAGGTAGAGCGTAGTATTGTCTTCTAGACTAAGTAGCAGCGACAGTTGTTAAATACCGAGGCAGGGGATGTAAGTGCAGGTATTATTGTTATTGTTACTATAGAAGGCGTATAACTAAGCTTCTAAGGCTTACGTTCTATAGTTCCTATAACTAACTTTAAAAATTCAAAACATTACTAACTTATATACTATATAGTTGTTCTTGCTAGACGCAACTTATAAGACTACCGACCTTAGCTAGAACCTTTTTACTATCTATGTTCGTAACTAGTTAGGGTGTTAGTTGCTAGTAGGACACTTATTGCTAGAATCTTAGAAAGCTAAGCTAGTAGAAGCCGGTCTTCGAGTTATTAAGAATTGGTTACTATACTAGAATACTATAGCCGCTATAATCGACGACTCGGCCTCTAAGCAGGCGGCAATTAACCTATCCTAGAAGGAGAAACAGGTGCTTATTTACCTCTGCTAGCGGCACGTTAAAGAGACCTTCCTTCGCTTATTTCTAGAGGCCTAATTTCTAGAGATTGTTAAGCGCTTTTACTACTCGATCTACTATGCTCGAAGCTCCGCCGACGTCGGTAACGATATAGTATAGATATAGGACTAGTTAAAAGAGAATAAGCCTATAGACTAGCAAAGCAAGGTAGAATATATATAGCACAATTAGGCTAGTTATACGTTACGGAAATAGGCTACTTAGGCAAGGCTTTATAGCCTATTATTAATGCAAATAAGGACTACTTCGCCTCTCGAGGGTTATTACTACGCTATTAAGTTTAAGCGTAAGCGTAGCCTCGTACGCTACAACCTCTATAGCACTATCCTCGAGGTTCTTAAGGTAGACGACAGGTAGGCTTACAAGGCACAACTAGCTAGCTATAGGATCGGCAAACGTATATAATATTAGTACAAAAAGGGACTTCTAGGCTTCGAGAGTCTGCAGCTACTAGCGGCTTAAGATCGCCTTCGAGAATAGGTAGATATTGCTATTAAGATAGAGGCTAAGGTAGCACCTATATATAAGGGCACACTATATAGTTATAACGGTATAACACCTTCTCGTTGTAACTGCCTCGCCTAGTTTCAAACACGCCTTCCTTGCTACTATATTCTTCGTAACTACCTATTTAATAGACTAGAAATTAGTAATATATAATAGCGATAATATGTCTAGCTATTTGCAGGCCTTAACGTTGTCTTAGCTTACGAATACTAGCGCGCTCTCGATACTTAACAACTCGTTATCGAAGGCTATTAAGAAGACGCTGTTACCTTAGCACAAACACTATAATTAAGAGACCTTCGAGGCCACTTTAAGGAAGCGGTAGAAACACTAAATTTGAAGTATTAGCGGATAGTAGATAATCCTTCTATTAACCCTTCTATTAAGGACTCATTCTATGCCTTCTACGTACGGAAGGTTAAGGACTTCTCGGATAGTTGTTACGTACTAAATATTAACTATTTTATCGCTAATCTATAGGAGGTCCAATTTATAGGCGAGACCGAGCGCTAATAGACGACTTAACTACCTTCTAAACCTACTATACTAACTCGATTGCTACCGCTAGGCACGCCGGAAACTTATTACGTCTATACTAATATAACCCTCCGACCGTTACTATTAAAACGGCGCGTTTAATCGTTACCTATTCGCTAACCTGTGTTCTTATTACCTCCGCCGCTAGGTAACCTTACTCCGAGGCTAATTCCGCGCCTTCTACGCCGCGAGATAGTACTAGAAACATAGTCCTTATAACCGCTTAATTTAGATAATATAGAAGAGGTAGATTTAATAGGAGATATAATACCGCTAGTACGAGGTCTACCTACGCTGCTAGGTACTTACTATTTAACTAACTACTAGCATTAGGGTAAGCTATTATAGGTCTTTATATACGGTATTCGCGAGATTAATAGCATTGCTATAGACGACCGTTGCTTTACCGATTCCGGCCTCTCGTCCTTTAAGGAGCTTCTTATCTTCTATAACGTAGACTAGGACACTATAGATACGATAATAAGCTATATAAGAGACGAGGATTACGAACGAGCGGCTAGGCGACTAACTAGCTAGACAATAGACGACTTAGAAGACAACGCCGTTAATAACTTACCTAGTAACGAGCGAATTAGACGAGAATTAAGAGGCGTAAGGATATATAGTAACCGCTAGTTAACCGCTAGTAGTAGTAAGTTAATAACAACTTGTAGACTACGTACTAAGTAATAATAATAACGAGGTCGAAGAGATAGTAATTAGTAAGAGTAAGCCTTCCGCTATAGTCGTAGAAGGCGGTAATTCTATAGCAATTCTATAACAACAACTCTTAGTCTATATAATAGTCTCTTCTACTGCAAAATTGCCGCTTCTATAATAGTTAAATTGCCGCTTCTACGATAGTTAACCGATAGGCTCGAGAGAGGCGCCCTTCTTAACCTAAATCGTTACTACGCCGAGTAGTTCTAAACGCTACTAAACCAGAGGGCTGCGGGTGGCTTATTGCCTAGTAATCACTAGTAAAAGGCTGTGTCTATAACTCCGCTTTAGGTTCAGCTAAAACACCTGACATCCAGGATAAATCGAGCTACCTGCTCAGCATTTCACGGATCAGATTGATAATTGTATCGTGCAGAACGGCTGGTCATGTCCTTGTTGCAAGACCTGACGACGCAAATTCTCGACATACTGTAATCATCTCGTCTCCATAGCCCGTATATCGACGATGCTCTTGACACTCTCACAGCAGCTCTTCCTACACAGCTTCCCCTATACTGGTTTGGGTGTCCGCATTCGAGTTTGGTAACTCGGCTCTTGTTCAAGTCCGAAGGATGCTCGGAAGCTGTCAACGCGGCATGGTTGCCCATGTCTTGAGCTGAGCAGTGTCAACATCTCGTCGGTCCCGAGCGCACTGCCTCAAGGTCGTTTTCATGCTGAGTTCTAGCAGTACAGCATGAAGTCTGCTTCGCACATCAATGTGATGAATGGGAACCAAGACACAGCCGGATCGCATTCGGACGTGTGAATATCAACGTCAGGTCATCGTCCGGAGCCTGTTGAGGAGAGCCGAAGCCAGTGCGTACTTTAAGAGTCCACCACGCCCCCTAGAATATCAGCCTCCAAGCTGCACGGAACTTGAGACACCACGCAGCACGAAAGCCGCCATGCCATCCTGCCTGCAGACGCCGCAGTGCAAGCCGCTTTGTCCGGGCTACCTCGTTCTGCTCCTCCTTCACGCCCAGCACCACGCAGGCATTCGCTTGACGCTGACGGAACGTTCTGTCGGGACCGAGACCAATTGCGGCACCGAATCAGAACTCGCACCAGATCTGAGATGACACGAGCAAACACAGTCGCAGCACGAAACCGTGCTTCTTTTCGCGACACGTGATGTACTGTACTGTACTGTAAGCTCCCGCTCAGGCTGACAGGCTCCGCCGTGGGCCGTGGGTGGCGTGCGATTCCTGGTAGGCAAATCCGGAAGTCATTGTGTCTGCTGTAATAAAATAAAACCAAGACGCAGGCTCTCCTCCTTCCCGCCCCGTTGTCGCTTTCTGCACGTTGCTTGCTGCTTGCCACTGACCAAGATGGAACCTTTGGAGACACTGCCGGCCCGGCTGGCGCACATGACAAGACAAGCGATGGAGCTCCGACCACACCTTCACATTCACACATGCGCGAGCTCCTACCAATGCATATCGGCAGTGGCCCTCTGCGGCGCGATGCTTGCAGTTCTCACCGCGTATGTGATCTATCAGCTTCACTTCCATCCACTCGCCAAGTATCCTGGCCCGCTCCTCGGAAAGCTCACTCAATGGTATGATGTGTACCACGCATATGTGGGAGACAAGCACATCCTCTTCTACCACCTCCACCAGAAATATGGAACCGTAGTCCGCTTCTCCCCCAACTCGCTCTCGATCAATGATCCGGCGGCCCTCAAAGTCATCTATGCTCATGGCGCAAACGTGCAGAAATCCGTGTTCTACAAGTGCTTTCGAGCGGCTCCTACCGCAATCAGCACTCTGCTTGCTACCGAGAAAGGCCACCATGCGCGAAAGCGAAGAATTATGGGCCAAGCATTCTCGGATTCGGCCCTAAAGGGATTCGAGGAATATGTGGTTGCACTTACCGACAACCTCGTAACCCGTCTTCAGGCTGCCATTACCAGATCAGATGGCGAGAAGACGCGGTGGAGTGCGCCTCTGGACATGGCGGCATGGTGTAACTGGCTGGTCTTCGACATTATGGGCGAGCTAGTGTTCGGACGTTCTTTTGGCACGCTTGGAGAGAAGCCAGAGAACAGGCGAGGCATATTCCTGCTTGGACGAGCGGCGAGGAGAAATTATGTCGTTGCTGCGATGCCAGCGTTGCTGTATACCGGTCTGGAGAAATGGCTACCACTTCTCCGCGGCCTGTTCCTCGACCGCTGCCAGTATCTCGCCTTCGGCAAGAAACAAGTGATGGAGCGAACCAAGGAGCAAAGCTTTGGTCAACCTGGTTCTCCTTCACGCGATACCGGACGTAGAGACATCTTCTCCTTCCTAATGACTGCCAAAGATCCCGAAACAGGCGAAGGCATGCCAATGCCAGAATTATGGATGGAAGGTAACACCTTAATCGTCGCCGGATCCGACACTACATCAACGTAAGATCCCACACCCATCCGCTCTTATCCATCCGCAGCCACTAACGCATCTCCCCATAGCACCCTCTCAGCAGTCCTCTACTACCTCCTTCACAACCCTCACACCCTCCAAAAACTTCAACGCGAAATCCTCACAACCTTTGAGTCTTCCTCGGAAATCCGTATGGGTCCCAAGCTGCAATCCTGCACTTACCTCCGCGCTTGCATCGACGAGACCATGCGCATGACACCAGCAGTAGGAGGACTCCTACCACGAGAAGTTCTACCGGGAGGACTAGAAATCCCCTCCTTAAACCTCGCCTTGCCAGCAGGAATCGATGTTGGAGTCCCCATCTACGCTATCCACCATCATCAGGATTACATCGCATCTCCCTTCCTTTTCGATCCATCCCGCTGGCTTCCCTCGGATGGCAAGCCGCATGCGCAAAGTAAGGAAGCTTTACTGGCAGTTTATAACCCCTTCTCAATCGGGCATAGAGCTTGTTTGGGCAAGCCGCTTGTGTATATGGAATTGATGATTTCGATTGCAAAAATTGTTTGGGAGTTTGAGATGAGGTTGGCTGAGGAGCAGTTTGTTAGTCGGGAGATCAGAAAAGAGGTGAGGAGTGGGAAGAGGCAGAGGTATGAGTATCAATTACAGGATTGGTTTATGAGTCGGAATGAGGGACCGTGGGTTGAATTTAAGGTGAGGGAAGGGGCCTCTTAGTCTATGTTGTTGAGCTGAAATCTGATACCATTCGATATGAAATATCAAACTAGGCACTTGAGCTCTATGGCCTATCGCGAGAGCAATGGGTTGGGAAATAAACGCTGACACTTGTGCATACTGTCGTCTTTGAGACTATCTAACAATTAATCATACATTTACAAACCTGGCTCGCAAATGCCAGTACTTCTGCCCCGAGCCGAGAGACGCAATGGTTTGCCGACAGTCATGCTCATATGCGGAAGATAATGATGACGACGAGCGTCGATGCTGCTTTAGGAGGAAAATATACAGCTGCAGTCTCGAGTTCGTCTCGCAAATTTTTGGTCCACCGAAATCAAAGCGCCCGGAATTCCCATGAGTGTGCTCACATGCATCCTATAGGAGGCATGCCCATACCCATACCCATTCCCATTCCGTGCATTCCCATCCCCATTCCGTGCATTCCCATCGTTGGTGGCATCATGATGGACATGTCGAACATGCCGCAGCCTGTACATTCGACAGCATTAGCATTGTCTCAACGCCAACCCCACGTCGGTCTCCAGCTATCATCACGACGTCTCCAGCCAAGACCGCAATGGAAGTTCAGGAAGCAGCCTGATGGGAGAGAGGAAAAGACACTCAGCAAGGGAGTAGTCGGTGTACAATAGTCGAGGGGATGAGACTCACCTTTATGTCTTCTTTTCGCCCTCCTGTTAGCTCGGTAAAAGATGTCAAAAGGCCCAGAAAAGGTTTCCACATCGTCGTCTCCATCCCATACGCCACTGTCGTCCGAGTCATCCAGTTCGTCAAGTAAAGTTGGTGCGCCGCCAAAACCTCCCATCCCGGACATCGGGAATGGAGGATAGCTGTTCATGCCTGCACCACGCATTGAGCTGCCGAAGGGCGAGGGCATGAAGCTGTCCATTCCTCCATCTCCCATCATGTACGGACCCATGGACATTGGCATCATGGGTGCGGCGGTGTAGCCAAGTGGGAATGGGGCTCGAGGATGAGGGTAGGCCCCGGCACCGAAGGGTGTGTTGTACATTCCATGTCGACCCATGCCGCCCATGAGGAAGTTCATTTGATGTACCGGGACTGCTCCCCCTGGTCCAAATGGCGATGCTCCTGTTTCTCAGTCAGATGTGTGCTGGGAGTGATTGAGGTCGTAGATTTGGAAAGAAGATCGGGTTGCATTGATTGTTGAAGTCAGTGCAGGTCTTGGGGTTGAAAGTAAATACCGAAGCCTTTTGCTCTCCTCCCCAAAGTGGGCATGCCCGTGCTAGACATGATTGAGTCTTGCATAAAGGGATTCATAGTGGCGGGCGTGTTGTGTGTTCGCCTGACACCAAAGCAAACAGCAATTGACCTTTTATGCTGGTATGCCGTCAGAGCAAGAAGCCTTGGCGAATTGCTGGAAGGTGATACTGCGTGGCAAGGCGCCCAAACATCGGGTTAGAGTGTGGTGTCAGAATGAAGGCAGACCATTGCGGAGCTTTTAAAGTGGCGATCGCTTCGCAGCACATACATAGTGACGAAACGCTGCGGAGTCGGGACTGAACGCTGACGTCTGTCAAGCAACTTGTGCTACTTTATGTGCACCATTGTGACTGCTAGTCCAGTGAGCAGCTCGGGACTGCGATGCGGTGTTGCCTGTCTCTGCGCGGATTGGCCACGAAAAACAGAGCGCATCGTCACAAGCGTCGCGAGGAGCAAACAATTTGGCGCGACCACCCGGCAGGATGTAGACGAATCGCTGTGCAATTCTCGTGCTCGGCGTTCCACGTACGCGTAAAGCATGTGTCTTCGCGCTTCAATCCATTCAATCAGCCAGAAGCGTGTATAGAGCGGCACGGTCGGGCAGGCTGTGAGTGCGCATCAACGACAATGTCTGCTGGAGGCGTACCGGTGCTCATGGTCCGGCCGTAATAACTTACCAGGTGCACAAGATATAGACCATATGGCTTCCAGTGGAGGTCAGAAAGCGTATGGCCTGCTGTTCGCATTCTCCGGACACTCCTTCTCGTCGGCAGGAAGATTTTCTGTGATATGACCACGACTTGTCGGCCGTGTGCTCTCCTGAACGGCTGAACGATGATGTGCACTGTGAGGATATGTCTCGGCAGGCCGCTTTTGCTCCGTGATGCCGCTGCCGACAACCTTTTCCACGCGTTGCCTCCAATGCCAAGCGTGTTTCGAGGTCTTCAAGCGCGCCGTCGGCATGCAAAATGCGCATTGTGGTGAGGCAGGGCAGGGCGGGGCATACCATGATGCTGTACGTGTGGTGGTGAAGGTCTTATGCAGGAACCGAACGCGAATACTCTGGAATACGGAGAGGCCCGAGCCGAGCTTTTCGACGGGCCATGCCATGTTGCCATGGCCTTGCCTTTTCGACACTCGAGTTCGCGCGAGCATTGCAAGGCCACCAACACGCCCACCCGCACAACCACACCGTCGCATCATAATCGTATTCCTCCATCTCCGCGGTCCCGTATCCATCAGGGACTGTTTGCGCATCGAGGCTCGCATTTCCACCGCAACGAAGAAGCAGACCACGTCGTCCTGCCTCCAACCTCCTCCTTCTTCTTGCACCTCGTCTCCCTCCAATGGCTCCCTCTACATTCGCCTCGGCTGCTGCCGGCAACAGTAACAGCAATTCGCAAGGTCCTACACGTGACGCTGCCAGCGACTGGTGAGTAGTGTCGGAGATGGAGCTCATGCAGCAGGAGGCGCTGGGAGGCGCAAAAGTGCTGGAAGCATGGAATATGCGCCATGGGGGATCTGTATTGTGCACAATGGGGCCTAGGCTAATATATGCATGTGAAAAGGTCACGTAGAATGAACGGCGCGACACAGACATTCCGTAGACCATCTGGCGCAACCGCCACTCCCTCCACTGTCCAGCAGCACGACGGCCCTCCTGCTCCCCGCTATGTCCCGCCACATCGGAACGGCACCCTTCCTGACACGCGATATAACAAAGATCAGCTCTTCGAATCGTTCAGAGTCCAGCAGTCGCTAGACGGAGGCCTGTCTGACGGGCTGTCAGAGCTGTTTGTGGGTGGCTTCAATCCAGACATGGCAAATGGGGGCTCAGCGAGCTGGGGCCGGAACGAGTACACTCGAGACCCTCCGCCTGGTCCGGACGTCTGCTGGGACAGAGATACTTCTCATGAGCCTCTTGGAATGCAAGAAATGGACGACGAGGAAAGAGAGGTAAGTTTGGAACACTCGAGATTCTACGCCTCGGTATCAGGGCATGCCACTGACACGCGCTCAAGTACTTTACAACTTCTGTCAACACGCCCATAAAGCCTGCAAGTAAGGAAAATCATTCAAACGGCATGCCTGGACGTAAGATTAGTATCTCGAACAGTGCGACGACTCCTGGAGCTTTTGGACCTCTGTCGCCAAATGTGTCTCGTGGTGGCGCGCGACGTCGGGACACCAGTGATTCGTATCCATTTCCGCAGAACAATGTTTCTTCTCCTGGTGGCTTCCACCGCGACGATGGACGCGCTACTTCGCCCCCACCCTCGCTCCTCCGCAGGCGCACCGACCTGAACAAGCCTGAAGACAAGGACGGCGAGGAGAAAGGGTCAGCAGGGACACCTTTCGGGACGCTAAAACGGCACCAGATTGGCCCTCTTTCTGCCCAATTCCCTGCACCGGCTTCGCCGTGGACATCTGGCCCACAAAGCGCTGGCTTGTCACCCATGGGCTCATTTGGCAACTTCGGTCTGGGAAGCAACATTGGACAGCCTGGAACACCCACTGACAAGAGGCCTGGACTTGGCAGTGGGAGGTCTGAGAGCAGGTTCAAGAATGTCATGAGTAAAGACGGGGAGGAAAGCGGGATGAAGACTGTCGAAAGGAAGACGAGTATGTCTAGTCTGGCAAGAGTCAATGAGAATGAGTCGTGGCGGCCTGGAGATCGCATGGACCCGGCCAACGACTTTTTGGACGAAACTGAGGAGGACTTGCCTACTGGAAGTGCTGCACTTGCTGCTGATGCGGATATAAGCCCTCCACACCAACGACAAGGGTATCGCGGCTACGGGACCCCTAGTCGCCAAGGCACACATGACGATTTCGGATTCGGCGCCTTTGGCATGACTTCCGACAGCACCCACGCGTTCGGACAAGGATTCCATCCTGCCAGGGAAGCATTTCACCAGACTCCTGCACATCAGCGTGTTGGTCTGCAGCCAGAGGGAGCCAATGATCCCATGAGTCCGACCACCACCAATCCATACCAGTCACCAGAACAACATGGCATCGATCGTTCGACCGAAGATACCGGAAGCGAGGGCAATGACTTGCAGAACAGCCACTTGCCCGGTCTTGGGCAATTCAACGTAGACCCAGGTCAGCAACTTGGAGGTCTGGGAGGAATCACCGCGCTTCCGAATCTTGGTCGTGCTCACGTTCAAGGCCCAGCCAGCGACCGCAGCCAGACCTCTAGCGTTGGTCCTCATCGCGCTTTTTCCGGCCTTGGAGGACTCAGTGGTCTCGGTAGCATTCCCAACATGCCAGGATCAGCGGGATGGCCTGTGTCGCAAGGTGGTCTTGGGACGCCAAGCAGACAAACTGCTGGTCTGTCTAACGCTTTTGGAGGAGGCATCTTTTCCAATCAGATGTTGGATTTGCAGTCACCGGGACTTGCTGGACTTGGTGGTGCTGGATTGATGAGTCCGCAAGGTGGATCATTCGGTGGCAGCAGAATGGCCAGCATGTTTCCGCCTCAAATGCAGGAGCAGATGCAGCATCAAAATCGAGATGGAAGCAACGAAAAAGCTGCGCAACCTTTCGGTGGGCTGGGCGAATTTGGTCGCTCGACTGAAAGTCCCTTCGCAAATCAAGGCTTCAATGATCTTGCAGCAAAGGGTCAACATGATCCAAACGAGCTTCAGCGTCAGCAGGAGCAGCCTCAAACGACCGGCCAAAATCAGCCCCCTGGCAGTTCTGCGTCGAATCTCCCTCCTGCGCCACAGCAAAAGACGATGGTCATGCCAGATCGTATGCGATGGATCTACAAGGACCCTCAAGGCCAGACCCAAGGTCCATGGTCTGGCTTAGAGATGCATGACTGGTACAAGGCAGGATTCTTCTCCCCAGAACTTCTGGTGAAGAAGTACGAGGATCTCGATTACGAGCCTCTCGCGCAGCTTATTAGGAGAATTGGGAACTCTCGTGAGCCTTTCCTTGTCCCGCAGATTGGCATTCCGCACGGACAGACTGCTCCAAGTGGCCCTGGTGCATGGCCTGGTTCGATTGGATCTTCTGGCTCTGCACAACCACCTTTCGCATCCAGCTTCCCAAGCTTCGGCACCACCTTGACTGCGGATCAGCAGAATGCCCTCGAGCGTAGGAAGCAAGAGGAGCAGTATCTGATGGCTCGTCAGAAAGAGCATCTCGCCCAAGCTCAGATTGCGCAGCGAATGCAGATGCAAAGCGGAGGTCACCCTGGCATGGTTCCTGGTGGTCAGCTGCATCACCATAGCAGCGCTCATAGTCTGCAGTCTCAGCCAAGCTTTGGAAGCATCACAAGTCCAGCTGCTGGCTACCAACCAAGCCCCATCCAAGGACCAACCTCAGCCGGACAAGGTCAGCAGCCGCAGGGATTCTTTGATAATTCCTTCCGTCAGCCTCAAGGAAGCGCCTTGGGCGCGGTCGGGGCGCCATCACTTGGTCACATTCGCGAGGAAGAGATTCCAAGCATGATGGACCGTATGGATCTAGGTACTCGACAGCAGACAGGTCAATTCGGTGCTCCAGGCCAGCCATTCCCGGGCCAACAAGGCCAGCAGCAGCCACAGCTGGATGCGCATGAAGGCAAGGTTCAGCAGATGCTGCATGACCGTAATCGCTTGCAACAGGAGCAAGCCGAACATGACGCACGACAAGAATCGAACGACCAGCAAGATGCTCAAGCTTCAGCGGAGCGACTTCAGCACTTCCACCAGCTGCAAAACGAAGCGTTGCAACAGGCTCAACATCAGATACAGGAAAAGTCAATCATCTCTCCCGCTCAACACGATACATCTGCGACTGAAAGCAGCGTTGGCTCTCCAGTACCATCGGCGCACGCAGAGCAGCAACGTGCGCAAGAACCGCTGTCTTTGACCGAGCAGGTTCAGAAGGCTGCTTCCGCTAAGCATTCTCCAGCTCCACAACAGCCTGGCTTCCCTCTGCCATTCCCACCTCCAGCACTATCTCAATCACCACTGCCAGCGCCTTCCGCTCAGCGCACTGGTAGAGCATCCGTTGCAGATCAGCTGCAAACTGATGCACGTGATGCCTCCCAAACACCTTCGCTAGACACTCCAAGTGCTACAATTGCTCCCTGGGCCAAGGAACCAGCTGAAGCTCCCAAAGGTCCATCTCTCAAGGAGATTCAGGAGGCTGAGGCGAAGAAAGCTGCCGAGCAGGAAAAGATGGCTCTTGCTGCCAAGCGTGCTCAGCTTCAGCACGAGCGAGAACTGGAAGCACAAGCGCAGGCTGTTCCAATCCAGCCAGGTATTCCTGCGTCCGCGACCTGGGGTGCGCCATCTCCAGCTACTCCCACCGGCTCCGGACCAGCTGCCTGGGCAAAGACCGCGCCAAAGTCGACTGGCACAACATCATCCAAGACGTTGGCACAGATTCAAAAGGAGGAAGAGGCTCGGAAGCGAAAACAGGCCGCTGCTGCCGCTTTGCAGGCACACGCCAATGCTATGAACGTTGTGTCTAGCCCTGCAGGCGGCAAGAGCTATGCCAATCTCGCAGGCAAAGTCTCTGCTACAACAGTCCAAGCCAGTGCTGGGGGCAGTGCATGGACTACTGTTGGCGCAAGTGGGAAGACCAAGACTCCTGCGCCTGCGCCTCCAGCAAGCCGGGCAGTAAGCTCAGGAGTTGTGCCTACTGTTGCAGCTCCAACCGCGCGTAAGATGACATCTCGCAGCACGACCTTGGGTACGCCTGGCGCCGTAAATGCACAAGAAGAATTCAAGAAGTGGGCTGTCAACGAGCTCCGGCCAGACCTCAAGAAGAGCTTCAATGGTAAGTCAAACAATATCGCTTCTCGTCGATGCCCTTCGCTAACTTTGTAAACAGCTGAGGCCTTTGTCGCCGAGCTTCTTCAGTACCCTCTCGAGATGGACCTGCTCGTTGATGCTGTTCACCAATCCTCGGAGACTATCGACACCCGCCACTTCGCCGAAGAATGGATTCGCCGCAAGCGCCTGGCCGACAAAGGTCTCGTCGATAACAGTATGCCAAAGACATCAAGCCCGGCGAATGCTAGTTCTAGTGCTGGTGGATGGAGCGAGGTCGCCAAGAAGGGTCCTTCGAAAGAACAGGCTAAGGAGGAAGCCAATGGCATGTTTAGAGTTGTTGCCGCTAAGAAGCGTGGTGGCAAGAGATGAGATCATTTTTACAAGCTCAAGATGTCTCTCGTTGGTGGTATGTCTGATGATGCAGAGCGAAGCACGGCATGTACAAAGATTCTTGGCGGAGCATTATGCTCAAACACATTGTTCGGAAAAACATTCATTGTAGTGTAGGATAGACGAGGACTCAATCAACAAAGTCCTGTGCTGTGGTACACTGACTCTGCTCTTAGGGAAGCTATGGGACTATCCGAGATGCAATCCTGTCGACAAACTCGGCGGTACATCTTCCTCCCTCGTACCCCAACTACTCTCCTTATCCCCTAACACCAATTCCAGCGTGCCCCCGTTCAGGAAGAAATTATGATCAATCCAATTCTTCGTATACCTCTTCCCATTCAACTTCGCGCTCTGAATATACATCCTCTGATACGTCGGATCGAAATTCACATTCCGAATCCTCGCAACCTTGCCCGTCTGCGGATTCTTCACGGAAATCTCGGGGAAATACGGAGGGATGATGAAATATACGTTTTGTCCCGCGTTGGGAAATGCTCCTAACATGCTCCACAGAACGAATGTTCCCATCGCTCCGCTATCGTCGTTTCCCGGAATTCCGTTAATGGTGCTGTTGAACATGGAGGGGATGTATTCGTGGGTTTTTGCCGAGGAAAGGGCGGGGCGGCCGGCGTAGTGGTAGAGGAAGGCGGTGAGGAAGGCTTGTTCGTCGCCCATGTATAGGACACCCGAGTTGTGGAGTTTGTTTAGCCGGGATAGGAAGGCTGAGCGGCCGCCGAGGAGGGTTATGAGGGATGCCATGTCGCCTGGGGTGAAGAAGAGGTAGAGCCATGGGGAGCCTTCGTATGTTTCGTGGCCTGTGGGGTTGAGGTAGCAGCCGTCGGGGTTGTTGAGTGGGCTGCAGAGGGTTGCGTTTTGGAAGGCGAATTTGCCGTTGGAGTAGCGTGGTTGAGGGAAGCCTTTGAATCCCATTGATTCGAGATCCGGGTTGAAGACGTTTTGCCAGTTGGATGCTCGGGAAGAGTATTTTTCGAAGTCCTCCTTTCGGTCGGTAGCGTTGCTCATCTGGGCGATGCAGAAGTCGTTGTAGGCGTATTCGACGGTTCGTGAGATGGAGCGTGTGTTCATGCCGCCGGAATCGGAGTCTTGGAATGGTATGTAGCCTTTTTCTTTCCAGCTTGAGAGGCTGCCTCGGCCTTCGACGTCCCAGTTCTTAGGTTGTACTTCGGCGTCTTTGATCAGGGCTTCGTAGGCGTGGTTCCAGTCTACGCCTTTGAGCTTTTTCACGAACGAGTCGACAATGACTACGTCGGCGTTTGAGCCACCTTGCGTTAGGCCTTTGCAGAAGGACATGCGACAGTCTGGCATCCAGCCCAAGTTCTTATATACGTCGAGTAGTGATCTGACCATGCGTGATTGGGAGACTGTATCGATGAGCATGTAGAGAGGGTGGACGCCGCGAAATGTGTCCCAAATACAATACCACGAATCGTAGTATGGTTCGGTGGAATTCCACCCCAGTTGGTTTTCGCCAGTGTAGTCTTGTGGACTCAAAAACGCTCGATACACACCAGACCAGAAGTTTCGCAAATGGCTTCTGTCCACGCCAGTCGAGTCGATTGTGATGGGTTTCAGTTTCGCTCTCCAAGCCTTTTGAGCTTGTTCCAAAATGCGGTTGAAGCTCCAGTCGGGGATCTCTCTTTCGGCATTTTCGCAAGCACGTTCGACGCTGAGCCATGACAACCCGACTCTTACGTAGATATGATCTTTGCTGTCAACATCTGCAAGTCTTGCATAGATGCCTTGCTGTGGTGCGGCATATTGAGGAATAGACTCCGACGTGGTCGTGTTCGTGTATCCAGGCAGCACACTCGTGTTGAAGACTCCATAATCTTGGAGCTTGCCACCCCTGAAATCCACACATTGATAGGCTTTGTACGTGCCTTGGCCGAAAGATGGATTGAACTGGCCTTCTGCAGTGATTCGTCCGGTCTCAGGATCGATAGCCACGGATCTCTCACCAACCGATGAAGGCAGATCAGATGCATCCAGGGTCAGTACTGGATTCGTGGTCGATGTGGTTTCGTTGAAGGAGAAACGGAAGATGGATACTCGCTCTCCTGCGGTCATCTCTGCTCTGATGCCATTTTCGAGAGTGATGGTGAAGTAGCCAGGGGACGCGTAGACACACGTCGGGTCGTATGCCTTTGCCCTGTCCCATCGGCTCATGTAACACTCCGTGATATTTGGACAAGATGGATGCAGCCAAATGGGGAAATTGCCCATGCTGGGACTCCCTCCCGTTCCAGAATCGTGTAAAGACGAGAATCCCGCGACGGGCGACTGATCGAAAGCGAATCCTCCCATCTTCTCGGTGCCAGTGACATCGGCAACGGGCTTTGCCATGCCAAAAGGTAAGCTTGCTCCTGCAAATACATGGCCGCCGGGACCTGTTCCAATTAGGGGATCAATATACTGTAGAATGTCTTCGGGGGCGTTTCCAGCCAGACTTCCATGAATCCAGAAGGCAATGATGATGATCAATAGCATTAGGCAGAGGAGGATGGCCCAGGACAGCGGTTCCAGAAAGATACTTAACGGCGGTCGTCTAGGCGTGCGATCCCCAATGGGAAGGTATGCTTGCATTCGTCGGCGCATGATGGAGTGTGAACGGCGTGCAGCGCTTCGGTCACCAGCACTGTCATCATTTAACTCAATAGAATAGCGTCTTCGAAAGGCGCCTGTGTCAAAGGCTCAAAGCCAAGCGCATGGATCAAGGTACTTTCAGGGACAAGGAACACAAAATTGGCAAGTCTGGATAGAATATTCTAGTGCCAAGACGTGGTAGGGAGAGAGTGCAGTAGTGTCCTCTGCATCGCCTGTTCGTCTGCTTCGAGGGTGGCTTCGGATTCAACCGACGGCATAATCGACATCACCACTGCAGACTCACGGTGTTTTTAATTTCCGGACTTATAAACACCGTGTACACTATATAGACATACACGAGGTGCGGATTGGTTAGCAGGTAGGGCAGTTATTATAGCGTATTCTAGCTAGTAGATAGGGCAGTTAATATAGCGTATTCTATACAAATTACCTAGACAAAGAAAATAAGAGATATAGAGCGTAAATAGTAATGTTCTAGGTATATAAAGTAGGCCCTACTAGCTATTACTATCGATAGTAAGGCTAATAGTATTACTATTACTATCGCTATAGCCTCGAGTAGACTCTAAGTCGCTTTATAGCTTAAAGACCTCTTATAGTATATCCTATAGGTCTATATAACTATCGTCTATAGGCTTATTACTATCTAGTCGATACTTAATTCTTAGGTTCTAGTAGACGAAGACTAACTTCTTAAGTATATTACAGCTTAACCTAGTACGCTTAAGTAACTAAATAGGGCTATAAGTAGACTAGTTACGCTTAGTAGTACTAGCTACTAGATATAGAGACAACGCTAGTATATAGAGACTAGTAAGCTTACAATACGAGTCTTAGAAGCTACTAGACTACTATAATAATAGTATTAGACTCTTTCTAGCTACCTATATAGTAGGGCTACTAAATAGACCTTATCGGCTATAGAGTATAAAGATATTATTTAGAAGTTGTCTAGCGCGTATATAGACCTTATTAGCCGACTCTTTATAGTCCGGATAGATAGCGGATATAAGTTATTAGCTACTATAGTACTCGACGAGGAAAGGAGTAAAGGATCGGACTTCTAAGATCCTCGTTAGTAGTAATAAGGAACTATTTATCGGGATCGGAGCGCTCGGATATATTAGCGAGATAGGTAATTAGTATAATAGGCTAATAACTAAAGGCATTACTAGTCCGCTAGAGTATTCTATATAGTGCCCTATACTTATAGCTTCTCCTAGTATATTTCGATATAGACCTCTTTTTCCTTATTTAAGACGAGGTTTAGCGCTTTATTAACTACTATATTTATTAGCTAGCGCTAGTTGCTATATATATATAGTAGCTTAGGTCTATCGAACTCGAGTACGATAGCAACTCTAAGGGATAGCTCTATAAGGTCGGAGTAGCTAAGGAAGGAAGAAGTTAGCTATAAGAGGTTAAATTTAGGCTTTAGTACTTACTCTTTTAAATTACGCTAAAACTAGTCCTCTTCGTATACCTCGTATATCTCTAACTATATCTGCCGCTACGTAGAGCTCGCTCCTACTAGTAGGCGGTACTCGTAGTACGCTTAGAGTTCTTCTATCTAGTATTTACTAATAAGGACGCTTTTATAGTAATATAGGTCGGCTTACTAGTAGATATCTCTAGGAACCTAAAATGCCGCACTTTACCCTTAGAAATGTCCTATAGTATCTTAAAGGCAAGATTAGTATATTTAGAGCACTCTATAGTAGGTTTAGTATTAGAAACAATACGTTAGATAGTAGTTATACTAGTATTAAAGCAGTATAGGTTAGAAACTAGAAGCTAAGTATAGTAGGCGGTATATCCTATTCTAACTAGGTTAAACTAGCCCTAGATACTACCGGACGTACTAAGTCTTATTAGCGCTTCTTAGCTAGCTAGTTAGCGCGATCCGTAAGAGGCAAGCCTAATCTCTAGCTTTCGAAATATACCTCTTTAGTCGCCGCCTTTATTACTAGCGTATTATTAGTAACTATACTAACTGTCTTGCCTACCGGAAAGCGCTTAATAACGTCTATAAGGCCTTTAGCGTAGTACTAAGTATTACTCCTAATAGCGCCGGTAAGCCTAGACTATATAAACTACGCCGCTCGAGGCGTAACTACGAGATAATTAATAACTAAGCGATAAGCGGGATTAGACTAGCTATTAGTTACGATATAGAGCTACGTAATTTTATTAACCTTTACTATTATCTCCTTGTTTAGTCGCTTACAAATTGTGAGAAGGGTTATGTTAGTAGGTAGATAGGGTAGTAGTTAATTAGTATAGTATTCGATAGAGATCTAAGAGGAGAGGGAGGAAGGTAGGCTAGTTGGCCTAACGCTAAGCGCCAAGCCCTGCCTAAGGCATTAGGACCCTAGCTTTACTCGGCCTAGTCACATGCCAATTACGTATAGCCTCTAACATACGCTTCCCTTCTAAAGGCCGCGCCCTCGTAGCCTGTCTATGTCCTACGACCTCTATTGCCGCTAACTTAGCAAGTCTAATAAGCTGCTTAGCCCGCGCTAAATTGAACACTTAACTACCTAATTATGTAACTATATTAAACCTTACCTTCTAATACAATGTCTAACTCTAACTACGCTATCCTTGTATATAATAAAGTAAAGGGATATAAGGCTACAAGAATTGAGGGCCCTCGACTAATTATAATACGAGCGCGCCTTCCCTACTATAATAGGTAGGCGTACGAGGTATTGTAGCACTGCCTCCGTTCTAAGTAATGTCGTTCCGAGTTCTCTACGTCTACTCTAAAAGACCTAGAAATGTCCGCTCCGAGGGTTTGTCCGTTCCGAGGGTTGTTCTTATTGTTATAAGGACTATTATTTACTATCGTAGTTTCACTAGCCTAAATTAGTTAGGTTTAGCAGCCTTTAAGTGTTAACTAATTATATCTTTTTAAAAAACTCAGTTCTTCTAGTTTCTATAGGTAAAGGCTATTATAAGTATAGTAGTAGAGGTTCGCCTCGCTTAAAGGGTTAGATAGATCGAGGAGTAACCTATTGTCCGCAAGATCGACCCCGGCTAGCTTAGCTCTATAGTTTTTGCCCTTAGTTAGTCTATTAGTCGCTTAATCTTTTAGGCGGCTTAAAGTTTTAACTTAGCCTTAAAGTTTTAATCAAACCTTTAATAGGTTCAATCTTTTAACTTAGTTAGTATAGTAGTTTAGGCTCGTAGTGTAGGTAAGGTTGACAATAGCAGCGAGCAGGTAATGTTAATAACGGCGGCGCTAGTCGTCTTAGCGCTAACTTTACCTTGCTTCTAATTTCCTTCTTTAACTAACAATAACTCGGTAATACTGTTACTAATATAGCTGTGCCCTTCCTTTTTTAAATAGCAATACACTCCGCAACACTGTTACTAATATAGCCGCGCCGGCCGCCGGTATACTACTAGCTCGTAGCGCGACACTATTATCTTCGATAGGATAAAGAAATAAGAGGGGGACCTAATACTAGGAGGAGGCCCTATAGGGCGCATTAGTAAAGAGGTAGAGCCCTTGAAAGAGCATGCGATTAGTTAACGCGTTATAGCGCGCTTATTAATACTCGGTGCGCGTTTACTATAGTAGTGTAGTCTTATTGTCCTAGTTTGCCGGCCTCTAATTAGCTAGCTAATAGCACCCCGGGGGTAGTATTATTCCTAAGCCTTAGTAACATTACGAGCTTTTAGCCTTCTTCTTGTTCTTTACGCTAGTCTAATACTCGTTTAATAACTTAGCTATATCCTTAAAGGAATCTTTAGCCTCCTACGAGTCCTATTTAGGTAAATAGCCTTGCTATCTTAATAGGTATTCCTTTTTGCCCTACCTAGTTCGGTGCTTTAGGATACGTTCTATAGACTACAGTTCTTTACCGTTAGCTAGTATCTCTTTATGTTTAGTAGGGGCTTCTTTATTAGAGTCTCCGCGGTAGTAGTACAGTTTAAGGAAGGAGATATAGAAGGTGTTATAGATAGTGTAGTATAGTGGGAGCTATAACTAATAGGCCTAGCTATTGCCCTTCGGTTCTCGGATTCGGAATAGGCCAATGTATCTTAGTGTAAGCTTAGGCCTTATTTTGCTATTAGGTAATAGGTGTTTGCGGATACGGAGGTTCTTAGTGCTTAGTATAACTATATCGCCTTGCTTGAAAGTTATTAGCGTATAGTGTTTGTTATAGTAGGCCTTCTAATATGCCTAGGCCTTTGCTAGTTTGTTAGCTAACTTAGCGTAAACCTCTCGTATCTTTTGAACCCTCTTAATAGCCGCTAGCGTCTTAGGTATTAGTACTTAACGCGCTTCCCTTTCCTTGCGCTCGGCCTCGAGCGAGGTAAATAGATCTTATAGTAAGGCGGCGTTCTAGCCTATTATAGCTATATATAGTAAAACCTTGGTAGATAAGTATACACTATTGTTGTATACGAATTCTATAGGCTATAGGAGGTTGACCTAGTCGTTAGGGTTCTCGTTAATATAACTACGTAGGTACTGCTATAGGGTAGCATTTTGCCTCTCGGTCTAACTATCTATTTATAGATAGAATGCTATAGACAAGCGATGCTTGAGTCTTAGCTATAGGCAAATCTCACTCTAATAGTAAGATGTGAATGTTGAGCCTCGGTTAGAGACTATCCCCTTAGGGGTTCCCTAATAGCTATAGAAGATGTTATTCTATAGTAATTTAGCTAAGTTAATAGCTATCCAATCCTTCCTAGCAGGGATATAACGAGCGCCCTTAGTGAATCGGTCTACGACAACTAGGATAGCATTATATACATCCTTGCTACTCCTACGCTTAGCAGGCGGGAGGCCTATAATAAAATCTATTATAAGCTTAGCAAATGGCTTCTTTAGAATAGGGAGTAAAGACAACTCGCTAAATAGTAAGTGCTTTAGTGCTTTAACTCGTTAACATACGGCACACGTATTTACGTAGTCCTTTATATCCCGCTTACTATTTAGCTAGTAGTATATACGCGATAGTAACTCGTACGACCTCTTTATACTATAGTAACCGGCAAGCTTACTATTATAGTGTCGCTTAAGAAGCTCTTATCGGATCGAATGCTCGGTAGGGATATAGAGCCTGTCCTTATAGCGTAAATAGCTATTAGCATTAATCGACCAATTCTTACTAGATCTAGTCTTGCGGCTACTTCTAAGCTAATCTATACGAGCCGTAGCAAAGGCGTCCCTCTGCTAAGTACGCAACAGCTTATCTATAAATGCTCGGCTATTACCGTCTGCAAGTTCGCTTAATAGTACCCTCGCTGTCTTACGTAGTACGTACTATATGCATCTAGTAGTACTAGCAGCCGGATTAACTGCATTAGTGCTATCGCTGTTACTGTATATAGCGATGTCGACTAGGGAGTTATTATAACTTCTCCTATCTATATCCTTAACACGCACTATTAATATAGCAAGAGCATTAATATGCTTTAAGCCGTCGCGGAGTCCGGTAAGCCGCTTATCCTACGCCTACCTTACTACGAGGTCTATAGCAATCTTGTGCTATAGAGTTAGAAATAACGAATTAATAGATTGGGTTTCGCCGTTATAATTAGGTCGCCTCGATAGGCTATTAGCAGGGTTGCTTACGCCTAGCCGATATAATATATCAAAATCAAACCTAGCGAGGTAGACGGCCTATCTAGCCTATCGACCTATAACCCTAGTAACCTTCGTAATTCTACAGAGGTTGTTATAGTCTGTATAGACCTAAATAGTGTACTAGGCACTATCGAGATAGTAGCGCTAGTACTTAAAGGCCTCGATAATAGCTAAGAGCTCTTGCTCGTAGGTCTCGTAGCGACGTTCTATATTAATTATCTTCCTTAAGAAGAAGGCAATCGGGTGCTAATAATAGTCTTTGTTAGACTGCTAAGACATAATAGCTAAAACAGCAAACTGCGAAGCGTTAGTCTTAATGCGAATTAGTTTACTTAGTACGAAATAGTGCAGTAAGGGGACTTTAGTAAAGCGTTGCTTTAGACCGTTAAAAGCGGCTTATGCTCTGTTAGTCTATTTAAACTCTCTAGATAGGTTAGCCTTGGTTTTAGTGAGTTTAGTTAGAGGCATTACATGCCGTAAATAGCCCTTAATAAAGCGACGATAGAAATTAGCGAAGCCGAGGAATAACTATAGCTCCTTAATTAACGTAGGAATAGGCTATTTAGTAATGGTTTTGATCCGATTAGGATTAGCCTTAACACTCTTAGTTAATACGAGGAAGCTAAGGAATAATACCTCTTTAGTAGCAAAGGTGCATTTAGAAGGTTTATAATATAGTCTATAGGCTCGTAGGCGGTCGAGGACCTTACGGACTGTAGCCTAGTACTCCGCAATATTAGGGGAGTATATATAAACTAGGATGTTATCTAGGTAAACTATATAGAGGTAATCTAATAGGCCTAATAGGGCCCGATTGATATAGGACTAGAATGTAGTAGGGGTATTAGCTAGCCTAAATAGTATAACTAAGTACTCGAAATAGCTATAGCGAGTACGAAAGGCTGTCTTCTATTTATCGCCCTTGCGAATACAGATGCGGTAATAGGCGTCCTTAATGTCTAATATAGTGTAGTAGTAGGTACTAGAAAGGCGATCGAGGGTCTTATTAATAAGAGGAAGTAGATAGCGATCTTTAATAGTAATAGTATTAAGCCTACGATAATCGATATAGAGACGTAGGCTACTATCCTTCTTTAGTACGAACAGGATAGGGGCATTAGCAGGGCTATTACTATATCGAATGCGACTATTAGCTAGGTTTTCCTCTAGGTACTTACGCAATATAGCTAGCTCTCGTTTACTAAGGTTATAGAGGGGACTAAAAGGAACCTCTTTGCCCTCTATAATGTTAATCTTATAATCCGTCTCTTTAAATATAGGCAATGTCGATACTAGGTAGTGTTTAAACACCTCGATATAGGTCTCCCTAATAGTCTAGGGTATACGAGCGAGCTAATTAGGGTCTATACTATTAGGAGGTACAGGTTCATCGTTATTACTACCGAGTAGGTCGGTAGTAGGATTAGCTAAGGCGGAGGTAGGTATTAAGTTGCTAATAAACAGGACCCTAATATTATTAGGACACTCGCTAATGTCGATATATTTAATGTCCTCTTTCCTAGCGATTCTAAATCGCTACTATTGAAGGCCTAGGTCTATAACTATAGCGTAGTACTTAAGAACAGGGTTGCTAATAACAATATCGGAGGAGAGGCTATCTATGTCTACCGCGTAGGTAGTAAAGTTTAGTAGGCGCTTATTGCCGAGGTCGTCCTTTAGGGCTATATAAATATAGTAGGCTCTATAGGTTAAGTGCCGAGCGTTATTAAACTAAGTAAGGGTTAGTAGGTTAGTCCTAGGCAGTTGTCGAAGGTCTAATTGCTTAGCTAGGCGATAGCTAATAAGGGCACTAACTGAATTTCCTAGATCTAGTATAACCTTAGTCTTATAATTAGTTCTATACGTATCCGATACGAGATAGGTGCGTATAATAGCTAGCACAATGTCGATAGTCTTACGCCGTATAAGGCTAATAGTTAGTGCGGCGCTTATTCTTTTTTCGACTAATAAGAAGGTTAGCCTATAGGGGTAGCGTTAGCTGCTAAAAGGTGCTTTCGGTATTTAGCGGCAGTACGGTCGATTCGGGCCTAATCCTTAGGTTTGTCGTATTAGCCTAGTAGATAGCTAGTGCTATTACAATTGAAGCACTTCAATCTAGTTAGAATACTGCCGTAGCTATTGTTGTTAGTTAAGCGGTTAGCGTTATAAGGATACGAGCCCCTTCTACGGCCCCTATTACGGCCTCCTCTATATAGCCGTCGGCTACGGCCTCTTCTACGGTCGTTACTGTTCCTATTATTAGCACTATTGTTTTAGGTAGAACCTTGGTTTCCTCCGCGGGCACTACGGTTGCCGCGGTTAGTACTAGCTAGTCGGATCCTCGATTCTAGTCGCTATTAGAGTTAAACAGCCCGTTCGGCTATTTCCACTTCGACTATAAATTAAATGCGTATTAGGTTAGCCTGTTTAAACACACGGCGGCGGTCCAATTTAAGGACCAATTCCTATCGCAATTTAGGGCGTATTTCGGAAATCTAGATAGAGTCGGTTTTAGGTAGCAAATCGTCCTTAAGGGTCTTTAGATAGGCCTCGAAGGATCGAGAGGTTTAGTCGGCCTTTTGTTTAGCACGTAGGTATTAGTCTTAGGCGTGTTGTTGCCTTAGTATAGGGTTTCTAAGGGTGTCTAGCATAATAGTCTTATAGGTTTTCTACTAAATAGCGGTCTAGTCGTTAAGGGAGTCGAAATGGTTATCCTACGTACGCTTTAGGTTACTATTAATATACTACATAGTATAGACAACTAAGGAATAGTTATCTAGTAGCGCCCTCGGTGCATTGCGCTAGTTGAGCTTATAGTTACGAATATAGTTATTGTATTGCTTCCGACTAGAGCTATTAAATACAGTGTAGTCCTTAAGTTTAGTATCCTTCTTCTAGACTAGGACTAATAGTAAGGAAGGGCCTGCTATCGGCTTAGTATTAGTTGTTAGGGCCTCCTAAAGGCGGCGGATTTCAAGGAGGTTCTCCTTTAGCTGTTGTTCTTAGCGTAGAGTAGCGAGCCTATTCTAGGTAGCTTCTTAGAGTCTCGCTACTAGCTAGGGGCTAAAGGCTAGTTAGCTATATCGTCGATTAACAATGTTGTTAAGAATGTCGTTAATAGGCAATTCTAGATTATCGCCTAGAACTATAGGTTCTTCGGCAGGCCTAGTAGCAGGCTCTTTAGCAGGAGGCACTTTAGTAGGTGCTTTAGTAGGCACTTTAGTAGGCACTTTAGCAGGTACTGTACTACTAGCGTTGTCGTTACTAGCGCTGCTAGCGGCAGCACGGTTGTTGTTGCTTCGTAATAAACCGGCTATTATAATAAGGGGTAATACTAATAATATATTATAGGCCCCTAAGATACGGATATAGCGGAATTAGTAGGTATCGGTCTAGTATGCTTAACTTGGTGTAATAGGCCGTATAGAAGGCCTTGCTTAATAATTAGTACGGTTGTTTCGATAGAATAGTACGTATAGGTCCCGTTCTTCGGGCGTAATATAGTTAAATCGATAGTTTTCGTAGCTATACCGCTAAAAGCTTGAAATAAGGACTATCTAGCTGCTACCTTTAAAGGGTAGATCGAATACTATATAAGAAGGGTTATGTTAGCAGGTAGATAGGGTAGTAGTTAATTAGTGTAGTATTCGATAGAGATCTAAGAGGAGAGGGAGGAAGGTAGGCTAGTTAGCCTAACGCTAAGCGCCAAGCCCTGCCTAAGGCATTAGGACCCTAGCTTCACTCGGCCTAGTTACATACTAATCACGTATAGCCTCTAACACAAATACGTAGTAGGTATATATATCTAGGCTACTAGCGAGTCGGTAGCTTAAAAGCTAGTCGTAACCTCTTTAGTATTTACTTATTTTTAGAAGGTAGGGCATTTAGTAGCTACTAGAAGCAAATGCCTATTTAGTAACTAACTCGTAGAGCTTCTCGTACGTATTAGTAGTTATTTCGTAGATAAAACCTAACCTTATAAGTAGTATTTCCTTATATAGAATACAGGCGATTTCCTCTATATCCCTATTACTTAAAGAAGGCTCTTCGGCCTCTTCTACTAGTAATCTAGTATCTACTACCTCTAGTAGCAACTAACGTTAATAGGTTAGCTATAATCTCTCTAGTAGGAAGTTATACTTCGTTAAGTAATTAATAATTTAAGCGCGCTTATTTAATATCTATTTATTGCTATAGTAAGTATACTTAACGATAGTATAGACCTTACTGTTAGAACGGTCTCCTATTGCCTTATACTAATATCTACCTTCTATACGCTTCTACTTACTAAGGTTATAGTAAGCTAGTAATAGAGTTATTAGATTACTAGGGTAGTAGATAGCGATTAGCGCCAATTACTAGCTTAAAGAGGCGTTATTAGATATAGTAATAGTAGAAACGATAGAGTATTTAGTAGTAGATTAAAGCTAAAGTAATAAATAGAAGAGGAGGAAACGGATAGTCTATCTATACGTATTCTACTATAAAATCGCCTATTTTATATACCTACTAGTATAGTCTCCTTTGTCTATAGTCGCGGTAATCTTACTATTAAGTTCTTATTAGTATTTATAGTCTCCCTATAGTAGACTAGGCCTATATCTAATATACTCTATTACCTTTCTATAACTATTGCTTTTATATATAGCATTACTTATAGACGCTATTATAACGCGAAAAGTCGCGAATAGGCGCGGCGGTAATAATTAATATAATAAAGGCTAGGATATAATAAATCTCTATAGCGCCGGCATATCGACTAGAGGTACTAGCTAGCTACTAAGTACTAAACTAGCTATTCTACGCGATTATTGCTAGTCCCGTTATTTACCTAAGTGTTTGTATAATACTAGCTAAAATTTACGTATCTATAGTATTGTTTTCGTATTTACCGGGCTTATACTATTATGTCTAGTATTACTATATAGACGGCTTCTCTAGCAGACGGCACGGCCGATTGCGTATCTAGTTATCTTAGTAATCGCGGCTAGCGTTGATGTCTGTCACTCTAATAAGAACATGCAGTGGTGTGGTGCATGTTTTGTGCGAGCATTATGTCAGCGACCCCTGGTTGTTTCCCCCCGGTCACCGTTTGAGGTCTTCCATTAGCCTACCATTTAATTGCGAGGACAGGGCAGTTGCAGGGTGCCCGCGAGCTAGCAACATCCACATGCGTGAAGAACGGTAGCGTTGACCAGGCCTCTCATCCTTCAAGGAATTGAGTTCGCACAGCCAGAAGTTGCCGCTGCACACTTGCGAATCAACGAGGCCACTTTGAGAAGCTTTGAATCTTGCCGGCCCTTGAAGGAGCGGAATCGCTGCATCTATGCCTGGCCTGGCAGGGTCTTGGATGGTTCTCTATTCTCGACTCCGAGAATAATACTACTACTCTGACCGAAAAGGATGATTGCGAGTCAATGCCTCCGTCTGAACTTGTATGTCAAAGTCTGGAGTGACGAGAGAAGGCAGACTGGGATATTCTAAGTCTTCCTTCACACCTGCATCAAACTTCAGCAGCGGTCCAGCTTCTGCAGCTGCTAAGCAGTAGTCAAGCTTGATCGTGCTGCAGACTGGTGGAAAGACAGCTTCAACGTGAAGAAGTGCAGCATTGCAGTATTCTTTATCTCACGAACATTGATAGGCGAAGAAGATTCGGAGCGTCATATATTTGATCAGATACCCTTCTGCGAACCTGGTAAGTTCGCGCTTGCAGAGTTGCCATTGAACGAGACTGATCGCAATATCACTCAAAGCTGGCCAGTCAAGCAGGATAGAACAAGTTATTCGATACAATCGGCACGAAAAATGGGTATCGAGCGCAGAAAGTATCCTGCTCAATCCGTCAACCAATCACCACCAGCTCATGATCCGACTCTTGTCTTCGATGGAGCTGTTAGACGTCGAAGCACCCGAGCGAAGTCGAATGCCCATCCTGTCTACCGTCGTGGAATGACGCTCCGGGACCAGTCTGATGCCGAAACGCCTGACGAGGAACCACGACGAAGGCACTCGGCAACAGTTCATACCGGAGAGACTGAGGACGAGCTTGATGAAGACGCAGACAACGAGAACAATAATGAAGAGAGCACTGCTCAGTTTAGCGGTCCATCCGAGACTTTCGAAGAGGAAACCCATATGTCGGTAAAGAACCGAGACTTGGAAAGAGAGCACAAAAGCTCCAATCGCGCAACTCAGCGCGAAAGGCCGGGGAGGAATGGTCAAGCCGTGGCTGGAAGAAGGGATGTCCAGCAGCGAAGCTCATCAAGCTTACTGGTCCTAAACATTCCGAGGAGCAAGAAACGCAAAGGAGATATTGGGGTTCTGGCCGACGAAGAGGAGCGAGCCATCAAGCGGGAGCGCAGTGAGCATGTCAACAGCATACCACCTGCAAGTTCAGGGTTGGCGAATTACGAAGACGACGACGAAATCATGGCTATCGACCTCGAGGCTTTACAGCTGAGAAGGAGGATGCGGATGAAAAAGCTTCGACAAGAGGGGGAACTTCGCCAGGCCGGTAGATCGGTGGATTAGGTCGGAATATGTCGGGAGATGACTTGAAGTTGGATGCAAGATATCCAGACTTTCGGCACATTCATTCATACAAATACAGTCGTTTGATGCGGGAACAAGTCTCTGAAAGAGCTCATATTGGCTTTTCGAAGCAGGAATACCATCTCTTTTCACTTTCGTTCGCTTCGTCTCATATCGGCGATCGCTCCGATTGACAATGATTGCGAGTTCCAATTGCGAGCCCATCTGCTTAGAACAGGCGGGGAGATGATATAGGTCCCCGAGACATGCCGGCGCTTTTCGGTATTGGAAACAGCGAAAAACTGCGGATATAACCGACGAGACCACAGAGAAACACGGGAACCCTGCGAAAGCCGTGATCTTGGAGTTCGGATTGATGAAAGACTTGGAGTGTGTGTCCAGGTGTCAGGGTCCATCACGTGCCTGATGCCTGAGGCTGCAACTGCTGCACTTCATCTTCGGACTTCTACATAGATTAGTCCTTCTTCCAATACATTAGTTACATCAAGTTTCTACATAGATTAGTCCTTCTTCTAATACATTAGTTATATTAAGTAGTTATAAGCCCCCTGCGTTTCTAACGCATTCTATACGTATTCTAATAGTTACTCCGACTACTACGTAGCTAGCGCTTATAACTAAAAATTGCGCCGACACTAATACCGTCGCCGCCGCCGCCCTCGAGTATTCTAGTAGGTACTAGACTTAAGTCGGTTACTATTAGTATTAGCTATCCGCTATACCGGTTCCTAATAATAGTATTAGCTATCCGCTATACTAATATAATATAGGCGCGTCTATCGGCGGCCTCGTTATACCCTCGAGATAAGTCTATAGTCTCTATCTATATCATCGCCGTCGCTGTCCGCAATAGCTCCCCCTATAACCTCTAGCGCTTATATAAGCAATATTCCTAAGCTAAAGAATAAGGAGAATTACCTATTATAGTCGTATACCGCTAAAGGCGCCCTTAAAGGTATATCGGTCTAGCGCTATATGTAAGGCACCCGCTAGCGACCCCTTTCTAAGGCCTCTAGTAAGTCTTCTAAGGAGTTTAAAGACCGCTAAGATAAATAGGACTCTAAAGATTAAATAGTACGTACCTAGATCTTTGCTAATTATATTAGTAACATTTAATAGTTACTGCTTAGTCTATCTATATTCTAGGAAGTATAGGACTTCCTTAAGAAGAAATATACTAGTAAAGGTAGGTCTACTAAATTTATACTCTACTAGGAATATATTACCCTTCGCTATAATAGTAAGGACGTTAAGAAGTTCTGCAATAAGTACAAGAAGAAGCTCGGTACCTTAAAGGATACTAAATTAGCTATTAGCTAGTATTAGGCTGTCTATATGTTTATTATATAGATCTCTCTATTCTACGAGGCTTTTATACAAATGCGCCGAGAGTAGATACGCGCCTCCGAATATACTATTAATAACAATACCCTTAACAATATTATTAGCGCGTTGCTTAATAAGAATGTAGCTTAATTAAACTAGGCCTAGTATAATAGCTTCTTCGGCCTTTAGCGCTAGCAACTACAAGGTAATAGTAATAGCAATAGTCGAGGCGACTCGAACCGTAGCGGTCGTAGTAGCCGCGGAAACAATAATAATACTAACGGTCGAGGCCGCGGTAGAAGCAACTAGAATAGTTATTAGTCTAACCGTAAGAAGTGCGCCTATTATTAGGGGTTACACTCTTCTAACCGCTGCTATACTAAGTACCCTTACCTAAAGGAGGAAGACCGACTATATCGTAAATAGTAGAAGGCTAAGAAGAAGGGGGTGCAGCAATAGTAGCAGCGTAGACTAACTGCTTAGCAACAGAAGCAGCCGCTATCTAGTTAGAATAGTGCTTAGAGGCTATATACGGCTAATGCTACCCCGGGGGTGTTATTAGGCCTAAGCGACAATTACGCCTTTACTACAAACACTATAGTTACTATTAGCGACTAGGTTTCTACGGCTCTTACTACTAGCACTCGTACTACTAATTAGGTTGTCGACTTAGGTACTAGTATATATATAGTTAACGACCCTTTATTGCTTATTAAATATAAAGGCTATTACATTCCTATTCGGTTTAGTAGCAACACGAAGCACGCTACGATAGTTAGTATAGCTTAGATAGAGGTTGTTAATAAGCGTAGTATAAGCAATATAAAGTTGTCTAATATACTATATATGCCTAGTCTAGCAGCTAACCTTCTATCTACTAAGAAGCTTGCCGATAAGGGTTGTTTCTACCGTAATAACAAGCGTATACTGTTTACGATAGTAGAGGGCAATAAGGTTACTGTCGCTTAGATATACCGTAAGAATAGTCTCCCCTACCTCTATATACTAACCTCTAGTCTAGATAGTAAGGTAGTTGCCCTTTTGTTAAAGAAGGGGGTGCCTATAGGCACTATAAATGAATAGCATCTGCGATATAGCTATATTCATTACCGCAAGCTACTAAGAATAGAATCTAAGGGTCAAATCGTTATTACTAGTGCTAAGAAGGACTTCCGCAACTGCGTTGCCTGTCGCATAGCCACATTATACAAGGAATATAATCGGCTGCTACGCGTACGACTATCTACGATCTATTACATTGTCTGTATTAATATAGTTACTATTACTAATCCTAGTCTATTATAGGAGCGCTATTTCACACTGTTTATATGCGCTAAGTTAGGCTATCGATACGAATATGCTAGCACGCTTAAGTTAGGGGCTATAGCAGCTATTAAGGACTATCGTATATATATCCGTATATAGACTAGTTACTTAATCCCAATCTACCGCCTCGATAGAGAGGGTAAATACGGCGGAAATTAGCTATTAAATTAGGCTCGAGACGAGGGCATTGTACTACAAGTTACTATACCTCATTCTTTAACTTAGAATAGCCTTGCTAAGGTTAGCAATTACATCGTATATACGACTGCGAGAAAGATAATGCTATAGGCTAACCTTCTAAAGTCTCTGTAGCTATATGCTATTGCCTCCGCTATATAGGTCCTTAATATTACGCTAACCGCTAACGGAGGAAGCCTATATACTATTATCGCTAAGGAGCTTAATTAGTTACGAATATAGCCGCGTCTTTAGCACCTTCGAGCGTATAGCTGTACGTTAATTGCCTACGATTATAGTATTACTCGTAGAAAGAAGATAGATAGTAGAGGTCTTATTAGCAAGCTAGTTGGCTATACTAAGGGCTCTGTAGACTCTAGAAAGTATATAATCTACCTACCTAATCAATATAAGGTTATCGCTTCTAAGGATGTTCAGTTTATTAAGTCAGATAGTAACCTTCTGCTTCTAAATAGCATAGATCTATATACTAATCCTAATAACCCTTCTAAGAGCGAGTTTATTAACATTAAGTCTATTATACCGGCTCTATTCAATTCTATAAGCAACGAGGCTCCGTTACTAGCCGACGCCGCTAGTATAGTCTAGCAGCTTCTAGCCTAGTAAGAAGAGCCTCCGGACGAACCTGCTTAGCAAATGCCTAATAAGGTCGCTAGTCCGCTACCGCTCGATAACGACCTTCTAGACGTTTAACTACTAGCTTTAAGTAATAAAGATAGCTTTTAGTTAGCCGAGGAAGAGCTAGTATATAATTCAAACGCTAAGAAGGGCGAGCTAGGCTAGTTGCCTAAGTTTAAGCGACTAGCTGAAGCTATTAGTAATCGTTCTACGCGCAAGATACGGAGCAACAAGTCGGCTCGTAACCTGTTACGTAGCTATCTAGCTAATTGTAGTGTTAAGCGGTTAACTCGACGCATAATAGCTAATATGCCGATAGCCTATATAAAGGGCTTTATAGCTTCCTGCTACGTTGCTAAACAGTTAGATAGAGACACTATTCCTATTCCGAAGAGCTACAAGGAGGCGACTTAGTTACTATATTAGCTGCAATAGAAGGAGGCCTATAAGGCTAAATATAAGTTACTAATTAACAATTATATATAGGTTTATATAACTCGACTAGAGGTGCCTAAAGGTCGCAAGGTTGTCCGTAGCCGATAGGTCTTTACTATCAAGCGAGACGCTAATAGCAATATAAGCCGTTTTAAGGCGCGCTAGGTTGTCCGTAGCTTTACATAGGTCGAAGGACAGGATTATAATAAGACCTATACGGCTGTTACTAAGCCTTGCACGCTTCGAGCCCTATTTGGCCTAATTACTTATTACGACCTAGAGGCTAAGCAATACGATATTCTAACAGCCTTCCTTAATGCCCTAATTAGCGATAAGTATAAGATCTACATTAAATAGCTATACGGCTTTAAAGAGCGTAGTAGTAAGGGCATAGTTTGCCTATTGCTAAAGGCACTATATAGTCTAAAGCAGTTACTAATGCTATAGTATAAAGAGCTTCGGAAGTACTTAAAGAGCCTAAACTTTATACTAATAATAACTAACGTGTGTATGTTTAAACACATTGTTAGCGGCTTAATTATCGTTATTTACGTCGACGATATAATTATTATCGCCTATAGCCTATTAGTACTAGAGGCCGTTGCTTAGTTGCTAAAGGACCGCTTTAATATGCGAGAACTAGGCGACCTTTACTACTATCTCGGTATGCGCATTATCCGCGACCGTAATAAGCGCACTATCTACGTCGTTTAGGACGCCTACTTAAATAGGCTCTACGAGAAGTATAGTATACATAGACGTATTAGTCTAGCTACTCTAATAGCGCCTCGTTACGTTAAGACATCTATTTAACGCGCATCTAAAGGCTATATAGCTAGTGCTGCCTTTAAGACTTAGTATTAAGAAGGTGTTAGTAAGGCGCTATAGCTAGCTATAGTTACACGACCTAATGCTTGCTATACTATAGGCCTGTTATTACGATTTATCTCTAATCCGACCGAGGAATACTATACCGCGCTTCTTTAGCTAATTAAGTACCTAGTTAGTACTCTAAGCCGTAGTATACGCTTCTAAGGCAATTAGAACGAGGCTAACGACCTTAAGTTTGCTAGATACTATAATGCCTTATAGGCTAATAATCCGGTTACTCGCCGCTCTATAGGTAGCTTCTACTTTACTATTATAGGCGGACCTCTATTATATAAGTCCGGCCGCTAGACGCTTATTATACTATCGTTAACTAAAGCTAAGTATATCTAACTTACTACAGGCGCTAAGGAGGCAGTTGCCTTAGCTCGTTTGTTAAAGGAAGTCGGCTACAAGGGCTACATTCTTCTAGTTACGCTATATAAGGACAATTAGTCCGCTATCGCTATTACTAAGTCGACTAGCATTAATAGCTATACGAAGTATATAGATGCTCGTATCTACTATATCCGAGAGAAGATTGCTAATAGCTCTATTATCGTTTAATAGGTTAGTATACACGATTAGATTACTAATAGCTTTACTAAGCTACTTAATAAGATTAAGTATAGCCGCTTTATTAAACAACTAAACCTAGTAGATTGTAAGGCCGCTATTAAGAACGCTACGAAGCTAGCTGCTAAATACTAAGGAGGGCCTTTAGTTGCTTTGTCTATTTAACCTAAGAGTAGTCTAGTTTGTTTATCTATTTCTGCTTACCTAATACCCCTGTTTGCTTTGCTAACTAAATAGCTATTATATTTGGTTTGCTTTATTCTATGGCGATATGCACGTACTAAGGGGGTGACTTGGAGTGTGTGTCTAGGTGTCAGGGTCCATTACGTGCCTAATGCCTAAGGCTGCAACTGCTGCACTTCATCTTCGGACTTCTATATAGATTAGTCCTTCTTCCAATACATCAGTTACATCAAGTGAAAGTCCATGATTATCGCGAACGATCAGAGGATGCTAATGAAGCCGGCTTGACTGATCTCCTGTGGATTTGGCGTGACGCCTCAAAGCATCAAATTCATTGAGTGAGATGGAAATGGACATTTATGCGGGAGCACTGCCCAGCGATCACGCTCAGCCTTTGAGATTTGATGGATGTTTGACTTCAGTCTCAAGCCGATGAAAGAAATCGTATCCTTCCCTAGCTTCTTCTCATCTTGCTGCTTTGCGGCTATGGACTACTTTTCAGCATAGCTTCGGCCCAACTGTGGATCTTCGGCCAGACCGACAGAGATTTTGCAGCTAAATACGCACCGAGCTGAAGGTCTAATATCTCAAGAAGCACCAATCAGATGCATTCAATTCTGTGAGTACCACCATCGGTATAGCCTCAGAACAACAACTGATTGTTCAAAAAGCATTAGTCTAGTGGTTATGATAGCCGCTTGTCACGCGGCTGGCCGGGGTTCGATTCCCCGATGGGAAGCACGTCCTTTTGCGCCATCTAGGTGTTTTCCTGTTGTCCAAGAGTCCATTGTGGGAGCCTCAAAGTTGATTGGACACGTGAAAGCAGGCACGTGAAAATTTTTTGGATCTTGGCGACGGTGATATTGGCCCGAGCTTAGCCAAGCATCAAGTAGGCATGTAGGTGCCGAAGACAGTCGCTCTTTGCGAGGTCGTCGTTACACCTGGATGTTCCAACCTCTACTCAGGAATTTTTGGAGGTGATGTGAAAATAGCCTTTGTACTCGAGCGTCTGCGATTGGCTTGCGATATTGAAGAGGCAGTCCCGTCTATGTTTTCGGTTCTTCGTCATTTGTTATTTGACAACAGGAATTGTGGTTGTTATGCAAGGAACGTCGGAGTTATTGAGAGAGGCCACCATCGCCAAAGCGCGATACGATGCGAATTAATCGAAGATTGTGGGCGTCGTCAACGTGGATAGCACAACTATCAGATTATTTCTCTCATGATTGACACCAGTGCCAAGGCTATGCAACAAATTCCTGCACATCGATGTCGGGGAGGTGGAGTTGATACAGTCAAGAGCATCGTGCCTCGACACATCAGTAACCGACCATGCCATCCACAAAGCTCGTCAGCACCCAGCTGTACTCCAGATACTCAAGCACCTCGAGAAGTCTCTCTGTCTGTCGTTCCGCTTCATTGTACTCTTCCATATTCGGCAGAGGTACGCGAGTGATATTCTTGCCATCCTTGGGTGCCCAGTAATTTTTGATATGGCCACGAGCAAACAGGACCAAGATCAGGAGCGCAGGAGACGTGGTCATACGCATTACCTTCGGCAGAGTGTGCGGAAGCACGGCCAAAGAGAAAGAAGCTATGAATGATGCCAGAACCTGTAATGTGCATTAGCAAGCGCTCGGGTGGGATCCCACCACGTCGCAATATGTACCGCAAGGGCCCCAGTAGCCTGAGTAGTCCTCGTCTTCCACAGATGATTCTCGGCTTCTTTGGACCATTCTGCCAGCTTCTTCGCAGTCGCTTCATATTTCCGGAGCTTTGTGATGGCTACATATGACAGAGAAGCGCCCCAGAGGGAAAGCAGCAGCTGGCAGGCATGCTGTCCTCTGATGAGAAAGTCCCTGCCTGTGAAAGTGCTCATGTCGAAATGATCGATGGAAGAAGCCATCAGAAATGTGTTGACGGGAAGCAGAGATGGAACTGGAGACGATGCTTGGATAGTTTATGGAGGCTGGATCCTGGACCCTGGTCGGAATGCCAAGACTCCAGCTCAAGGATGCGACGTTCGAGGCGATAGGGTGTCTGGAACTCTCACAGGTTCAAGTCACACGCAGCTTGAACACAGCACTAGACGGGGGCATCGGTCGCCTACGTAGCTATTCGCTTAGCTGCGCGACACCAAAATCATGACGGCGACGCTCCAGCCCAACGGCAGCGAAAGTCGCCCAAGCACCCAACGAATGTCCACCGCACCCTCGAGAATGAACGGCGAGTTCGCGGGCAGAGGCGACAACTTGGCTGCTGCCGACTTCGAGCACGGCATCCAGATAATCGACGAGGACAAGACATTCAATCCCAATCTCCCTCAGTATCTCCAGGTCCAAAATGTCACCAAAGCAGGCTTCAACTACCATCTCATCTCCGTGTTCGGAAGCCAGAGCACAGGCAAGAGCACACTGCTCAACTATCTCTTCGGAACGCGCTTCGGTGTCATGAACGAGCAAGAAAGACGGCAGACGACCAAAGGAATATGGATGTCCAAGAACAAGAAGGAGCAATCCAACATGGCTGCTAATATCTTGGTCATGGATGTGGAGGGCACAGATGGACGTGAAAGAGGTGAAGACCAGGACTTTGAGCGCAAAAGTGCTCTGTTCGCACTGGCAACTAGTGAGGTACTGATCGTGAACATCTGGGAGCACCAAGTCGGTCTGTACCAGGGCGCGAACATGGGTCTCCTGAAGACTGTCTTCGAGGTCAACTTGCAGCTCTTCTTGAAGGGTGCCAAAAGTGTGCCGCGGAGTCTATTGTTCTTCGTGATCAGAGACCACCTTGGCCACACACCTTTGGAGAACCTCAAGAACACTCTATTGCAGGACTTGTCTAGGATATGGCAATCATTGTCCAAACCACAGGGCCTCGAGAAGAGCAGGATTGAGGACTACTTCGACTTTGCCTTCGTGGCACTTCCACACAAGATCTTGATGCCTGAGAAGTTCGAACAAGAGGTCGCAAGACTGGGCACAAGGTTCCGCGAAGGCTACAAAGATCCCAAACGAGCCGGACTTGTCGACGATGAGCCAGTACTCCTGCCTGAGTACCATAGACGCATTCCGGCAGATGGGTTCCCTATGTATGCACAGGGCATTTGGGAGCAGATTGACAGCAACAAAGACTTAGACCTTCCAACCCAGCAGGAGCTACTGGCGCAATTCCGCTGCGACGAGATCTCGAAGGAAGTGTTGATCCCGTTCGACGAAGTCATTGCGCCTCTAGAAGAGATCCAGGCCAAAGGTGTGGCTGTTGGAAAGCCGCTCGTGATCGCTGAGCTTGGCGGAAAGATGATTGCTGCGAGGAAGGTCGTTCTCGGAAGTTTCGAGGAGGAAGCCAGTAGATACCACAAGGGCGTTTTTAAGCGGAAGCAGGCGGAGTTGGAGACAAAGGTGGACGGACGACTCAAGGCGCTCTTCCATGGTCAACTGAGTGCAGCTCATAAGAGTGGTGTCCACGACTTCTCTGAAGCTGTCTCCACGGCTGTAAAGGCAGGCCAGAAGAAGGGGTCAAACTATGACTTTCATCAAATTGTGTCAAGCGAAAAACAGAAAGCGCTGCAGAGGTTCGATGCTGAAGCAAGATCCTCCCTCATTGAAGGCACAACATGGAGTGACTACAAGCAGCAATTGAATCTCTATCAGAAGGACCTCGATGAAGTCAGCGCACGGTTGAGACAAGATGAGATGAGACGATTGGCAACAAGAAGCGAGAGATGGGTCAGAAGCAAGCTTGGTGAAAGTGTGGGTGTCGAATTCAACAAACTGGGATCTGGTCGTGCTGGTTCTGGAGCACCTGCGGAAGGTGAGAAGCCTACCGAGAAGGAGCTCTGGGATCGCATCTGGAATGTTTTCACCGACACCGTGTCGCATGCTGAGACTCGCTTTACCGAAAGAGCTCGCAGTTTTGATGCTAGTCCGGACGAGGTCGAAGTCGGTCTGTGGCGTCTGAGGCGCAAATCCTGGGGTGCATTACGAGACAAAATCGACGAGGAACTGATGGAGGGTAATTTGCTGCTCAAACTACGCGAGAACTTCGAAGACAAGTTCCGATATGACGAGGAAGGCGTACCCAGGATATGGCGGCCAACCGATGATATTGAAGGCCTTTATACAAAAGCTCGGGAGAGCACTTTGACACTGATTCCTCTTCTTGCGAAATTCCGGCTTTCTAGAACATCGGCACCACCACCTTTGGATGCTTGGATCGGTGAGCCTCCTGCTACAGTATCATCTGCCGATGAGGAGGATTTGACACCGATTGGCGGTGTAGATGAGGAAGAAGGCAAGTCGCTGGAAGAGGAGATGACAGTCATCTCCGATGCCAGACAACAAGATCTCCAAACACGATTCAAGAAGACGGCAGATGGCGTGTACGTCGAAGCCAAGCGTAGTGCAATTGGTGGCATGACGCAAGTCCCATTATACTTCTACGGCCTGCTTTTAGCACTTGGCTGGAACGAAATTGTCGCCGGTAAGTCTTCACATTTTGAAATAGAAATGCCCTCACTAACACATGACAGTCCTCCGCAACCCCGTGTACTTCATCTTCCTGATCCTCCTCGCTGCCGGCGCCTACGTCACTTACACCCTCAATCTCTGGGGTCCAATGCTTCGCATGACCAATGCCGCCACCTCACAAGGTTTGGAAATCTTCAAAGAAAAGCTGCGAGAATTTTTAGAGTCTTCTGAGACCGGACGACAAGCCATCGGCATGAGTGCTCAAGCTGGCAATGCTTTCAAAATGGATACCCTCAATTCTAATGGTACCACGAAAGCCAAGGCGAGCAAGGATGATGAGGTTGATGAGATATAAAGAGTTGTCGGCGGCTTGGTTTACCTATTCTTGTGCATGCAGGACTTTTACTTTTGCATAGCGGTGGATAAAGAGATAAGATGCTTTGAATAGTACACTTTGTTTGAAACGAATTTCAAGAAGTGTGAATACCTTATTGGTCGGGACAAAGATTATGGATCTTACCCAGGAATGCCTTGGCTCAGTACTTCACAGGGTTTGATCCAAATGCATCTATATTTCCACAAGCCCAAGCAATGCTCAATTAAATCTACCCTTTCCTCTTCCTCGCCCCACCCGCGTTTTCCTTTCCGCTTGCTTTCGAAGCCTGATCCAAAGCCTCCTTGAGCTTGCCATCAGCGTCAGCCTTACTTCCCTCCATACTAGTCAGTGGCTTAGCAGCTTTCTTGCTCTCCTCTTCTTCCTCATCTCCACCCTGTCCGAACTCATTGACACGAGTGTAGTCGACTTTGTAGGCCCAGGCTTGATATAAGTATACGAAGAATATCACGTCGTCGCGTAGTGTGGCGAGACGGTGTAAAATTGGCATTTTGATGGTGAAGGCGAAGAGGTCGTCGATGAAGGTGTTGAGGAATTTGTACATCATTGCTTTGGCGGGCATGTGAGCGACGGACCTGAGGCGGTAGTTGATGTAGAGGGATGGGACCTGAGATGGTGATGTTAGTAATATTTGTAGGATGAAGATATTGATGACGTGATTTACCATCATGAGGAAACCGTAGGCGTAGACACTGCCGACGAGGGTTGTGATGATGAAGCTGTACCAGCTCTTGTGAGTTTCGTAGATGAGGGAGTATGTGGCGTAGGCCAAAAGCAATGGGACAGCGAGAATGCCCATGTACTTGAATGCAATCTTGTCGTATTCTTCGGTCTGCTCTTCTGTCTCACTGAGCTTGTGCTTGTCCTCGAGTACGACGGTGTATGGGAGGCCGAGCTTGTGGGCGTATGTGCCAGCCGCTGGTTCTCGAACGCGAACGTTGACCGTCTTCGTGATTTTCCAGGCTTCGATGGCAATGCCCATGCCTTGACCGAAGAGAATCATCCAGCTGGTGTTTTCATTGTTGTCCATGAGATATAGGAAGATGATTGACTGCATGACCACGTTCGAGAGGATGGTGCGGAACGAGACACCAACATTGTCCTTCTTCTTGCGCCAATGACCAACATCGCTCTTGAAGGCGAGAAGCTCAAAGATCATATGTAGGACACTGACAATTGCGGTGGTGCCAAGGAGCCAAGGGTTTGTGTCGAGGAGTGTCTCCTTGATCAGCTCCATTTCAGATCCGTCGCCGCCACCCGGAGTACTTTCGCCGTGTGCAGCTTTTCGTGCCGTCTCCTTCATACCCTCATCCATACTAGCCATGATACTAAATTGCCAGCTCGCGAGAGTGCTGACATCGACATTGATGGGGAGTGTTGCCATAGGGATTGTAGCGTTCAGTTCGGTCATCTGCGACTTCAGCTGCCAGAAGGTGTTAAGGTAGAGGACTGGATAGTACCAGCCGTTCTTGCCAGTTTCGTCGCGAGCACCAGTAGCCTCCAGAGTATAGAACTGGCGCATGGCAGGATGAAGGGATGCCCATGCAGCGTTTCCGGTATCCGGGACGAAAGACAAAGTGAAATTAGGGTGGTAGTAAGATGCAATCCTGGGTCCCGTTGATTCATCTTCAGGCTCTTCGACCTCGGTCTCATTCTGCGCGCCCAAAAGGCTCCTGGTCTTGCGGACTTTCTTCTTGGCCAGATACGATGTCAAAGGCCTCAGCATCCTATACGCCTTCGCTGTATCATATGAGGGAGAAGCAGGATCGAGCTCGGCACCAGCTTGAGCCACGAAGATGTGAGCCCATAGCGTGCCATTATCCTGTACTGTCTTGGGCACAGAAAAGCTGGTGTGCACCTCTCTGTAATCCTTCTTCGACCGGTCTAGCGAAAAGGCCTTCTCGTTGACAATCAGGCTCTCTGGTGGCATAGCACTGAAAGCCGGCATGACGACGCTCGGTGAAATGAACATGTTGATGTCTACTGTCGAATTCGAGGGCCACAGTGGGAGTACTGCCTGGGGGATGGCGCGGTATTCGTATTCAGCAGACAACGAAGCTGCGCCGGATGTGCCTGGGGGAGCTGGAGTAGCTGCCTTTTGTTGTCCGCCGCCCATGAACTGTCGCATCAAGAATTGTATGCCGATGAACATGGCAACATTCTTCCCAACGCTCCATGCCTTGTCATACCACTCGTTATTCTGGCCCTGTACGGCGTTGCCGGCCTGCGCTGTGTCCGGCATGTCGGCCTGTTGCTCTCAGCGCGACTGTTGTCGGCCTGTTCCTCTCAGCGCGACTGTTGTCGGCTGTTGATTGTATGCTCGGTCTCTTCTATACCGCCATGTGTGGGTGTTCTGGACACGACATCTGGACTCTCACGCGAATCACGCTAACACGTGCAGGGGACGGAGCGGAGCGGAGCGGAGCGGAGCGAGGAGCTTGGCTTCTCGGCGAGACAAAGGGCCGGAGGAGAATGACGAGCTTGACACTGCGGAGGGTCGAGTTGATTGTCCCAACACCTGTGACTCTTTCACTGTGCCACCATCGTAATGCTCATCAGCATCAGCAGCAACGGCACCGGCACCGGCACCGGCAACGGGAACCGACGGTGGCTAATCCTCAGGCAAATGCTTCGCGCCCGCAAGGTTGAAGCTAGCGTCCAAGTCCGCTATTCAGGCGAGATCTCTAGTGACGCCGCTTTGGTATCACATGCGCGCGAAGCAACTGCTGCACACCTCTCACCGGACTTACACCTGCACACTCCACGCATCGCCCTCCAACCAAACCTACCTTTCTCCTCCGCCCTGTGAAGCACTTCATCACTCTCATCACATCTCTTGCATCTTCTCATAGCATCGCCATCGCCATCGCCATCGCCATACCGCGGTAGGACTCCGCATCCGGCGACGAGGGTGCGACATAGGCGGCTCGCGTGCCGCATGCTGTGAGGCACTCGACACTTGCGAACGCTCGTACTCGTGTCCTTACACTCGCCAACATGTTCTCGGAGTAGGTAGAATGCGTAGCGATGCCTTTGTCCACCGTGCGATTGCAAGCTAATCGAGGCCTCCTCCCAGATACGCCAGCCGCTTCTTGCAACAGTCAAACGCCCGCCTCAGCTTCACTCAAGATGACCACCGAAGTCGATCGCGAAATCCCCTCGACCGACGACGTCTTCCCGCCTCTCACTCTCGCTACGTCCAAAGACCCGGCATGACCGCGCATCCATACCACAACCCCGCTGCATCGCAATCACGCTTTCCCTTTGCTTCGCGCTTATCTCGACAGGAACATCAGGCACCACTCTTCCACAGCGCGATGGACGACTTCGAGGAACAGGACGCGGGCGAGGAGTATGAGCGCGAGGTGGCAGACATGCATGCGCTGCAACGGAGCAGGCAGCACTTTGGTCCGAGCAACTTGACCGAGAGCTCAGAGCTGGAAGATGATGGCATCGAAAAGCTAGACGACACGCAGAAGGGCCAGAATCACGACAGAGATGAAAGTTTACCCAGAGGAAGGATACGCGGCCCACCACAAGCGGAAAGCGCTCCAGACTCGGAACCCAGCTCGAGAGGCAAAGGCCGACTGGTTGATATCAACCTCAACAGCACCATCGACGAAGAGCCCCCGGAGTCGCTCGCCCAACTGTCTCCCTCCGTAGACTTGGATGATCCGCCAGCACCATTTCACCCTTTCAAATCAACCACAAAAGCGAGCAGGCTAAGCTCTTTCATGCCACTGGATACAGACGACGATACGAACCCGAGACCGATTTCTCCCGACCGAGAGAGCGTTCCACCGACAGTCATTTTACCAGCTCAGGAACCTCCAAAGCACGACGGCTTTTGGTCCAATCTTTTCACTACATCTCTATGCGCCATGTTTGCTGCGTTTGTGCTGACGTGGTTCCAAACGTCGACACCAAAGAGTCCTCTCGGCGACACCATCTACACTGCTCTCCGGAGCAGCACAAGCATGCTCCTATGGGACAGCTTCATTGCAGTCGTGGCCGCCTTGATCTGGCTCAACCTGATGCGAAACAACCCACGCGTCACGGTATTTGCTATGATTGTGGCAGTGCCCGTCGTCTTGTTTGCCTTCACTCTGTACCCTTTGATTAGCAGTTTCAAAGGTTCATACCACGGAAACTCGATCCAGGATAAGCTGATGCGCTGGGGTTCTTTCATTCCTGCAATCATGGCTGTCTTCTTCACGTGGAGCGTCATCAGGAACCGCCACAGTCTCAACAAGTCGGTGCAGATTCTCGAGTTCAGCACGAAAGTCCTTGCTGCATCGCCGTATCTGCTCATTCAGGGCTTCATCACGCTCGGGGTTGTCGTCTGCTTCTCGTGGATCTGGATGCTCATGTTCGAGCGAGTCTTCCTTACTGGGACATTGAGCGCCGCAAAGAAGTACATCCTCTATGCAAACAGCTGGTGGCTTGGAGCCTTCTTCGTGCTGCAATATCTCTGGACCCTTGGCGTGATCGCAGGCGTGCAGAGAGCAACTACTGCAGCGACCGTGTCTCAATGGTACTTTCACCGTCTGGCAGTGCCACAGCCGACGAGTCAAGAAGTTGTTAAGGCTAGCTTCCAGCACGCTATTGGAGCTCTTTTCGGAACGGTGTGTCTCAGCACCTTTTTGAGCTTGCTTGTCCGTCTTCCACTCATCATTCTTCCGGGACGACTGTCGGGCGTTCTCAGCATGGCCTTTCACTGGATCATGCCTGCCAGCGTGGTCACATTAACCAACCCTCTGACACTCACCCATGCCGCCATTCACAGTCAGCCACTTGGGATCTCCGCACGTGAAATGAATCGACTCAATTTCACCTCGCGGACCAACCCCAGCAACACACTGGGGCCACGCAATTTCAATCCTGGTGGACAAAACGGGAGTGCGCTACTGCCATATCGCCTTTCCAAGCTCCTGCTGCAAGCCACTCGCTGGATAATGTCCTTCGCTTTAGGGTTTGGCGGCTGGGTCCGGGCTGCGCATAGCATCAAGCTGGACGGTCCGGGGGGAGGCATCCGTGGCAGCCTGTACGCCTACATCATCGCGCTCATCGCCGGAACTATTGGCTTCGCGGTCTTGGGAGCTGTCGAGAATGTGGTGGGTGCCGTGGTCGATGCGACTGTCATTTGCTGGGCAAGTGAGAGCATGGGTGGCAGAGCCGAAGCGAGGTTCTGTCGCGAGGCTGGTGAGCTTTTCGGCGAGGAGGGCAGATTGAACCTCGATGATCGCAGAGGTATGGTTTGAGTGCATTGCGTTAATGGTATAGAATTGGTTTGGCGTTCGGGTCATCAATAATGATCAAGCGAGTGAGCATGGAGATCGGGTCGTTCTAGATTTGGAGTAAGAGATGGGAGTTTGAATTTGAATACCCACGATGTCGATGAGTACGGCACAAGACGCCAGGGAATGTCTAGAGTTAGGTAGCATTGCCATGATAAGAGCGAGGCGGATATGCTGAGCTATCAATCCTACCCGGTCCCTCGACCGTTCTTCTGGACGTTGTAAGTACGAAGATTGAGGTGTGGCCATAAGCCATTGCAAGCATTCCCGCGCGCTTAATGTGGAATCCAGGTTTGCATTCCAAGCATATTTACACCTGCGATTCTAGCCCGTGTAACCAAGCCCTCCGCAAACAGACGACCTACGCTGCCTGCTACTTCGTCAGGTGCGGCGAACTCATCACAGCAGCTCTAAGTATCGCGACGTACGGAGATACGGCCTCGATATGAAGCAGAACAGACAAAATGCCTGGCTGCTGACCTTGCTGCCCGCCGCTCTGGCGCAGCAAGTCATCATCACAGTTGGCATCCCGTACTGCTCAACGAATTCAGATCCCTTCAGCTATGGATCTATGACCTCGTCCAGCACGATAAATATTCCGAGCAGTAGTGAAACAGCCGTCTCGCCTTCTTCGGGACTGCCATCGAGCTATGAAGGTTCTTCGGCAATCAGTGTATCGCCATCGACTGGTCCACAGTCTTCATTACCACAATCATCTGGACTACAGACGTCGGGTGCGCTTCCGTACACAGAGACTTTTTCGACGCAAGCGATATCCAGTGCAGCGAGTTCGACATTCAACAGTACACCATCACCTTCGGCGAGCACATATGTTGATATATATGGCGAAGTCTACTCAGTACAATCAGACACTGGCCTTTCGGGAAACACAATCGATGCAGCACCAGTCTACGGCTCTGGGATCAAGAGGAGGCAAGAAGCAGCATCGAGCGAGCAGAATTTCGAAGATTGTGTTGCGAATTGTACTCTGACACCAGCTTGTGTGGCTGCCGCTACGATGGGTACCACATGCCAGCTTTATTCATCCGTGAGCGGGACGTTGGCACTCTCTGGCGGTCAGGTGGCATTCAATGAGGAGCGATTCCAGGGCTTTACAGACGAGCCTCCTCCAAATACGTCTGGGTTCCCATCAAGCTATATTGGAGTTTCTCCCTCATCAAGCGCTGTGGGGGCTTCTTCTGGCGGAGTCGCAACTTCGATGGGCAGCTCGGACACAATTTTTGTGCCATCATCCTCTGCTACGGGTGCGACAACTGCTGCAGCGAGCTCTTCTGCAGCCTCCACGGGCTCGGCAATCCAACACACTACTACGACACTTTCGGCATCTGGCACTCCCTCATGGTGGAGCTCAGCGCCGCCTTCGACAGCATCCAAGTCTTTCTTCACTCCGGATGTAAGCACTGGCATTCAGAGTCCATCCGGTTCAGTTCCTGAGTCGAGCATGCCGACCGGCGCAAGCTCTTCATTGCTTGGCTCTCCAAGTCCAGGGGCGTCCTCGATATCCTCCTCGTCAACCGCTTCATCTCCTGCTGTGCCGACATCAAGCATCGGTGCAACGAGCAGCTCAATCGCCCTCTCTTCTGGCAGCGATGTGTCATCCGCTGGCATATCCACCGTCATTGTCACGCCTGTGCCAAGCTCGGAAGGCATGCCATCTTCATCGCCTAGCTCAGATCAGCCTTCTAGCTCCCAAGAATCGTCGTTTCCGCTCTCAACACTTTTGCCATCATCGTCTTTTGCCGAGATTTCTCGCACCAGCAGCTCAATCGCGAGTCCTCCGACATGGAGACCAGACATCATGTGCCCGGAGCAGAACGGCACGACGGTCACAGATGTCGGTGGCATTCAGTATTATCTCATGTGCGAATCTGACACGGGCGGTGACGTCCTCGGCCTTGCAGAAGCTGCAGTCTCCTTCAACGACTGCTTTGACTTCTGCGATGCTGCAGGTGGCTGCACAGGCTTCACGTACGCCGGCGCTGAGAATGGAGAGGGCTCTGGTAGTTGCTACATGAAGCAAGGAACTCTATACTTGGTCGCTAGCGATGCTTTCCACATCGCAGCTATCCGCATTTCGCCATTTGTCTCACCGACACCATCGAACACTCCAGCCAGCAGTTCTAGCCCAGAGGTTCAGTCAAGCACCATCGTCGCGACGATCTCCAATAGCGCAATCACATCTAGCGCAATGTCAATCTCGAAGTCCGAGGCAATGTCGCCAAGTATGATTATGAGCACTGCTTCATCCCCTTCAGCATCACCAACTTCAAGCTCAGCAATGGTTGCAAGTTCGATTATTTCGGCCAGTATGGCCAGTATGCCAAGCTTGGCAACTTCTTGGAGTTCGAGTTCCTCTTCGGCGGCTGCTAGTGCTTCTAGCCTTTCCAGCGCATTAAGCTCAAGCTCTTCCAGCCTAGCTGTACTCTATTCGACCACATCGACATCTACGACGCGAACAACTACATCGACAACTTCAACATCCCGCAGCTCCTCCCTCTCTACCTCCTCATCTACAAGCGCAATCGCAACCGGACCAACGCCAGTCGTCAACGACGGCAAACGAGGTCTCGCCTATACCAACGCCTCTCTCACCCTCCCCTTCTCCCTCTCCGGCCAAAACTCCCGCGTCTCCTGGGGCTACAACTGGTACAATTCCCGCTACACCGACTCAGCCAACACCTCCAACCCCGCCATCCGTTTCATTCCCCTCCTCTTCAACGACGACCCCGTATTAACCTCCCAATGGCCCTCGCGAGCCCAAGCCGCAATCAACGACGGCGCAGACGCCTTGATGTCCTTCAACGAACCCGACCTCTGTGGTGACGGAACCGGAGCCGCGTGCATGTCGATTCAACGCTGCGTCACCGCATACCAAAACTACATGATGCCTTTCAACAACACTCCCGGGGTCCGCCTCGGTGCTCCCGCCGTCACGGACAACGGAGGTTTGAATTGGTTGCAAGACTTCATGGGAAATTGCACCGATTGCCACTACGATTTCATCAATCTGCATTGGTATTCCAACGCTTATGCTTTTAGCTATCTGCAGTATTATGTGCGACTGGCGTATTCCATGTTTGGAATGCCGATTTGGATTACCGAGTAAGTTTCCATATCAAAAAATCCTCCACATTTCGGCTTTCTTCTTCGGCTAAACGGTCAATTCGTTCCCTAGATTCGGAATGACAAGCGAATCCTACAATACCGACATTGCAACGCAGAATTTCTTGAAGAATGCCACGGCGTTTTTGGATGCGGTGCCGTATGTGGAGCGATATTCTTGGTTCTATGATGCTCCGGGATATTTGATCAATGCGAATGGGAAAGGGTTGAGTGCTCAAGGAGTGATTTATAATTCTTATACCGCTCCTTGTCCTGCTTGGGCGACGGGTGATGGGTCTTGTTATTAGTCTTGACGCGTTCAAAGTTTCTGGATCTTGAGAGGGAGAGAAATAGAGAGAGAGTAAAACTTGATTCTTTTCTTTTTTTGAAACCGGTAGTACATTGAACAAATTTCGTTATCGTGATCGACATTATTTAGATAGGGTTCTTTTATATTGCACGTGGAGGTGGTTGCAATGAGAACCTTCCCTCGGGATTTCTTACGACGATGTAATTCGGTGTGCCCGGCGCGTCTCTTCGATCGTCACAAGCTGGGAATCCAAAATCCCTGGGCTGATTGCCGGAGAATTGACTGTACGGCGTAGGTGCCATCGGACGTTCTCCCAAAGCCAGCGAGTCCTGTCGTTCTACTTCGCTGTAATCACTCCTCGCACTCTTCTTCTTCTTCATCGACGGCGCAGCAACGATTCTGCCAGTCTTCTCGTCTACAATAAAAAGCTCACTTCCATCATCTTCCGCCATTTCTCGCTCCCATCGACTCCATTCGTTCCTGATACGGCTTCGTTGGCGGCGTTTCGTGCGGTCGAGATTGGAGAGCTCGGCAATTGAAACCTTTCCTCTAGGTTTCTGTTTGTCGCGATCACGATTGCCATTTCCGCCTGAGGATTCTCCTATCAGACGAGGTGCGACGTGTCGGAAGAAGAGACGGAGGATGGGAAGACAGCCGCAGATTATGACGAGGTTCGCTTCGATGCAGATCCAAATTGCAGGCGTGGAGATGGCCCAGGTTACGTCTGTTGCAGAGACCATTGGAGGAAGGAGGGCGAGGCGGACGAGCGATGTAATGAGCGTTCTGTGGCAGAAAATAATTGTCAGTGGATGGAATGCAGAGGCAGAGCGCAGGGCGTTGGCTTACAAAGATCCAATCGTGAACATAGCTAAAAGTCCGATCTTCTGCCTGACTGGTACGTGCAGCTTCAAGACCATTGGAATAGGCATGACGAGGAGGATGACGTCGGTAGCAGCGTTGAAGCCGGCGGTGGAGAGATACATCTTGCCCTTGTTCGCGCAATGTCCGTCTGTGATTGTGATATCCCAGTTCATTTTCAGAGGTGTACAGGCGAAGAGCAGGCCGAAGAAGAGCGCAACGCTGTATCCGATGACGAAAACCATAGTACCGTATACTGCCCAGCGGAACCATGTGTCCATGGAGAGACGTCGGTAGAAGAATAGGAGGGAGAATTTGGCAAGAGCCACTGAAACGGATGAGCCATGTCTCGAATGAAACAGGAGTTGTTCGACATACTGAGTGGGATGTACAAGATCGAGCACACTGAGATGAGCAATACTGCTTTATTGACCACTGGCAGGTATGCCTCGAACATGTGGATGCCGATTGATGGTATCGACCACAGATATACAACCATGATTTGCAGGCCGATAGAGAGGAGCTGTTGACATATATATATATAAATCAGTGTCGATTCGCCCAAGAATGAGGGTTTCTTGTGCTCACCCAAGCGAGCACCATGGCAATATCATCGATGCCAAACGTGGAAGTGGAAGCCAGAAAGGTTTTGGTGTATACGCGGAGCAGTATGAACAGAGTCGACAAGACCATTCCTAGGATCGATATGATGATTCCCGCGCCATTATGCTTCGTCTTCGGATTGTTGAAGTCGACATCATATCCCGCGGGTGCTGTTGCGGCCGGTACATGGCTCATGTCCGTGGGCATATCGAAAGCTCGTCACTCTCGCCCCGCGAGAGTTGAGTAGAGATAGCTCATAGACTCATGGCATCAGAAGACGCAAAGCACATTCCCCTTCACAAAGCAGCGAGATCGCAGCAAGTCTACTGGGACAATGGAAAATCCGCGGTGCCAGTGCCCTTGCCATGGATATCGGTCCCAACCTGAGGTCCAGACATGTGCCAAGCGAGGCAGAATAGATTGTCAATGCCGCGTCATGCCTGCATCGTGATCCTGTACCTGCGCCGGCGTGTGAAGGCGTCAATGTGCCTGCAGATGTCGTCTGGAGAAGCGGCGGGAAAGGAAACGGATGGCTTCGTCACAGATCCTTCGGTCTCGTGGGAACGGGCGTCCATGCCGGATGCAGTTTGGCAGGTAGTGTTCGCTTGCTCGAGCACTGTTGGAGCTCCACTTCCAACCAGCAGGGCCTTGGCTCGGGCTAGGATATTTGACTCTTGGATGTGATGGATGACATGGAGCACGATAGTTGCGCGTCAAGCCTGACTTCATCCGTCTGCGAATTGTTCAACCAAGCGTCTGTCCACGATAGGACCAAAATGACCTTGTTCAATGAGAAGCGAAGTCGAAGAAATCCTCGTGGAGCACTGTGCCGCAGCAATTTTGGCAAATCGAACCCCGGTCAGTTATATAGGCGAATTGTGGTGGCGAGACTCCGGCCTTGTATCAAAGAACCAAGACGACTGACTCGCTGGATAATTCGACGGCGAACATAGTGTCGCCAAACTACACTGTTTAGCGTACAGTGGTATCGCTGTTGGGACAGTTGATGATGAGTGTCAATCCTCTTGGCGAATTCCCAGGTTAAGTCCGACTCACTTTCACGTCACTCCGAGGTGTAAGTAGAGACGCTGTGCTGCGATCAGATTATTACATACTACTCCTGCTATGCAAGAGACCAAAAGCTTTGATCAGCAGTTTGGACGACAACAGGAGCACAGTCTTGGTTCTAACACAGGCGTGCTCTTTCGCACATTGTTAGTCCCCAGGTAGCGAACAGGTCGAGTCTTCGACAGACGGCTGTTTTTGAATAATCATGAGGTTGTTCGCCGTAGCATTCTGGACGGCCTTTGCTGCAGCAAGCAGAGACGAAGACGGCTCATTTTGCGTATATACACCATCCATTGCTTGCAGATTGACAGTTGATCAACGCTGACCATCATCTAGTGCAGCGCTCTGAGCGCCGTTGGTCTGCACGAACGCCTCGCGTATCCAGGTATCGAGACTTTCAGCTTGTCTCTGAACAGGTACTTCTCGCAAAGCGCTCGACTTGAGCCCCAATGTTTCCTGCGACCTCATAACACCGCGGAAGTTGCACTTGCAGTCAAGACTCTCGTCAAAGCAAATCAAACGGCACCATGCAAGTTCGCAGTCCGCAGTGGCGGTCACACACATTTTGCGGGCGCGGCTGGCATCTCAGGTGGCGTCACTGTCGATCTCAGCCTGATGAATGGTGTATTGTATCACCCGGAGAACGAAACCGTTTCTGCTGGTTCGGGAGCGACGTGGCTGGACGTTTACTCATATGTCGACAAGATAGGAAAGATGGTTGTCGGGGGCAGATCTGCGTCCGTGGGTCTGGGAGGTTTGATTCTCGGCGGCGGCAATTCCTATCATGCTGCACGGAAGGGCATGGTGTGCGACAATGTCGCGAATTTCGAAGTGGTCCTGGCAGATGGAAGCATCGTCAATGCCAACAAGAACGAGAATCAGGATCTTTTCCAGGTCCTGAAGGGCGGCTCGAATAACTTCGGCATCGTAACGCGATTTGATCTGGAGGCCTTCGAAGGTGGAAATATCTTCGGCGGCTTGGTCCTTTATCCAGAGCAAACGGCCGAGCAGCAATTCCACGCGATCCTGAATTTTGGCGACAAAATCGAACAAGATCCATACGGATCTGCCCTTGTGATAGGTGTCTATCTGCCAGCTGTTGCTCCAGTGCCAATGTTCATGAATGTAGGCTTTGGAAAATTCGCACAAGCCAATGCTTGGCTGATGGCATACGACAGGCTTATGAATACACCTCGCCGGTGGAGCGACCGGCAGTCTTCGAGGAGTTCTTCTCGATCTCTGGAAATCTCTCCGATACAACAGGCATCCGCAACATGACCTCTCTAGCGCTTGAGCTGGAAGAGCCAAAGACGCATCGTATCTCTTTCAGCACTCTGACCTTCAAGAGTGATATTAGAGTACTACACAAAGCACACGCCGCTTTCAAGACGGTGATAGAAAGACTCAGTGCTCAGGCGACCGGTGACTGGGCGATCTTGACTCTGTACCAGCCGCTTCCTGTACTTTTTGCACAACACAGCGGCAAGAAAGGTAGGAGGCGCCAGGATCGACGAGCGCGCGCGATTGTTGTTGCTGACGCGACATAGGTGGAAATGTGCTCGGCTTGGATCGATTCAACGAGAATCTCATTCTCTACGAGCCATATCTCAAATGGTCATCGTCTGAAGATGACGTCCTTTTCGAGTCTCAGGCCCAGTGGCTACGAGAGGAGATTGAAAGCTACGCCAAAGAACTTGGCGCGGATAATGAATTCGTGTACCTCGACTATGCTGATAAGAACCAAAAGCCGCTCGAAAGTTATGGTCGTGAGAATGTGGCGAAGATGCGAAAGGCGGCGGCAAAGTACGATCCGGAAGGCGTATTCCAATATATGTTGCCGGGTGGGTTCAAAGTGTCCGAGGTATGCCAGATATGCTTTTCCAGGATGATACGTGCTGACTAGGTTGCAGATAAGGCCAGAGTTTGGAAAACTGCCTGAAGGCCATACGGAGCTGTGATTGCACTGAGCTTTGCGAGGTTGACCCCGACCTTGGAGGTGAATGCCCTTATTTCCAGTTTAGATGGGACGAGAAGACACAGCCGCAAGAAGAAATGTATACAAATATAGGCTAATCTGTGCTGGTAAAGAAGTCAGGAACCTAACGCTCGTAATCATGATATGACTGCGTCTCAAACTCTCCATATGCACATGTCCAGATTTCCCTTTCAACTCCGCGCGTGTAAATGCTCACAATATACTATCGCCGTCGCGCCATTTCGTATGCACCCTTAGGAGATTGATGCCCTTCTTAAGCATAGAGACTGCGTGTCAAGCATGCGCCGGGACCACTGAATGCGACCTGTTGATTGCCAATGCTAATTGTTCTTCTGTAAATGGCTGATGGTCACGCGCTGTGATGGTCTTAGAAATGGCATTCATGTGTGGAAGCACAAGATCGGTGGGTCCGTCTGCTGTTCGCGGGCGAGAAACGACAGGATGGTTGCGATCTTTTGAAGCCACGCGAGACATTCCAACTATGCACATGTTAGCAGCGTCTGTTCAAGCGGGTTCAGACAACCGAACTCACCATTGTTGACATCATCGTCACCCTCGCTGTTTTCTGCTTCTGTCCATAATTTGGGCGGCTGCGCTACGCCCATGTGCTCTCTCTGTCGTACGTTGCTCTTTTCAGTGTCCGCACTGGTGAAGCTGTTGGTGCGGCCATCGCTGCTCTTTCTGCCGAGACTGATCCAACTGCTTCGCCTGCTTGGCTGTCGTGTACTGTTGTTTCTGCTGGGAGCTCGCGTGCCCATGGGACTATATTGAGACTGGAAACTCTTCCTCCTCCAGGCTTCTGTGAAACTGAATGCCTCGAGCCTCTCCTTGTGTTCCTTCTTCGGAGGCGCGCGGTACTTTGGGCGCGGCATGGGCTCTCCCGGTTTGTAGACGTTGCTTGGCCATCTCTCCCTGTCTGAGGCTTGGGTTGAAGTCTTGGAGAGTTGCGAATCGCGATCTGATTGGGACTTGCTTTTGAACAAGCCTTTGACCTTTTCGCGGACTGCCATGGTGGAGAAATGGTGTGTATAGAATGAAATATGCAGAGGGTGAAGGGTTAGATGTTGAGCATGCCAGTGGGTCGTCGGTGTATGTCGGCAGTGGTTAGATAGGCGTGGTAGAGATAGAGATGGCGGTATGTGGATAGAAAGTGGGTCAGAGGGAGGGCTGGAGGAAGTAAAAGGATAAGCGGGTAGATGAGGAGCAGTGGTATGCACGCACGCACGCACGCGAGAAGGATGGTGGTGCAGGCCACTCCATTACGTCCGTTTCGTTTTGGCGCGTGGCGGTGGCGGCAAAGATGGTCGACGACCCTTTTTGCTTACCCCAGAAGAAGCAAGTCGTCCGGGCGGGATGGAGAGAAAGTAGGCCCGAGAATTGGGCCGCGGAACAGCGTTCATAAGGATGCAATGCTTCCGAACACGACGCACAATGCAATGGGAGTAATTATTAGTACATCTGTCGATAGATCGACGAGTGAGGCATGTGTCGTCGCGGTCGCGTGGCAAGGCAAGACACGAGGTCGAGCTGGCCAACGTTGTCGTCGCTCGAAATGGACTTCAAGTGCATGCCGAGAAGACCAGGAAGGTGACGAATGAGGGCCGCTTGACTCGCCGACAAAGCTTGTTTCTGCCATGCTGGTCGATGCCCAGACATTGATAATGCTTCGCTTCTCACAACCAACGACATGCTTCACGATCACGCCTTGTTCACGGAGGTATCAATCAACGGTGCAAACCCATCTCTTTATTACCATCATCAGCGCCAGCGCGTCCGGAAGCTGCTTTGGACGCCAAGTAGCGCGCGTCACAGCCGAGTGGACTGACGTGACCTGACCAGGCTAACCGCTTTGGATAGCTCGCGCGACTTTGCCTTAGCTTCACAGGGGGGATGGCAACAATCGATGCCTACCGAGATCCGCTCCATGCTAAGTACAGGACGATTAAGCGAGATGGCAGACGGGGGTAATCCCTAGAAACGGGATCTAACTGGTCAAAGCTAGCGTACTGCTTAAAGAAATTATCCGCACCTTCAAAAAGTTCACGTCTAACGCTTTCAAGCTAGCTGCCGCTTAAGGGAGCCACCCCCGTCCGCCATCTCGCTCAATCGTCCTGTATATGTGGGGCACGGCTGCCTGCCTATCCGTATGCTTATCTCTGCTGCTCGGAAAGCCGTTATGCCACACACATCCACCGTCACATTGCATCTGGGCCAGGCCACATATCGATAGCAAGCCAAGCCATACTGCGACATGCACCGTGCCTTGCGATCTCCTCCCAGCCATCTGGCATTGTATCTACCCTGTCTTCCACACCGCTTGCCCATCGCCTAACAAGCTCGTGCACATCTCCGATTCAACATCCATTGTGCACCTACGTGTGCTGCGCCACTACCTGGAAGTTGGCATTCATGCCGCTCATCAACGTCATGCCAGGTGCCCCGCTTGCCTTGCCTTGCGAACACCAGACGTAGCTTCGTCGTGTTTGTATGTTTAAGAGCCATCGACTTCCCTTGATGAGTCAAGCATAATTTGATCCTCACACGCTCCCTTAGAGCCTCATTGTCTTGACTCCTGCTACGCATTTCTTTCCGCTACTTTGTCGAGGCAGCAAGCATGGACAAGCTTGAAAAAGTATGGTCAGTTTTTCGCCATCGGAAGGAAGGTACGCCTGGCTCATCAATTGCAGCTCTCCTGGCGCCCCCAAGGACGATGAGGTGCTGCATGGAGACCCGGAGGCCACGCGTGCGAGCGCAGGCAAGCAAACAGACTCTGACCGGCCGGACCATTCCATCATGAGGCAATTGGTCAACCCTGCAGGCGACAAGTAAACAGCTCACCTTTCTCCTCACTTTGCCGTATGATCGCTAAATTTGGGTAGGTATGATGAGCAAGCATTTGGGACCACTGCTGCCACCGCTGCTGACCGCAAGAGCTCTGTGCCGATCACCACTACAGAAGGCACCATCGATCCGAACGAAAAGCTGGAGACAGACAAGGGTCAGAAGGGGCACAGCATCCTTCGACAAATCATTAACCCGCATGGCAAGAAGTATGATAGTGAGGGATACGGAACGACAGCTCACGAGGCTGGCCAGAGCAGTTCCCACCAGGCAGCCGTTGCAGCTGAGGAGGACTCAAGTGAACCTCTTCCTTGGATGCGGCCAGACCACAATCTAGTCGCAGACAAGCAGGTTGAATCACCAAGGACAGAGCCAACACAGTCTCAAACGTAGCTTCCCGCCTGAACTCACTTCTAAGCACCTGATTCTAACCCAGCCGCAGTCAATCTAGTCTCGGACGAGACGCCGCCATTGCTGGTGGAGCATCAGCGCTTGGCGGACGTGCGGCTTATGCTGCCCCCCGAGACAGAGACGAATCGAGTCCATCGAATACCACTTCCGGAGGTACTTCATCAGTGCAGAACACAACTGGCCGTGAATTTGGCTACGACCAATCCGCTCAGACGGCGTCTGCTACCGCGCCTGCGCTTTCATCAACGACTGGACAGCCAGCCGCCCTCTCTGCGATCGGCCGCGACAATCAGACCGCTCCTCAGACCTCCGATTCTTCACATCTTGGTCGTGATGCCGCCATTGCTGGCGGCGTAGGTGCAGTAGGCGCCGGAGGTGCTTATGCTGCTACGCCAGACCGCGATCACAATCCCACCAGCTCTGCCACGACATCTTCTACCATAGGCGCCAGTGGACAGACCGATGGCCTTGCTGACGGACGAAGCGCCGAGAGGGCTGCAAACGAGCAATCGGGCCAGCACAACTATGGGAGAGATGCCACATTGGCGTCTGGTGTAGCAGCAGGTGGTACTCTCGGACCACATGAGGCCGACAAGCACCGTGAACAGCAGGGAGATAACTTGATTGTTGCGACTGGCACCGCACCAATTAGCAGACCTCTAGACGGAGACAGCAACATCGCTACTGGGAGGACTGTAGAGGCGTCCGGCACATCGGATCTGCCAAATGAAGCTTCCAGACTTGAATCTGGTGCAGGATCTGGTATTAATCCGACCGAAGCCCCAGAAGCCGCATATGCAGGAGCAAGACATCTAGGCTCGAACGGTACCACAGAAGGGAGTGGCTCCACTGAGCAGAGCGGAGCTGGATCGACCGGCCTTGGCTCGTCAGCAACTGCTGGCGGAATCCAGTATTCGAATGCCCCAGGCCACGGACATATCAACCCTGTCGGTGCTCCAGAAGAAAGCCTGGCTGGAGCTCATCACCATGCTGTCCTCGGAGCTGGTGTACATAATGACACAGGCCCTGATCAGTTGAACCAGGCGCCTGCCGATGTGCAAGCCGCAACATGTGAGTAGCTTTAACCAGAAGCATTAGTACCATACTGACACTTCCTGTGCAGACACGTACAGTTCGCAGCCGGTTGGATCCACGTAAGGATGAATAGATCTTCGCCAATCGATTCGTACTAAAATGAAAACGTCTATAGATTCGGGCCGCATGTTCCTGGAGAATTTCCCACAGAGGTTTGTCACTGCGCTGTGAGCTGAGTGCGATCCCATAACTTACTGAAATAATATTAGACCGGCCAAGACCCTCATGAAACGTCAATATCTTACGGCGCCACTGCTGGAGGCTCTCAATTAGCACCACTGGCAGGCACAAGCGCAACATCTGGAACGGGGACTGTTACCGGTCTAGCGACAAGAGCTGCCGCTGGAAGCGCTCTCGGTGCTAGTGATACTCCAAGCAAAATCAGTGCGCCTCAGCAGAGCAGCAGCATTCCTGTGGACGGTTCGGCGGCTTCGACACAGCCAGCTACTCAGGACTACCCCATCCCGTCTGCAACAGACCCGACAGCTCCTAAATCTGCCGAATCGCAGCAACACAATTATGGCAGAGACGCTGGTATCGCTGTGAGCTGCCACTCAGTCCTTGAAGATGCAGCGTCAGTGCTAACTTATATTTTAGGGAGGCGCTCTAGGTGTTGGTGCCCTCGGAGCAGGCGTTGCTCACGAAGCAACTCAAGGCCGTGATCATGCTGCTGCGTCAGCGCAAGCTCCTCTTTCTTCGACCACACAGTCTACCTCGCAGCCTGGCATCCAACTACCCCCGCCACGACATGAGAATCATCCATCGACTCACGAAACCACCACGACCACCACTCAACCCACTACTCAACAAAGCATTTATCAGGACACTCCTGTGCAAAAGGAGGAGAGTGGCCGTGGAAGAGATGCTGCTTTGGCTGGTGGTGCCGGGGCTGCGGGTGCAGGTGCAGCATATGCTGCCACTCGTGATCGAAACGACACTGGCCCAGCACCAAACACGATTGGTCCCCATGATTCTGATGTCAAGAACATACTCGATCCACGCGTCAAGCCAGACACAGCGGTCCAAGGATCCCAGAAAAATCAAGATCCTGCCATCGCTGCTGCGCAGAAAGCTGCGAAAGACCATCGATATGAGACTCGCGATGCTGCTCTAGCTACTGGTGCGGGAGGTGCGGGAGCCGCAGCTGCCGCGGCCTACGGAACTACACATGATGTATACGGCGAAGAAGACCCAAACAAGCACAACAAGCTTCACAAGCCGACACCAGATGAAAAGAAGCACGACAAGGAGCTTGAGAAGGAGCAGAAGAAGTACGAGAAGGAGGCGGAGAAAGAGCAAAAGAAGGCGGAGAAAGAGGCGGAGAAGGAGCAGAAGAAGGCCGAAAAGGAAGCGGAGAAGGAGCAAAAGAAGGCTAAGAAAGAAGCTGGGAAAGAGAAGAAGCCTAGCCTTCTTAACAGAATCTTGCACCCTGGCCGACACGATAGCAAAGAGACCGAGGATGTTTCCAATGAAAAGACTGGTCACAACAAGGGTGATCTCGACCACCCCCTTGTCGCCGCAGCAGAAGTCGAGCAAGCCGAACGCCAAGCTCAGAATCTGCCTCCGACCAGCAGTGCAGCGGGGGGTACTGTCATCGAACCCCACACCGGCTTGCCAATGAATGTCGACAAGTTTGGTGATGGTCATGGTGGGACTGATGGAACTCCTCAAATCGAAGGATATCACGAGACTGATCCTGCGCTGCGAAATGCTAGTATTGGAACTGGGCAGGGAGCAGGTACCAAGGCTGGACATGCTCAACCTGGACAGGAAGGCGTTGCTGGGCCTGATTGGGATGCCATTAAGAAGGCTAATACTCCATACTAGGTAATATGTGGACGGACGAGTGTTACGATTGTTACTTGTTGGCGTACGTTGACTTTTGAAGCACATGTGCTATGAGGGTGGATTTCTGTTTGCGTCTGGAGTATGTACCCTACGATAGTCATTTTTTTGGGGGGAAGATATGTTTGAGAGTATACAAGAGTCATCATGTTGAGTTCAGCTTGGATTGTCAGCCTACTTGTCATGCATGACGGGTGAGACTGCGAGTATACTCTGCATTTCCGCGTTGCCGCATAGGGCTCACCTTCAAGGCATAGTGTCGTCCGTTCCAGCTCGTCTCACAATCACTGGCTCAGATTGTGATTATGTGGGCACGAAATTCCAGTGACGAGGTTGCGAGAGCTCTTCTTCAATCCATTCATTCGGTTTCTTTTCCATGCGTGCGGAGGTCAGGTCCCATGAATTCATATGCCAGAAAGCGAGGACTTCATAAAGAATCATCTTTACTCGTCGTCATCGTCAGCTTGCACGAATGGATTCGCGATTTCCTCGCTGCCGTCTACGGGCGATATGAGTACGAGCAGAGTTCCTCTAGCCACGAGAAGTCCAAGATTGCGAGTACTGGTGTTGCCGTCTTCGTCTACTGCATTGTCAGTGGCAGTTTCGGAGTGAGGGAAATGTGTGATTTGAAATGTATACCTCTTGTTGTTTCCTTCACGTTGTCAAGCACCAGGTTCATGAGTTGGTCATAGCCCTTGAGAGTACCGGTAACTGTGGCGCAGAAAGAACGTCAGCAAATGTCAAGTCGGCATAGTAGATTGGGAGTGCTCTTGCCTTCTCTTCCTCCATTGAATTTCACGGTGATGTCCTTGTCCATGTACTTGGCGAGATCAAGAATATTCTCTTTCTTCCTGTCGGCGCCTTGAGCGTGTCCGCCGCCACGACCGCCACGATCGCCTCGTCGCCCACCGCGGCCTCCGCGGAAATTGCCACGCTCCGACATTTCGTTGTCTCAATCTGCTGTTTTCTCGAGTGGAGCTTGGAGAGGTATAACGTAATGCTGGGATGTCGAGTCACGTGGTCAAGAGACGTCGCGTCGGCTCGGAAGTGACAATGCGTGGGGTGTGGCTTCTGCGTGCTAAAAGTGTCGACGACTACCTCAAGCGAGGAGGTCACCCATTCACTTCATTCCGCATTCGATGCAGACGATACACACTCTCGCCTTGGGCGCTTGAGTGTGGTGGTGTGGTGTCGGGTGACTTTCTGCGGCCGAGCTGAAGGCGAAGGCGAAAGCCAAAGGCGAAATGCGAAAGGCCTCTAGGCGGTGGAGGCGTTGATAGTTGCATGGGGCAGGACAGCGGCACAGCGGGATTCCGCCGTAGATTCCGCCGTAGACAGGCTGGCGGGTAAAACGCAGCACATCTAGTACTGTTCATCCGGACACTCATACGCAAGATGCCCGTCCTTTTCGCACAACGCGCACCATTTCTCCTCGTTCCGCTCTAACGCTCGCATGGAGCACGCCAACACCGCCGCCGACTCTGCTGCTGCTGCGACGAAGCGCCAACGTAGCCCGTCGCTCTCCGCACCTGCGCCCAAGGCCGCAAAAACGAGCCATCAGCTGTCCATCAACTACCTTGCCCGCCAGTCGCCCGAAGACCTGCCGCTCATCAACAAAGACGACACCCTTCCCAACCTGATCCACCTGCTGTCTGCCTACAGTAATATTCTCGACCGTCACGAGTCATTGGCTTCCAATCTGGGTGCCACGCCCCTCGGACCCATCCTGATCAAGCGTTTTGAGCGCTGCTTCGACGCGCCGCCCAAAGTTGTTGCCTCACACCACAAGAATGCGTCGGGCAACCCAGACGAATCCCACCACATCACCTGGCTCGAGGTCATCGAGTTCGCCCGCTCGCATCCCACCCAATTCACCTTGAGCACCTTTTCCGAGGGCAGAAGGGTCTGCCAGTTCTACTATCCGCAAAAGCAATTGCGAGTCCAGATCAGCGAAGAGGACTTCCTGTTCATTAATAGTGGACGATGTCAGGAACTCATCCCGCCGCTTCCCATATGGGAGGATGAGGAGAAAGAGGTGGCCACGTGTGATGTGCTGGAAGCGAAGCTCAAGGAGCTCACCAATGTCGCCGACATGGTCGCAGCACGAACGAGACAACTCAGTCATCGCTTGAAGGGTCGCAGAGCTGCCATTCTGGAGCGACGGGCAGAAGGTGGCAGCGGAACACCAGCGAAGGCACCCTCCTCCCTGACCACTACCATCGCATCTTCCAGTGCCGCCTCTACGTCTACTTCAGGTGCAGGCGCAGGCTTCGTTGCCGTCAATGCCAGCGCAAATCTGCCACCCAGTCGACCATCCGCTGAGAGTGCGGAGCCCAGCCTAGGCTCGTCCGCTGCAGTGCGCAATGAGCTCCTGCGCCATTTTGAAAGCCTGCCGCACAACCAAGGTCAAGGTCAGGGGAGGGCTCAAACACGACACCACGGCGCTTCTGGAAGCATAGATGCCTCGTCTTCGTCACACAAAGTGTCGAACGTGGACACTGCCCATGAGGGAGCGACCTCGAATACTTCCTCCCTCTCGCCCGTGCCTACAAGTCTCTTTGCCAATGAACACCTACCATACGGCTCAGTGGACAGCGCTCGCACCACCACTCTACACAGACCGTCGTCCAGCACTGGCAATCCTTACACAACTACCCACGCTCCGCTGAAACACAACTTCAGCCGACCACTGCCGCCAGCGCTTGAGAGCAGCCAGCCATTCCGACCATTATGTCAAGCGCAGATGGATAGCTTACCACGTGGTCACCGTGTCCTACCTCCTTGCGATCGATGCAGACGCCTTCGTATGGATTGTGTAAAGAACTTGACTTCTTGCGCCGGCTGCACCAGGAAGCACGCTCGTTGTCACTGGCGTGACGTGTCACGAGACGAGCTGGGTGCGCTGGACCATCTCATGGATGCAACCTTCTCTGGGACTGCGGCATCGTATTCGCCGAGCCATGCAGATTCTGCGCGAGCCAATGGCTATGCCAATGGAGGTAGTGACGTCGGAGATCATCATGACGACAGCGACGACGACGACAGCAACCCATTGGAGGACCTAGAGGCGCTGGGTGAGCAGGAAGAGCAAGAATATCAACAGATTCGTGAGGATGAAGAAGGTCTTCGGAACGCAAAAGAACTGGCCCGGCAGGGCTATGAAGACAGTCTGCGGTCGGTTCCGAACCCAGCGACTGACCACCTTGTATCCGAGACCATCTCTGCGAATGTAGAGGAGCCTCAACAGACTGCGGACGCCTTAGGGCAACCTGAAGCGGTGCCTAGTTGTGGATACGATCCAGTAACCGATACTCCACATCGCCGGTTGCCAAGTGACGATGAAATCCAAGTTCGACATCCCGGCATGACTGCTGAACCGCCGTCCAAAGTGGTCCAAGCTGGTGACATGCCAGTATCACACGGAAGCTTCCGGGCAGTCAATGGTTCTGCAATTGATAGTGGCACCGTGCTCAACGGCACAGGCTGGCGCGCGGTATGATGTGCCTTACTGCTGGCCAACGCCAGAATAGGCACTCGACTTTATCGCTTCGCTGATTCATGTAGATGCTAGAAAGGAACAAAGACGATACCAACGTTGATACTCGTCAGAGCATTCCATAGAATCTTGACCATCTCAACAATCGAAAGCGAAACTCTCGGCTGTGAATGGTCTGGCCAAACTTCCTGGCCCCATACGCCGTGCTTGCCCCTTCAAAAGTCTATTTGCCAAGGTGGCTGGAGCGCTTCTGGCTCTCCACGGCCGCTGTCTGTGACACCATCGGTATCAAGACCGGCATCGTCCTAGAGCTTCGACTCGGCCTCGGTGTGGCTGTTGACCGTGTGGGCAGATATCTGAATGGACGGCATTCGTTACATCGATGTGGATTGGTGTAACCCTCCCACCAGTCCAATCAATGATCGGCACGGCGCATCATGCAAGACATAAATGCCTACTCCTCAGCTGCAGAGCGGAAGTGGATCTCTGTCAGAGCGTGTCTGAGTCGGTAAGAACATGGATACTGGCAATTCTCCAGACGGCGCGTTTGGTCTGGCGTGTAAATGCGGGTATCCGACTGCATGACCGGGATCCTGCGCTTCTTGAAACATTTACGAGTACAAGAGAGTGTTGTCAAGACGGCACGGTATGGAGATCAGGAACGCGCAGCGCTAGCGCCATCATGGACTGCTGCTCTCCGGTCGGGATTCTGGGACCTCAGAACTGGGCCTCTTTACACGCTCGGAAGGAGGGAGCGCGGCTGTTTGCATGAACTACCGTTGGCCGATGATCATGCTAAACAATTACCTTCAAGAAATGGCTGCATGTGAATCACTACTTCTGCAACCGGGCACTGTATGTCCTGGACTTTTCCAATATTCTCCGATGTCACCCAAGATTCCTTCAACAAATCCCCAGAGAACATGCGCATACCTAGACGCTGATCACACACCGCTGGGGCACATATCTGAGTGGACCTGCTCGCTTGCACTTGACCAAGCGTTTTCTCGAACCCCGTATCCGACCACGGTATTCCCTGTACGACGGCCGCTTGTGCGACGTCACGGACACTCCTTCGACACCAGCAACTCGGTGTCCAAGTTGCATCAACTCACTCACGATCATAAATGTGGACCAAAAACAGCGAGCTCAAGATTACACAAAATGATGTTGGACAAGCCATGGGGAAATCGCGGGTCCTGGCATTGACATCTGCCACCGTTCGACAAGATACCGCGTGTTTGAGTGGGTGGCTGCTGTTCAGATCGCAGCATCGGGTTGGACTTCAGTGCACGGCAGAGATCCACACATGCGCCACTACAACTCTTGCGACGCCCAAAACGGCAGCAGTGTGCATGCCTATACAAAGTGCAGCCGTAGAATCACGAAAAATCCACTTACCGAGCTGCACAGCCAGCAATGAAGGAATGAATCTCTTCCTGTGTTGCGCAACATTCGCACTATGCAAGACCCTGTAGGAGATCCACGATTGCGATCCGCAAGAGGATCGATGCCAACGACAGACGCCTCAACCACTTGGATATGCTAAAGGGTCCAATCGCTGCTCGATCAGTCTCTGAAACAAGTCCGTGCGTGCTTACCAAAAAGCAGGCACAGCGTAGCATTTGCAGACCGCCTCGACTTGCGGATCAACATGACGATGGGATTTGCGAGAGAATTGGATTGTCTGCGGCCACCAAGACCTGTCATATCTCGGCGGGCGAGCGATCAGGAGGCCAAAGCTATCATCGAGCCGGCTGGGACTTGCCGATGCTGTTGCATTCCTGAGCTGAGGCGTTCCTAATGGCTGACGTTGCAATGGCCGACCACCTTCAGGCAGACTCTCTACTACCTGGTCCGATCTGGCGGTACCCCAACGCTGTACAAGAGGCTTGCCTGCAAGGCCATATTCTGTGAGATTCGGACATCTGGCTGCGGGAATACTTATTCTCAGCAAGGTCCGTTTGTCTGCTGTCGCAGACTTGTTCCCTCACACCATCTCATTCTTCAAGATCGTCCCAAGCGTTCGTCGTCCCTGATTCTATACCACTATAGGAGAGGTCGGGACATCCCTTGCTGGTTTTACAACAATCCAGATCACTTATTGGAAATTACCCGCCTACTCTTGCTGGATAGCCTCAGTAAGTCGGCCAAATTTGAGGTCGGGCACGGTTGTGCCTGGCATTTGCATCTGCATCCAGACTGACCTTGGTCCAGTAGAATCGTCGGAAGCGCCACCCATCCTCTCACCCTGACATAAGGTTTGCGTTGCGTGCGACACGAGCACACTCAGACAGCCGAAAGATGCTGGTGTACAATGGTCAGTATCTCGAGCCTTTTAAGCCTCCCAGACAGATTTGTCTACGCCACCATTAAAAGGCATATACTTCTCCGATCACACGATCACACCTGCGACAATCTTGATTCTCCCCTTTGTCGATTAAGTCATCTGTACTCACGGTCTTGGTCGCAATCTGTCTTGTGTGTCGTCTCAAACATACAATGCACCTGTCAGGTGTCGATGCGACATGTGCTAACATCTCTTTCAGTTCACGATATGTCAAATACAACAACACCTACGCATCCCGGGCGCGGTATGCCTGTGCCCGGGATCGATACAAAACAAGCTGCGTCGCTCTCATTCAGCGGTTGGCCCTTGACGCCACCGCAGTCGGCCAACGAGTCGAGAAGACCATCGCTGGCATTCTCTTCGTTATCAGATGCCTCTGCATCAGGCCCGTCTTCGATAGCGGACTTCTCGCAACCCTCAACGCCTGTGCACAGCATGGTTCAGGAAAGCTTTGCTCAGCATTGGAACGAAGGCGCTGAGGTGCAAGGAAGACCTATGAACAGCTTCAGCGATGGATGTGCACTCGGTCAAATGCCGCCGATGTTTCAGCCATTATACCATCAATCAGCGATGGGCAGTGCTCCGTCATTGGAGGCGCCTGTATACGCGCACCAGCACAACTTCAACGCTCAACAGTCACCGCTTCGACACGAAGCCTGGTCGAGCTCGAATCAATCTTCTCTGGGCATCAACACGAACGCTCCGGGTCTTAGAACGACCCTATTCCAGAACAGTACTGGCCTGAACCAAGAGCGTGTGTCCGCTTCAATGTACAACAATCCATCGCCTACCGCTCCGAGTCTTGGACAATCTGTGTTTCCTAACTATGACCACGGAGGGCCAGTCGTCTCTCCCTCGATGTTTCGCGCTCCTCACACGGTTGTCCCGTCCCAACTCAGTCCTCAAGAGGACTACCCTATGGACTCGTACGTTCCATGCAAAGTCGAGACCATGGGCCAGGACTTCGGGTCCAGTTTCGATTCAGCCGGTACAGAGTACAGTGGCTGGGAAGCTGTCGGGCAACAATCTCCTCATGACCAATACTTTGCTCACTCAGATGAAGACGACTACGTCATCGTCAAGCATGAATCGCTGGTCACTCCTTCTCGGACCCCATACCGATCGCATCGGTATATGCAGCAAACTTCCAGCCCAGACCGCGTACGGCCACGCTCTTCAAAGCGTACCAGCAAGGGTCATGCCGCCGGCAAAGTCTGGGCCGAGTACGAAGGGACCTACTGTTCCGTCCGCTGCGAAGGCAAGCCCTTCGAATTCGATGTAGATGGCCGTATTGTCACTCAGCCAACTATCGAACGCAAGCCCCATCACTGTCAAGTGGTAGTGAATGGCAAAGCTTGCGGTGCCAGCTTCGAGAGAAGCGAACACCTCAAGCGCCATATGGGCAAGCACACAAACAAGCGCGACTACCCGTGTCCGCTGGACTCCTGCAACAAGGCCATCGGCAGGCCAGACAACGCTTCTGACCACTTCAAGACCCACCTCAAGCCTCCTGGCAAGGGCAAACGCAACAAGCACTGTGACTGGGAGACTCTCGAGACTGCCATCTTGGAGCAGTACCCCGAGAAGAAGTCCACCAAGCTTCTCGCGAATTTGAGAAAATGGATGGAGGCTGAGAACGAGAAAGCTTTCGATGAGCAGCAGGAGCTTATGCGACGTTGATTAGTGAGAGGGCGGGACTCTGTACGGACGACTTTAAACGGCTTTTGGTATGGGATGGGACGGGCACAGGATTCATTCGGTAATGAAGAAATGGTAACGGCAGGCATGCAGTGCGGCGCTTTTGTGGGCTTTTTTTTTACGATCTCGGATATACCCCCAACGGCGGGCAACTAACTTTGTGGCGATTTTTTTTTTCTGGCGCTGGACATCTATTCTTAGCAAGCAAAACAGGAGAAAAGGAGAGGTAAACCTTTTTTTTCGGTCATGGGCAATGAGAAATGTGTAACGTTAGGATGTAAGGTAGTAGTAGTAGTGATGGGGACAAGGCGGCATGGTCGATCCTTTTCGACACATTCGGGTAGGCTCTTTCTCTTTGACAGCGATGAATATAAGCAGAGGATCTGTACATGTTACAGCAAGACTTGGTTCCAATCTTCATATTCTGTAATGGGCTTTGAGATTTCGAAGTGTGACTTTGCTAACGTGAATCATCTACAGCCTTTGGTTTGTGGTATGATTGTATTTCAGGAGCTTTTGAAGCTTCTTCATGATCTCGTCTCATGGTCCTCTAATGCTTTTTTGGGTATCTTACATTGTCGATAATGTTTCTCTGTATTTTGCGTGGCCTTGATCTTGCCTCACATGTATGATGCCAAAGTGTCCATGTCCATGTCAATGCATCATTCATGAATTTTGGCGTTCACTTCTTGCCAGCAGCCTTGGCCAGATCCGCAAGGGCCTCACGGCGCTTGAACTTGGCGTCCTGGATGACACCTGCTTTCATGTCAATCATGTCTGCTCGGATAGTGGTGGAGGAAAGACATACCAGCATCAGCATCAGAAGAGAAGTTCCCAGTCCACTCGACAAACGTCGAGCCCTCGTGCTCGCCGGATGTGACTGGGTAGCAGCGAATGGTGCTGAGGACGGAGGAGTAGCTCAACTCGGGCTGGGACGAGATGATGCTGTAGGTGATGTAGTGGTTGATGGACTGTTTGCACAAAGAACATCAGTGTCTGCCACTGCCACTCAATTGCGTGTTGGTCAAACCTTACCGAGTGCTCCTCTTGCTTGACCTCCAGGACTGTGCCGTCCTTGAACGTCCACTTGACGATGTCGGTGTCGGGCGATGCTCCCTTCACGAAGTCGGACTGCTTGATGGCTGACCACCAGTGGCTGAAGGACTCCAGCTTGATCTCGTGCCAGACCTTGGCCAACGGGGCTTTGATGACGGCCGATTCGACGACGGCGGTGGAAGTTGGGATTGCTCCGGACATGGTGGGTGGTTGGTGTTTGGCTGTTGTGGTGGGTGCTTTCTGGTGGTGTGTTGGAGGTTGAGAAACAGTTTCTGAAGATTTCTACCTGCCTTGTACGCAGCAGGCAGAGCTGCCCTGAGCTCGTCCTGGCCTGGTCCTGCAGGCAGCTGCAGCTTCTGCGTTCGTTGTCCGTCAACGTCATACCATGGAGTGAATGCTTGGCATCGCTTCCAGAATGGCATTGACACCGTTCGTTGCGGCGTTGTGAAGACGGGAGTGCCTGCAGAATTTAGCAGTTGTAGCCCGGTGCCATTGCCATCTGATCACCGTCAATGCTATACGTCGCGTCGGGTATGTCTTCAGTCCATTTCTTGGCTCCAGGCGAGGCTAGGTCGATGAGCTGATCTCATTGGCCAGAATTCTAAACGGAGTTCGCTGCGGAATTGCCAAGAAAGTTATTCTCCAAGTGAAGCTTGGGCATTGGACTGGGAATGACATCTCACACTCGAGCCTCAGGCGGCGACTACCACATAAACAGCTCAGATTCCGCTCGACAACCTGCGCTGACTAATTGAGAACACAATGTCTGATGAAAGCGACGCAGTTTCGCGCCAGAATGCCCAGGAACGCGCCGTAGGCATATCAGTCTTTGTGAAGCCTGAAGTTCCTGGCTTCCAGTGTGTCGTTAAACAGCGCTATACCGATTTCCTCGTCAACGAAGTCCTGCCGAACGGAGAAGTCTTACACCTTACCGATGTGTCTCACGACCAGAATCACAAGAGAAAGCGCGAGCCCGAGGATGAGTCGCAGAAGAAGAAGAAGAAGCTGAAGGAGAATGGCCACGCAGATGCCACTGTTGAAGCAAATGAGATGCAGAAAGACTCCAGTGGAGATGCTGTACATGCAGATGCTCTTCAGAATGGCTCTGAGGCCCAAGTTGAGGCAGACGCTGAAGCATCTGCAGAGGACATCAAAGTTGCCAAAGCTCAAGCTATCGCGAGCATAGCCGATGCGGACAAGGCCGTGTTGAAGGATGTCTTCGGTGATGATACCACATTCGCTATTCTTGGTCTTTATGCCAATGTTATCGCTTATCCAGAGCGCAAAGCGAGAAACTTTCAGCCTGTGAACTCCAGTCCGATTGCCGAGAAATCGAAGCGTACTGAAGCCCATCTGTGCATTCGCCGCATCTTCAGTTCGAAGCTGGAAACGCTCACAGTTCAAGACCAAGAACACAAGTCTGGGGCGGGCACTGTCATTGAGATCAAGGCGGCGCCACCTAAAGCACCGTCTAGCGTACACGCCGAAGGCCGAAAGAATGACCAGCAGCGAGGTAAGCAGAATTGGTCTGATCTTGGAGGGGAATACCTGCACTTCACGCTCTACAAGGAAAACAAGGACACCATGGAAGTGCTCTACTTCCTTGCTTCTCAGCTGAAAATGCATATGAAGCATTTCGGGTTCGCGGGCACAAAGGATCGCCGAGGAGTGACTGTCCAGAGAGTCTCCATCCACCGTGTCAGACGAGAACGCTTGGAGCAACTCAACAAGCACGCCAGAGGGTTCCGTGTTGGCGGTCCTTGGGAGTATAGAACTGAAGGCCTTGATCTTGGCATGGCCAAAGGCAATGAGTTTATGATCACTCTCCGTGATGCTCGTTTTGAGGGCATTACCGAATCCGCTTCAATGGATCAAAAGCTTCAGCATGCTCAGGGCATAGCAAAAGCAGCGGCGTCAAATCTGGCCGCGTCTGGCTTCCTTAACTACTATGGCTTGCAGCGCTTTGGCACCCACAGCAATGGGACTCATGCCATCGGCATGAAAATGCTGCAAGGTGACTTGAAAGGCGCTATCGACTCTATCTTGTCTTATGATCCAACGCTTCTGGAAGAAGACGAGTCTGCACAGTCAAACGGCGACAATGCACCCCGAAGAATGGTTCCACAAGAGGATGTGTACCGCGCAAGAGCTATACATGCATTTCGCAAATCCGGAACTTCTGGCGAGGCCTTGTCGCATCTTCCTGGCAACCGCTTTTCTGCCGAAAAAGGCCTGATAACTCATCTTGGCAAACGAGATCGGAAGACGGGGCGACTTCCCAATGAGAACGACTATCAAGGCGCCTTGATGATGATTCAGCGGAATTTGCGACTCATGTACGTTCATGCATATCAGAGCTTCGTATGGAACACTGTCGCAGGCAAACGCTGGGAGCGATCTGGTGACAAGGTCGTAGAAGGTGATCTGGTTGTAGTTGGCGAAAAGGATACTGGGTCTGATCCCAGTAATAGCATCAAGGCACCAGCTCAAGAAGTAGACGATCATGGCGAGCCTGTCGTTCATCCAAATGCTCCTGGCGACAAGGGAAATGATGGCGGCGAAGCTGAAGATCCTTTTGTTCGTGCCCGTCCTCTTAGCAAAGATGAGGCAGAGAGCGGGCGTTTTGATATCTTTGACCTGGTCTTGCCGCTTCCAGGATTCGACGTTGTCTATCCGAAGAACGAGGTCGGCAAGTTCTATGAGGATTTTATGGCTTCTGAAGAGGGAGGCAAACTCGACCCGCACAACATGCGGCGCTCCTGGAAAGATATTTCGTTATCTGGGGGATATCGCAAGATGTTTGCGCGACCTCTTGGCGAGGTCGAGGTTGATGTGAAGGCATATAGCGGCCTAGAAGAACAAATGGTCGAAACTGACCTCGAGAGATTGTCCAAAGACAGCGAGTCGGAGGCGGAGGCGCGCGTCGAAAAAGCTTCCTCGGGGGAGAAGGACAAGCTTGCGATTTTACTCAAGCTCAAGCTTGGTAGCAGTCAATATGCTACGATGGCATTACGAGAGCTCAGCAAGGGTGGAGCCATTGCATTTACACCAAGCTACTCCGTCACAAATCGATAGATCGAAGGCGGAGCTGTCCTGTGTCGAAGCGGCAAATTCAGTTCGGGAAGCCGAAGCCAGAAGCCAATCAAGCTCAGCATGAAAGCAGAAAACAAATATGCCATGCGACCAGCAGCCTCAATGCACATTTATCCCCAAGACATGTACTCGCCATGCGACAAACACGCTCGCCAGCATGGAAATGTTTTCGCGGAGACAAGACCTGGCATGGCAAACATGGCTCATGGAAGCCAGAGCAAGACCCTCAAGGACTCGATTGACGTTTTCTGCGAGCTACTACGGTATGGTGGTCAGCAGCCGCTAACGACGCGCCGTCGACTTTACGGCCACCACTCGTGGGCATTGAACTCGTGTCCATTGCGGCCTCAGAGTGCACTGTGCGGCATACCGAAAGCCGTGATCGCAAATCAGTAGGTATCGTAATCGTGATTTCCAGTCCATATTCGCACCATTTCGTCTCGTCTGCTTTTGGTAACGGTGGTGCAACATTGTGCGCCGTGCCTGGTGTCAGGTGCATCGGCGCCGGTGGAGGGAGGAACGCAGTGGTGAGTGCCAAGTGGACATATATAAACTTTGAGCGGGCAAGGCTCCGCTCCAGCCTTCTCTTTCCCTAGATTCATCGGCGCTGCTTCTGCGAAGTCGAGAGCTCAGTAAGGCTCCTGCAACACAGCTCTTCACGTGGACAGGTCGGTCGCTCAAGACGAAATACACCATCTCTACAGGGCATCCTGCACTGTCACGCCCAAGATTCCCCGCGGCTTGTTGCCCACGAAGCCACGGTCGTCGACACGCAATATACCCTCGGCCGACGCTCGTCGCAATTTGCTCTGGCCGATCGGCTTACAACGAAACGTACGCACAGTAACAATCCGTCCTGCGCACCGCCCATACCGTGCTATTCCATTCAGTGGCTTGACGCACCAGTCGAACTTCGAAACAAGCGGCTACCCTCTGTGTCGACCACATCCTGTCTGACTGTTTTTACACGCTGTCAACGGAGTGAACACGGCAAGCCGAAGACAATCAACGAAACCTCTTCTCCGCATTCAGAGCTCTCAATACTCACTATGTCATACACATCGCAGACAGTCGGCCAAGTCCCAAAGGACGCAACGCCTGAGTCCAGAAACTCCAGCGCGCCACACGGAAACAATAGGAAGAAATATGAGTGGTACTGTATACACTGCTCACGAGACAAAGATGCGCGCGAGCTCACTTTCGATAACGCCCATGTATTACGAGTCCACATGGTTAGAGTACACAACCTTCCTCCAGAACCATGGATTCAAGCAGGTGAAGTTTCAAATTGCCCCATCTGCGATAAGTGGTTCCTATTGAAGAGCAATCAATATGGCAGTGAAATCCCACATCCGAAACACGCCACGCCGACCGACAAATCACGCTGGATAACCAAAAACCTCTCGAAGAAGGACAAGGCTGACACGTGGGCGTTGGAGCGTTTCTATGGGTACCCTTCTTCCCGAACGAAGGGCATAGCTGTGGAAAGTCGAGCTGGTCCTGATGAGTATCATCAATGGCAGAAGAAACAGGATGAATGTTGTGGCTACTTACCTGCGGAATGGAAGGCACTGCAAGAGGAACTGAAGGCTCTGTCGGGTCAGATGAATCCCCGTAAACGCCAGAACAGGATCTCTAAAAAGACGAATCGTCGCCATGCAGCTCCTGGCAAAAATATCAGGCCAGCCTACGCACGAACAAGCAGCGTGACCGAAATGTCTGAAGCAGAGGACCTTAGCCCAGCAGCGTCAAGTAAGGCTTCGTGGACCGATCATGCAGTCTTCGGAGTGGTGGCACACTCAGACCTTATTCCCGATTCGATGCTTACCACAGCGGGATCCAGTAATATGCCTCAGTATGCGACTGACCACTTTGCATATACTATACCACCTCTCGAAGGTATGGAGGCGAAGATGCCTGCTTCAGAGGCAGGAGCAGTCGAAGGAAACAGCTTCTGGAGATTCCAAGATTTGGAATGCGAGAGAAAACGAGACTATGATGGAGACCCAGGCTTGGACTCTGACGAGCTGAGGGCACAAATAGTCTTGCAAGAGGCACATTCTGAGTCGAGATACTTCGCTGCAGACGATGTGCACTACTATCAAGGCATGCTATCGAGAGGTGTCTCAACACCTCTTTGCCAAATTGGTAAAGATGTCTTACTAAACATTCGACTCGTGCCTCATTTGGCGGGAGGCCTGGCCCCGAGAAGCTCCGATGCAACAATCAGAGAAGCGATTTTAGAAATGGGGAAGAGGCAACGATATGTAAGTCCTCAAGAGTGGTCGACTCGTTGGGACACGCGCCTTTCGGTTGAAGTCCGCCATCAATACGGCCATAACAATTACCCGCCTCTCGAATGGGACACATCGCAGGGGCGAGAGGTGAGACCTTCCTGGCCTGAGCACAGCATAGACTCTTCCATGCTCCAGGAAACACGCTTCGCAAACACAACAGCACCTTTCACACAATCGGCCTCGTTCTCTGCTGCTCAAAGCCAACTAATTCATCCCGAGATGAGCCGGGCTTTTCGATCACCCATCCAGCCCAACTTCTTTAGGCAACTCATACCTCCACCAAGCGTCACGCTACGCAATCCATTGCTTTATCAACAACCGCTACACCCTTGGGATGCTTGGAACATAGGGTCAAATCAGTAGAAACAGAATCCGGTCGATCAATTGATCAAGTCAACGACTTTTTTCGGCCAAGTGAGCTTATAGGACCACCAAAGTGCTCGGCGGAGGAGACACACTGGAAATAATACGCGAATTACGTCTCAACGAGACCTCTCCACGATGCCTAGCGTGCCCAGCGGTGCCCATAGATTGACGGAAAATAAGCTCGGGAGATTGTATCGGCCGCAAAGTCGCCATTCGACTGCACCAGTGCAGTCGCATCCATCGGCATACACCGAAAGTCCTCAAGCACAGAGGATATAATTCTCTGGCTTCAATACTGCACTTTTTGACGGATTCTGGCGCTGTACCAGATGCCGCTCGGCCTCGCGACGCTGATCAAGCGATGTTTCAGACGTCGAATGCCGCTCGGCCTCGCGACGCTGATCAAGCGATGTTTCAGACGTCGAATGCTCTCCCGGACATCTCAGGAGCACAAGCACCACGTAACATGGTTTTACACGACATGGTTCTACACAAGGGTTCGTGTTAGGCTGCCAACGTGATGCAAGAACAGGATTGACGAGGTGACATGCTTAGGCCACTCGTCTTGTCAAAAGATCTCGCTGTCGTCTAGAGGGTCTAGCTCCTCTGCTAAAGGAAAGATCTCGCTGTCGTCTAGAGGGTCTAGCTCCTCTGCTAAAGGTTTCCGCTTCTCTCGGAACGTGTCGTCCAGCGCACCCTCCTCCGCTGTATCCTCAGTCTCGACGTCCATATCTACCAACTCCGTGTAAGACGGCGCAGTCTTGGGTGGCAACGGCTTTCGACCAGAGAGCACTTCAAATAATGAGTCTTCACTGGCACCCTCTTCGAATGCAGCGTTTCCGGATTGCTCGTGCAACTGTGGAGTACCTTGGTCCTCATCTTGACCATCTGGATAAAGTAGCCGGAACTGAGACTTTTGTGTGACCATTATGATTGGCCGGTCATTGGAAGCTGTGAGGATCCAGCTCAGTCGCGCGCTCGCGGCGGCACTAGTATGATGGGCCACTGGAGGTTCTGATGATGTGACGTCGAAAATGTGCGCAATGCCTTCTCCGCAGTCTACAAGCAGGGTTTCTGCTCGAGTTGGGTGCCATGTCAATTTGCGAATGTTGCTATGTTGGAGTAATACTGAATGTGCTGCGAGCGTAGCAGTATTCCAGATCCAGACTGTGTTCAGCATTCGACAGTCACGAGTCGCAAGATAATTGCCGTCACAGCTGAAGCAAAGCTCGGCGACTCCGAGTTCGACGGGTTCTGAAGTTGGCTTCGATCTCGATAGTGGCGGGCAGACAGGTTGCGGAGCGAAAGTGTAGCTGCGCTCATTCGCGGATGAAACCCTCTCCTGCCAGACTGGTGCTTGCTCGGATAGCGGTAATGAGCTTTGGGCGATAGTTGTGTGGTGCTCGATGGTTGCGAGCTGCGAGAATGTTCTTGCATTCAGAAGTTCCACGCGACCATCATGGCAGGCTAATGCGAGAACACGGCCATCGGGAGACCACTCGATGTTCTTTGCTCCCAGTTCAGCGTCGACGTTCTTCTTTGACAGCCATGATCTGAAGAGGTGCCCATCTGGCGTGTAAATATGCAGATTTGGGCTCACAGATGGCGTATCCAATATCGCAAGCCACCTTCCATCTGGAGACCAAGATATCGATTGCGCATCTGTAGTTGCCAGCTTGATGCCTAACGGCATTTGATCAAGCGTTGGAAATTGAAGAACAAGCTGATCCTCCGCTCCGTTCCTGCAAAGCAATGCCAAAAGCGCTGGTCTCTTATAACCTGGTCGATTCTGCCACACAGGTCCTTCGCATGTTGTCTTAATATCTGGTAGGTCGCAAGCTCTGCCGGTTTTCAGATGCCACAATCTCGCTTTTCCGAACTCCCATATCACCAGCAGGCGGTCATTTCCAACAAAGTCTGCAGATGCAATCTTTCCAAGACCACCGCTGCCATTTCCGACAACCGCCAGGTCCTCAAAATCTTCGAAATCTAGCACCTTGACGCCCTTGCTAGAAGCCACCAAGACCTGGTAGGCATTGGGTGCCCATTTGATCGAGTTGATGTCACGCTCCTCGAAAGTCTTGCGGCCGCCAGTAATTGCGGGTCCGCGTCTTCTTGTGCTTTGTCGACATATGAGTGAGTTCTGTACAAATGCGATGTGGTCGCCGTTTGGCGATGCTGTCGAGCAGATCTGCATGTTGGAAGTTCATGTCGCGTCCGATGGTTGGAAGCAGGTCAACATGCAGGTGTTGGTGGGGTGATCGAAAGCCCGAAGGAAGCTCGGTCTCCACTTCGGCTGAACGGCCGAGGTCCATGGTTCCCTTGATCGACGAGGGTGTCGGCTGGCTTGAGTCGCCTCTGTGTTCCTTCACGATACACTCTGCTTGCTTGCGAATCTGCCTCCGTAACTCCGTACTTCTAGTCCTATTTCACCAATGTCTGAACCTGCTAGTCAGCCAGGAGCGCCAACAGACGGCGCACAGAACATCCCAGCAGCCAGCGAGAAGTCCATAGCTACAGAGATGGAGAAGAAGGTGCCCGCAAAAGTCACCAGTGCTCTGGCGACTCCAGATCGCATTCTCCTGCGATTGAACAAGTACGGAACACATCGGGAAGCTACGAATAGTCCTAATGTCCACATAGACTGCTCGCTGCTCCTGGCGGCTTAAGCGCCTTCCTCTCTACCTTCAACTACACCCTCTACCTCCTTGCACATCTCGATGCGAAAGCAGCTCCTCTTAAGACGAAGCTGTATATGTTCTTGAACCGAAATGCAGCTCTTCCGAAAGCCACACCACCAGTGCCAACTGAGCCGTCCCCGATCGCAGCTCTTGGGGGCCTCCTCTCAGCTACCCGAACAACCCTTCGATTGTTTGGACTTCTGCCGATGTATGCGTGGGCGCGACAGCTAGCTCAGGGACCTAAGCCAGGCCAGGATCAAGTGCTGTATGCGACTGCTGTAACGCAATGCGCCCTGTACATTGCTTTCCAGGGCCTTGAGAACATTGCTCTCTTGACCGACAGTAAGATCCTCCCGGCTTCGCTGACAACGAGGTGGACAGAGAAGCATGGCGGAAAAGCGACAGCATTGTACACCGCTGCGTATCGGGCGTGGTTCTTCGGCTTCTGCTGTGACTTTGTCAGACTCTTTAGGGAAGCGCAGCTGGAGAGAAACAAGCGAGCTGAGCGCAGCTCGTCGGAGAAGAGCGATGTCTCGATCAAGAAAGAGGACGAAAAGAATGACCAGAGGTGGTGGGCGGAGATGGTTGTGCCTTTGATGTGGTTCCCAGTCGGCTTCCAATTCGCCGCCTTGAACGACACTGGCTTCCCTGGCTTCAATTTAGGTCTCATGGGAGCATGTGGTGCGATTGCAGGTCTCGGTAAAACGAAGGCTCTCTGGGACGCAACTGCGGATGCTTAGTGGGAGGATGAGCCAGGAGAAGAGTTAGGTCGAGGATGGAGACAGGTGGAACTCGCGGCTTGTCCTGCACGTGGACAGACAGATTGACAGTCATGGTATATGGAGTTGTCTGCGCATGGTCGGAAGCAAGAAAGCAATCTTTCGTTGATAGCATTGTAGTCTGCGCAGCGTTTTAATGGGTTCGTTCGCAAGAGAAAGGCTTCATCATGTCGATTCAGTGATGGCATGGATTATTGTAACGTGCTGAGAACTGGGAGTAGAAATCTTAGCGCGATGAAACATGGTTGCGTGAAGGTGAAGGCGAAACTCAGCTTGCTTGTTGTCTACAGCGACTCATGGCTGATTACAGATTCCTTTCCTCCACCTCCACCTCCGCCTCCGCCCCCTTAGATCCTTGCGATGCTCAATGGCGAGAGTCCGTCCTGTCCACGCGATCACTCTCCTACGTCTCCAACGCCGGCAGCATAATCTACCCGCACAGCCTTGCACCAAGTGCTCAAATTAGGCCGACGAGCTTGTCCAGCCTCCGAACACTATCGCGCAAGAATACGGCAGACACGATGCATTCGTCGGAAGAAAGTGACTTGGAAATGGTAGATACGAGAAGAGCAGCTTCGGTCGGCCTGCCTGAGATATCTGAGCTGCCGGAAAGCGTTGCCAACTCCCTGCTATATTCGCTGCCTAGAGAGATTCGCGATCGCATATATGCCTTCGTACTGTCGCCACAGGATGGAGTGCCCGTAGAGTGGCCGAGGCCAACACAATTCCGCCTAAACAGTCTATACCACCTACAACCTCAGCTTCTGAGGACCTGCAAAATCGTCTACGATGAGGCAGCGCCGCTGCTTTATACTATAAGTAGCTTAACATTTCACCATCCGTCAGACGCTAACGTGTTCGTTCGCGCGTTTGCTTCGCCTATCTACGGACGCTATATCATAAACCTGTCCCTCCACATCAAAGCCCAAGACTCTAGGACTTGGATGCCTTATCTCACCTCTACAGATGAGGTCAGAAGCCTTAAAGCAGATTTTCCGAACCTCAGAGAACTTGGTATACGCTTCCGGAGCAATAAATGGCACTATCAACATACGCCTGAACAGAATATGAGGGCATGGTACGATGACAGCCGTCTAGATGAGCTTATAGACGGCCTGCGATATGTCTTCTTGCCTAGTGAGCAACCAGAGCAGGAGGTGAGGGGGAGAGAATTTCAAGCATTCTTAACGCCAAACCCGGCTGCCTTCCGCGGCGGAGATCCAGACCACCAGCTCAGAGACCGCCTGCTCAAGATACACAAAGCCAGGCTCGATCGCACTAGCTCTACGACACATAGGACTAAGGCGCCGACCATCCGGGTCTGCTGTGCTTGCAGAGTACACTCGATACACTTCAATGCCCTGACCACGAGAGCAACAGAGCCGCTACAGGAACAAGCTGCTGCTGCGCAGAACGATGATGCGACGCACCTACCACGTGAGCCTGTAAGAGAGGGCGAGCCATTTCGAGGATTCACTGCTGTTGACCTTCAGAACGGCGTGAAGCAGCTTCATGATCCAGAGCTGGGCTCTGCCAATGTCGCACGCACTCCTTATACCTCGAAGAACGGCATCCTGCTTTCGCTGGAAATCCACTGCTTAGATCCTAAGAGAGATGCAGCTGATAGAGCTGCATAACTAGATGGATCGTTGGACTTGCTATTTGAAGGATGCGAAGTATGTGGTCGCGTCTACTCGTACTGCTTGAGAAAGCGACGCTAGCTCCATGGGAAGAGCAGGACCCAAGGCTGACAATGCCGATGATGAAACCCACACAAATGAAGGAAGTCAAGATTACACTGGAAGATGCAGAAGCTTCTATCATCATAACATCACCAGAGACATCAAGTGGTGCGGGACACAAAAATAGCTTGGGTATGGTGGACCTCTTCCCTGTGGATGAACGCGTTGATGCTCCGCCATCCTTCTCTATGGATGTTTTCGATGCTGCCTACAAGGAGGTGGAAAGAGACTGCTTTCAAAACACTTACACGGACTACGTGAAGTCGGGCGAGTACAAGAAGGCGATTCATGCTCCGATGAGTGATGTTTGATGATGAAACTTGGACTTATTGCCGATGAATCTTAATGATTTAGCGTGGCGTTGGTAGAGAGGATGACAAGTTGGTTCGAGACGAATGTTACACAACATTCCTCAGGACGTAATATACGACAACAAGATTTCGTTTCTTTCGCTCAATAGTGCTGCAGGCCTGCTGTCAACAGTAGTTCACCTGCATTTATTATACAGAGCGTTCGTCGAGGCGAACACTGGCAGATTTTCTCATTGCGCTCAATTCACATACTTCTCGCCTTGGAGGCACGAGCACAACAGTCTGAAGAACACTGTGTTCTACATACTCGGCAGCCTTGGTGATCACCCGTGGATCGACGCTCTTGGTTGGGACGTTCTCTTTTCCATCGTCGGTCTCTGCGCGTGGTCTGCGGCGAGCAGGGCCGATACGAGAGGGATGCTGCAATGCATCATAGCACCGCGGCTGGAGGGTGTCAACGACACCGTCAAGCAACTGGTTGAGTTGCCAAAAGATGGGGTAGAGGGAGAAATGGCTCATGGTGTACCCCGAACGCCGGCCAAGCAGCTGAGCATAGGTCAGTAACACTTGAAGGACTGGCAACAAATCGTCGCGGGAGGGATGGAAGTTGTACAAGGAAGCTATGCTGCCCGAGGACGACTCTGACGAAGTGACAGAGCACTCATCATCAGACGAGGCTCCTTCTAAAGCAGTGCGAAGTACGAGAGCCTTGCGCTCACAAAGTCGTCAAATGAATGCCACGCAGCCTGCCCGGCGCAGCACGAACGGCTATGGAGACAGAGGGCGTGAAAACAACTTAACAAGGAGTCTTCGACGGGCGTTTCACGAAGACCATCTGGAAGCAGGTCCGCCCCACGGACGAGGAGTGCACGTGCAGAGTCAAGGAAGAATCTTCCCTAATCAGCCTTGATGATGATGGCAATCTTAAAAGCCGAGCGGAGTAAGCGGGTGCGGCATGGTGTTTGTATGTGGTTGGAGGACTCAGATTGGCGTCTGCTGCGGTCTATGGGTGATGTCAGACGTGCTGCCCTGGCCCTGACCTGAGACTGCTTCAAGTTGTGTTTTGAGTTCGAGACCTCTTTCCAATGACTTCCCTGTCAGCCATGACATGTATTCTCCTTGGAGCGTGCTTGTAGCGTGCGTACGTATGTAGGCGTTTCATGTTTGGCCGGCAGAGGTGGACAGCCACAGAGACCGCAAGACTTGTTGCCGTGCCGAGAAGAAATCATGCACGTCGGACGTTGGCGCCACACACGGTGGCTCTTGGACCCTTTGTAGCGCGATCTTGGTGCATTCACTGCATTGTTCCCCTCGACTGGAGTCTCGTAATGACTCTCGTAATGTTCCTAGTATAGTAGCAGTCGCCGTCTAGGTCTTCGGGACCACTCGAGAGGAGATGAAGATGGTTCTGACGCCGGACAGAACTCGGAGAAGGGCGGTTTTGCTGCGAGAAGATGTGAGCGCAACAGAGCAGAGCAGGCGCACGGTGAATGCGATGCCATTGTCAGTGATACTGTAGAATGACACGGCGTTATGTTCGATGCATGAGGCAGCCGAAAAGTTGGCAGACGCCGAGCAGAGAACGACGGGAGCCAAAATTGGCAGAACGGAGGTCGGCAAAGCGGGCCCGGTGGCAGCTTGCTGTGATTGGCGCCGGGCTCGTTTGGCGAGTTTGGCATGGCGTACCTGCACAGGCAAAAGCTATTTTGTAGGTACCTCCATGCTATTTTGCAGGTACCCACCCTGATGTAGACAAGTGCGTGCACGGACGATTTATAGTGTAATTCGACCTAATTTAGTATATCTAAGCATTACACTGCCTACTAATTCGAACAACTAGTAGTATAGCTGTCTATAGTAACGCTTAGGGTTAAGAAGGAGGCATTTCCGGAGGCTATAGATATATAAGACTTCTAGAACTAATTGCTATAACCTACATACTAATAACTACGAGGGTATAGTACCGGCTGCTGCCACTATAGACCTTGCTACTGCTACTATAGACCTCCGCGGAGTAGAGCTATAGACGGTAGAGCTATAGAACCTAGTATATGCTATTGCTAAGTAAATACCTGTTAGTTTGATAGTAGCGGAGCGGCACTAAATATAGTAGATTGAGTCGCTGCTAGTAGACCTATAGCCTGCGGTAGTATAGGTTAACTACTATAGAACTAGACAAACTATCGCTCCGAGTAAGGTACTGCTAGCGGTGCTAGCGCTATTAGACGTTGTCGATTAAGTGCTATAGCGGCTCTTTAAATACTAGCTGGATCGTTGCTAACAAAGCCGTAGCGCTTAGTAGGCGTATAGACTAGCGGAGCTAAAGGTCGTAGTTATTGTATTACCGTACGACGAGGTTGTTAAGTAGATGCCCTCGTACGCCGTCTACGGCCTCTTTAAGAAGCCGGGTTTAACTGATCTACGTATTCGAAGCTAGAAGCCTCTCGTTAATTAGTACGGACGTGTCTCCTAGTCGTTCTACCTCTTCTACGGCGGTTATTTAGCAATACTAATAGCTCTTGAACCGGTCTCTTAAGCTCAATAATAGCCCTTACTAGCGCCGCGGCTTTATCGATATGCTAGTGCCTATCGAAGTGCGTATAGGGGTCGAATTCGAAGGACCTAGTTAACTTAATAGTATCGATTATTGTGTGCTTGCAAACGACACCCTATAACTTCCGAAAGCAGCCTAAGTATTAAGAGCGCTGTTTGCCTAGTTGCTTAGTAAGCTCAGCTATCTCTTCGTACGCTAATCTAAGCTGATTAAGGCCCTTCTATAAGGCCTTCCTATATAGCTTTGTATTGACATTAGCAAACTCCGGTCGGCGCAGTGCTATAGGCATACCCTTCCGCTCTCGGCCTATTCGTGCCTTAATCTCCGAGTACCTAATTATCTACTATAGCTTTAGCTTAAGGAAGAGTATAAGGATGTTATACCGCCTACTAGTAAGCTACCTCTTTATAGTTAAGTAAGCGCCTTTAGCTCTAGAAGTAACTGACTGCCCGTAGAAAGGGAATTTGCGCTGCTAGAAGCAGTATACTAGCTTGTACTTATAAGGCTAGTATTTACGCTAAATATAGTCTCGAAGGGCTACGAAGTAAGGGTTCTTATAGTTGCTAAGGAAGGCATCTTTAGAGTTGAATTCTTCTACTATTTTAGCGTAGACGTAGGTCCGGAAGTTGTCTACGAAGGCAGCGCAGTCGGGGTCGTCTTGCTACTTATTCTTGCCTGTCTTTTTATTAAGTACCTGTTTCTAAGGTATTAGCTTCCGTGCCTACGCCTGCACGTTCTTAAACATATGCTAGGCGCAAATAAGAGCCGGAGTGCGTAGATAGGTCTTGTCGAGGGCATTTATATAGCTACGGTCTCGATCAGTAACCTATAGACTAGGCTATAGTAGATCGTGCTCCTAGCAAATAGACTAGAAGTTCTTAGCAAACTACGTAAAGGCAGCTTCATCCTTATTACCTATAATATAGTACCTAAGAGGGATTGTATCTCTAGCTCTAGTACTAGACACGATATTAAGCAATAGCCGATTGTACTTGTTTGTCTTATAGGTGTTATTAATAATAATGTAGTCCGGATATAGCTTATACAACTCGGCTATTTGAGGGTTAATTACGAGCAATTTGTCGAGTTTCCCGTTCCTTGGGTCTACCTGCTTTCTAAAGTAGAAACCTAGCTTAGTTAGCTGCTTGAATAGGGCCTTAGGGGCAGTCAAATTACCCTGTATAGCCTTCCGTGCCTAGAGCCTAACATTCTAAAGGTCCTTAACGATTTGAATGCCTATAGATAGTATATTGTAAGTAAGAGGGTTGAGTTAAGAAGGGAAGAAGTAACTAAATATCAACCGGCCGAGACTCGGCCGGTTAACTTCGAAGAATTCAACTTATAATCGTTGCTTTCTATAAACCTATACAACGTCGTATATACACTCGCATTAGCATTTAGATCGTCGACAATAGCCTTCCGTATAGCCTTATTGCGCTGCCGCCGACGGTGACTCGCGAAGTCGCGCGCAGAATCCGCTAGACCGTAGTTATGCGAGCTAACCTACCTCTTAACTTGCTATCGACTATCCGGCTTTATAGAATCTATAGCCTTAATAGTAAGGCGTACTGGACACCTATAGCGCTTAGAGGTCGCTCCTTTTCTCTTCGTCTTAGCACTCTTATTAGTCGGTTTACTAGCTCTTATACACTATATCTAGCGACTAATAATCTTGCTACGAAGCTATAGGTTAAGCGCTCGCGATTTAGTCGTAGACTTGACGTAGAGGTTATAACGCGCCTTCGCGGTATATGCGTAAACCTTACGCTTATATACCGCTATCGAATAATGGGTATCTACTAGCACTAGCGCTAGTAGCGCTACGGACTTATTATCTTCTTCCTCGACCTCGATTTCCTTATTCTTAACCTAAGAGGCTAATTGCTAAGCAGTCCGTACTACTCTATTACTATTACTATTACTACTACTACTAGCAGCCTTACGATCCTCGTCTTCTTTCCGCGCCTGCCTTTCCAATTCGTACTTACGACGCTCCTTATTATTTAGATTATTTAAATCTACCTCTTCGTCTTTATCCTTACTAAAACTACTATCTCTAATAGGACTATTACTACTAGGTCTTAGATCTCCGAGGTCTTTAGTATCCTAGAAGAAATCGCTGGGTTCTAGTACGGACGACTCGTAAAGAGCTTGAGAAGCGGATATAGGTATATTAAGTAGTAAACAACACCTTAGAATCGCTATACCGTTGAATTATAAAGAACATAAGAATTTACGAAGTGGAACACGCGACGCGTCGAGCGCCTAGCACGCTATACTATTCTTAGCCAGTTTATACTATCAAGCGTACTATACCTAGTACGGATACTGCCTCCCCGATTCGGGTGGGTACCTACAAAATAGCATGGAGGTACCTGCAAAATAGCTTTTGCCACCTGCACAGCCGCACTCGCAACGCCCAGGCCACGCTCTCCCATCATCTCTCTCCTCCCTCTCAACACGCTCACGACTGCCTCTCACTCCACCGCAACCACCACCACCACCACCACCATTTCACCTCTGACACCGCTCCCATCGCCATCTACACACTCGCCACTGCCGCAATACCAGGAAATAGGCAGCGAAAAGCGGCGTTTGCGCCCGTCACGTCGATATCAGCAGGCCGCGTCAGCACCAAAAGCTGCCTGCTAGCTGAGGGGAAACACTTGTCGAAAGGTCGAAACACACGCAGCCTGATAAGGCATCCACAAACTCCCCGTCACACACTCTGCTATGGGAAGCAGACCCACGCCGCAATTGAAGACCGAGCAGCTCGACATGGACTCGTTCTTCGACTTCAACCAGGGCAACACCCAGCCATCCCCCGTCACGGCTTCCTCATCGCGGACAGACGCCATGTCGCCATTCGTCAAAGAAGAGCAACAACAACACTTCAATGGACCAAGCCACGACTATGGACAATTCAAGCAACAGGTCGGTCTTCCAGTAGGCAGCCTGGCCAACATGCCACAGAACGGCATGTTTGACGGCTTCAACTCGGGCATCGGAGACATGGAATTCAACTCGGGTTTTGCTTGGAACTCAGGCATTGATGTTGACGCTGACATGGGCGTGGACTTCAACAACTCGCAGCCCATGCCGGCAATGTTCTTCCCATCAAATGAGGCGTCATCCGATAACTTCGTGAACCCCAACAGCGTCGGCGGACAGGAAGAGCCACCCAGCCATGTTGGACGTCTTTGGCCAGGCATGCACTCGCAGCAGGCGCAGCAAGCTGCCATGCAAAAGGCTGCTCAGGCTCAGGCCGTTCAGCAACGCCAGATGAAACTGCAGGCCCAGCAAGCCCAGTACCGCCAAGCTGCCAATTCTGCCCAGTCTCAGTCTAGCCAAGGCTCGTCGCAGGCATCGCATGGCAATGGCAAGCGTGCCTCCCACACTGCCGAGCCTCACGTCGAGGAGTCTATCTCACGTCTCCTGAACCAAATGCGTCAGAACAATGCGCTTCCCTCAGAAGACGATGCCGAGTCACCCTCCGGCAACCCGCCGCACATTGCCCGTATGAAGAAGGACGAGGAGGAGATGGACGAGGATGAGCGTCTACTCGCCTCCGAAGAGGGCAAGAAGCTCTCTAGCAAAGAGCGAAGACAACTGAGAAACAAGGTGTCTGCCCGTGCTTTCCGTTCCCGAAGAAAGGGTAAGCAAGTCTGTGCCTTATCATGTTCTTTCATATGCTAACATCCTTGCAGAATATATTGGCCAGCTCGAAGGTGAAGTCGCAATTAAGACACAAGAAAGCAACAGCCTACGTCAAGAGAACCAGGCACTTCTCGCAGAAAATGAACGCTACCGCGGTCTGATCGAAACACTCCTCCGTCACCCAGCCTTCACACCATTCATCAATGACATCAGCAAAGACCCATCTGTCTTGATGCCACCTCAACACCAGCCACACCGTCAACAACAACCATCTATGCACCCGACCCCAAACCCGCAGCCGGCCCAACCCCACCAGCAACAGGCTCAGCAGGACATGAAGCCTGAATTTCTGAACTTTGATGCCTCTCAGCTTCAGCTACCACAATCGCAACCCGAGCAGCAGCAACAGCAGCAGGTCAACTTGGCCATGATTCCAGAGGAGAATTTCAGCAAGCTGAATCTCAGCGGCTACCAGCGACCGGTGAACTTCAACAACTACGGCGTCAATGCCTACGTGGTAACTTCCTTGCCATCAGGCCCTGACCCTGTTGACCTGCTCATCGAATCGCCTGCTCGCCTGCCTCTGTCTGCTTCCGCCAACATCTCGAATGTCTCCTCTATTGCCTGCTCGACCTCCGCCGACTCTGGACTTTCTGTACTGCTTGCGAAGCTCGACAATGCGGCACGCAATACCATCGCTGACCATCTGGTCTAACGGCTACTTTGATAGCACCACGAGATACCCAACATCCCTCTGCAACAATGGTCACTTGACTATCGCCTTGTCACCGAAGACAGGCTGTCTGTTTGCCGCGCTCTAGGCTATTTCTGTCATTCAGCGTGGGTGGGAAGTGAGCGTTTCTGCTAAGATAGAAAACCAGCAGTTATCGTGATAATCAAAACAACTGAAAGAATACATCATCTCTTCCTACCCTTCAAAGTGTCCACATCGCCTGCGCCACAGATTAGATCAGGTACCCGAACGACCAACCGGCATGGATGTCCACTGACGAGCTGAATTTATTATTAGGCAGTTCATGCACAATCCTGATTCGGCTCTCCAACTTCCATCCATCTTACTCATCGGATGTCGCTTATTCAGTTGGGTCCAAGGGAAATTCTCAGTCACCGAGGACCCGAAACCTGCATGTTCCATCAAGGCCGAAAGAGGCCCGTCTGGCAACGATCTTGGCAGAGGCGATACAAGTCTGCCATACATATTTTGCAGCCGCTCCGTACGGAATGCGTGTTTCTGAACTTTAACGCAACCGAAACAGCGAGCGAGCGAGCGTAGCTTCATCAGAGCAAGCTGCACAGTGAGAATGAGAATGTCGTACATTCGAGCAGCATTCGTCACGGAACACATCTACGGCCACCAGCCTATTTGCAGAAACATTCCTCCATGCCAAAAAGGCGAATCACCTTAGCAATCTGATATTCTATGCTGCCTTCATTACATCCGCTATAATAAGCCGCCTTAAAACCAACTATACATATACCAACTTGCAAACGCCACAGCCCTCGTCCTCATCATCACATTCACTACAGCATAGACGCCGATGTCATGGCCTTTGAGGCCGCATTCTCTTTCATAGAATTGTTGAAGAGAAGCCGAGAATCCGATCAGGCCTAGACCTAATCTTTCTGAGGATATTGCTTGCTCGGAAAATTCGTACGTTGTGTCCCAAGCTCCAAGCACCGCTAGCAAGTCCGGTCTGAAACAGTAAATGATATGGAAGGCTCGACATTGTCAAAAGTCGTAATCAGTAAAAGCGCATGTCTATATGGAATGCGCCAATGACTGTCGAAGTTGGTGGTGTGGCTGAATTTGAGCCATCAGCTCCCGCTAGATGACTACAATGTCCAGCGACGAGGAAAGTGATATGTCTTCGGTCGACATGGGACAGAAACTCAATTTCTCAGCCTGGCTGTTTCCTGCTGATCTTCAGATTAGTGCTCAATGAAGGAATTAGGTACACAATATAAATTGACTCTTGAAGAGAGAACATGTTGGCGTGGAAAGCATTGCATTGGACTCGCTTGCCGAAAATGTCGCAAGTCGCATATACCAGGTAGCCCTATGCTAACCCGATGCCACACTTTCCAGCTCCCCAGCAGAGCTTCACAAGCACCTAGTGCTGTGCCTGGAGATAAAATGAGAGGTTGAACGTACTTTGATACCGTGACCTCCAGCAAAAGTACTTCAACTCAAATGTTCGCAGCCAGACTGGCTTGTGATACTGCTCTGCCATCTGCCGACGATCCATCGCACCAAGAAGGAAGACAGCTTTCTGAGTCGATGTCCATGCGGCACCGATTTTCTAAGCTCCACCTTCACCATATCTCCACTTGCCAGCAGCCTCAATGATTTGGACTCCCAAGCGTCCTGGACTGCGAACCTCCATCATCGCGACATCGCGTTCTTCTAAACAATCAGGATTCTGGCCAGGGGGCGCGCGGGAACCCACCCGATGTATAGTGGTGCTTCGTTGTGGCGAGCGAGGCTCACTGAAGTCGGTCGTGCGAGACGTGTCGGCGCCGCGTTCGTGCGCATGTCGCTGTTCGGGGCGACGACGATCGCGTGAGCCACCTGGACCACCTGAAAGGCTACGCGCACCTCTTGCTCTGTCGGCATCGTAGAGGAAGGGTCGAGTGTATTGTTCTTTCGCATGCCAATCTTGTTCGAATTCTCGCGGCGCTCGGCTTGCAGCATATGGATCTGCGTGGGGATTGAGATAAGCCGCAGTAAGCTCTGCAGTACTGACGTAGCGAGCAGTGTTAGGCACAACTTCGTAGTGGTAGTCCTTTGCACTGACACTCTCTGGGCCGTCGTAGTGGATGAGCGGGCAGTTTCGGTCGGCACAAGTGCATCCTCCCAGATTGCTGACTTGGTCATGAAGCTGCGGTCTCGGGACCGGTGTCATGTCGAACGCAAAAGATGCTGCTGGTCTTACCTCAGTCGCATAGAGCCTTATGGGATTGAAATGTCGCCTATTGTCATTCTCCTGTTGCGCGTAGAGATGACTGGACTGAAATGGCTGCGAGTCGTGATTCCGCGCAGCCACAAGATCATTCTGCGACTGCTCACAGTCCATCATATTTGACTCTGTGCCCATCTCATCATCAGGCCGCCAAGCAGAAGGCGAGGCTTGATACGGTGGAGGACCACACCCGTGTATTCTAACGTTGGCCCTGCCACTGCTCGTTGGTGCTGGAATTTGTGATGTGTGTGATGCGCGCTGACTCGGTGAAGTGTGCTGTTGAGAGGCTGGCATACTGCCGGCGCTGCCGAGATATTGAACGCGCTGAGTTGGAGGCGAGCTCAATTGTTGCTGGGCGTTTCTCTGCGTGTGTTGTGCTGATAGCGATGCGCTCTGGTCACTATCATAGACAGCGCGAATGGTCTGATCTCGCGAGCTGGGAGAGCGGCGAAGTTTGCGGCCGGATGAGGTAAGGGAGCAACCGTCGTTCGCCATCATGCGGTGTCCTCGCGATGGAATCCGACGAGGTACGTATGGGGGAGGTCTCGATGAGTCTCCAAGATGCGCGTCTTGTCTTTGCAAGGATTTTCAGTGCTCCTGCCGTTTATTGGAGGCGTTGCCTGGGTGATGCGCTCCAGCTCATTCACTCACGAACCACGCCGCAGCTTTCACAATTGACCCATTATGGCCTTTTTGCTTCTCACACATTCGAAGAGTTCTCCTGGGATGATAGCGACTCGTCTCGAATGATCGCACTCTTTCAAGATCAGTCTAACGCCTGGTCCATTGACAACATCGGTTTACACCAGCATCTCGGGCCGGTAGAGACGCCTGCTTGCCTCAGATCTTCCCTGACTCCCCGTCGAGAGTACTCTCGCGTGTACTGGCTGCAAAAATGTTTTGACAGCATTTTGCAGGTTTTACATATGCGTATTAATGTTCACTTCTCAGCGCCATCGGATGCCACCGTTTCGTTGCCACTCTCACTTTGCTCCTTCTTGATAGCGGCAATCTTGTCCTCGAGAATGGAGATCTCGACGTCGAGCCTGAGCTGCTTCTCCTTCAGCATAGTGGCGTATTCCTCATTGCTGAGCACTCTAAACGGTGTCCAGCTCTTCTCGCTCATGCGTTGCCAGAAGCCGGGCCCTTGAGGTCCTATTTGTCTCGGTACAGTCCAAAGATTGTAAGAGTACTGTCCTGCAGCACCAAAGATCGACCACATGAGCATTCCTGGAAGAATGTTCTTGCGGCCACGAAAGAGAGCACCCATAGCGCCACCTGAGAAGCCGCCGGCTATGGCAGTTGCTTTGATCAAATCGCTAGATGTGGGCGGACGCTGTTCGGTAGTCCAAGCATGAATGATACTCAAGCGAGTCCATGTGAACGCGGTTCCAAGTCCAAAGGTCTGCACGCCCGTTGCTGTTGCAGCAAAGAAGACAGGAAGGCCACGAAGAATACCAACGGCTCCACCAAACAGAAACCCAACGCTTCCTGGAATGGTGTTAGAATGGCTTTTATAAGATATCTTGCACGAGCCTGGGAAGCATCGGTAACACAGGAGCTCCTGCTCAGGAATACCAGAAAGCTACACACAACGCCAAAAGACGCCCCTGCCCAGGCCAGAGCTAACGCCGTCTACAGCGACATATGTCTTGAATACGGGAACGACGTAGGTAAGAGGACAAATACACATGGAGAGTTCCACTTACCACATGCCACTCCCATCTTCATGGCAGTCTCGATGGAATCTGCTGTGAAGTCGCTTACCGGCGACCGCTGCCCTGTCTCCTCCATTGCCGGCAGCGGAATGCTGATGGAGGACAGCCCAGAAGCAGAAGCAGAGATGATTGTGAGGACACTGAGGACTGAGGACGTGGGAAAGTGGAAGCGTGAATAAATTGCGCGAAAGACTCGGAGCCATATTAAGCTTTACCCCGACAGCACAGACCATTTCCTGGACGCTGGGAAATATTCGACTTTCCACGACGACATCGAACCCTTCACCACCAGAGCGCCTCTTCCGAGCGCTTCAACTCACATCAACCCAACTTTACGGACAAAGCGAAATCTACCATAGGACTCTGAAGTGCGTCGCCGGCAACCATCGTACGCGACCGCAATCATGGGTATGCGCATTTTCCCAACAGCTTTGTGCGTGCGTTCGACATTGTTCGAGGGGCGCCGCGCGGGCCACAAAATCATGGATCATATGCTGACATGGCGACTTCGCAGCTCCGAAAAAGAAACAGGAGAAGATGGCCCTAGGCGACTTCCTGACGAACCAGTGTACGCATAATTCTTCCCAGCCAAATTGATTGCTCGCAACGGAGGGCGCCAAGCATGGGTGGGCACACATATACTGACACGGGCAATAGCGTTGGGATCATGGGCCGACGAGATGGACTCGCAGCCACTGCCATCCATGGCCTCTACTTCCTCGTACGGCGGAGCACGCGACCGCGATCGTGGCGACGGACTGGGCGAGCGACGCGCCTTCACTCAGCCATCGTGGGAGCGTGGCACTGGCGGTGGAGTTGGCGGTGGTATGGGAGGTGATCGCATGGGCGGAAGCATGGGAGGACGAGGTCCGAGCCACGGTAGGGAGCGCACACAGTGGAACATATAGGTGATGGGCATACACTGACGACTACAGACCGCCCGCGGTTCGAACGCGAGGCTGTTCCCTTCCCAGCCAAGCCACCGTACACTGCTCATCTTGGAAACCTTGACTACAATGTCACCTCCGCCGATATCGAAGACTTCTTGGCCGATTGTGAAGTTACTACGGTGCGAATCATGGAGGACAAGGTCGACCGCAAGCCAAAGGGTTTCGGATACGTCGAATTTGGGTCGGCAGATGGTCTGCGCAAGGCTCTCGACAAGACCGAGGCCAGCTTCATGGGTCGCAACATCAAAATCAGCGTAGCTGATCCACGTACGTTCTGCTGCGTGTTTTGAACGACACCCAGGCACTAACATATCCTAGCGAGAAACGATGCTGGCTCCAATCGCGATTTCTCAGACTGGAGCCGCAAAGGCCCACTACCAGATCTGCCCCAGCAGGGTCGTCAGCCCTCACGAGGCTTCAACCGAAACTTCGACAATATGTCCGATGCAGGCAGCGAGCGTGGCGGCCCAGGCGGTCGCAAGCCCGGATTCTTCGAAGGTGACGGCAAGGTCCGTGACTTTGGTAATTGGGAACGCAAAGGTCCACTCTCTCCAGTTCCAGGACAAGCAGCACCGATGGGACGTGATGGAGGGAGACAGCGTGAAGGAGGCCCACCTCGAGACCGAAGGCCCAGCCCATCCTGGGGTGAGGGCCGATCAGATGCCGGTTCGAGACCACCACGTAAAGAGTACGAACGACCACAAGTCGACCGCGTACCAACCGCAGCAGAGCAGGACAGTCAGTGGCGCTCAAAGATGCGACCAGATCCATCTCCAGCTGCCACGCCTGATGTTTCCACACCAACATCACCAGCACAGCCAGAGGCGCCAAAGGAGCGACCAAGGCTTAACTTGACGAAGCGCACGGTGTCGACAGCGGAACCGGGAGCAGCAAGCAGCACTCCATCCGACTCGAAGGCATCACCGTTCGGCGCTGCACGCCCTATTGATACTGCAGCTCGCGAGCGTGAGGTTGAAGAGAAGCGACAAATTGCGATCAGAGAGAAGGCAGAGGCCGACGCCAAGGCCAAAGAAGAGAAAGCACAGCGTGATACTGAACAACGAGCAGCACGCGCAGAACGAGCAGACCGAGGACAGGCAGAGCAAGAAGGCGAGAAGGTCAAGTCGCCCACTGAGCCACGTGCAAACTGGCGTGATGGTGGTAACCGCCGTCCATCTCGACAACAGAATGGTCCCAAAGGCCAGCCTAAGGAGAAGGAGAATGGCGAGACTGCGCAAGCCCAGCGGCCCAAATTCAACATCCTCCAGCATGAGGAAGATGGCGAGGGCCAGAGCCTTGATACACCTGACGCACCGGCCAACGGCACAATTGTCGCCGATAAGGAGGTCAAGCCACAGGAGCCAGTCGTCCCAGCCGGACAGGCAGCCGAGACTTCGGCTGAGGCTCTGGAAGACGATGGCTGGAGTACTGTTCCTGCCAAGTCTAAGACTAACCGCCGCGGTGGTGGCAGAGCTATTGCGTCTTAGAAAGACTCAGTGATGAAAATTCTGCCGCGCCCCTCAGTCAAGAGTGGGATTTGAGGATGCAAGATACCTGCATAGCGACATTGGAGCGCAAAAGCATGATCACCAGTCATTTGCAGCCAGAGCTCCTTCTAAGCGCTGCACTTGAGCTTTGACCTATTACCTGGCATTGATGGAGGAAGCCTGCCACTTCTTGACGTCTTCTGTATAGATATTCTGCGGGCCACTGTTAATCACATCTCAGCTTGTTCAAGCGACCTGCACACGATTCTCTTGGTCAAATTGGTAGTGCTGGGAGTAGGCGTTGCGAGCGATGGCGGAGGTAGGTTCACGAAAATGGGGAATATCAAGGCCGAACACATGATGAGGGCTAGACGCTCTGCTTTATACGATGGCGATGTGAAAGAATGATTTTCAAGTTCAAATAATACCTGCCCTCATCTCCTCGTCTGCACCGCGTCTTCTCTTCTGCAATCTCGATGGCGTCTTCTTCGCAGCAACCAACAACTGACAACATGGCAGGAGCAGGAGCAGACTGCGCTTGCCGTGACAAAGACTCTGAAACTCCAGGCCATCCGAAATAGCTGTCCAACCTACCAAGCATTTCTCATAGCACAATGTGATGATCTTCGTCATCCCGCTCATCAATGTCGCGACTAGAGCTCATGTGGTACAATCAGCACACGTGAGCTTTCCCCATGTTGTTGGTCATTATTTCCTGGTATAAAAATCGCGCAACACCTTGAGCGATTTACGCAAGAGCTACGGTGAGATCTACACAGTAGTAGTAAGGAGAAAAGATAAATACCGCGGAGATTTCTCTCTTTTCTTGATTTCATTGTTGTGGCATTGCTGCTGGGGTTCGTTCTACCAATAATTCTTCTACTTCTTCTTCTTCTTCAGCTCTGAAGCTGTAGTACAGAACATCTTCCTGCGATGTCTACTTGTTTATCCAATGCAGCCATTCCTTTCATCATTTCATCATAATGCGTTACGCTCGAACGCTTCAACTAAATCACACACACACACACACATCAGAACCAAAATTGTGGCTGCGCTTTTCTACGCACTCTCACCGACCCATCGTGGTGGAACGCGGCCAGGTTGAGTGGTCGCTGCACTGGCCTGTCTCGGAGGAAGCCAGATTTTGGCTCGGCCTTGCTCAAGCTTGCCTTCTCTCCGCATGTTCATCTCCAGGACTACAACACGCAGGAAATCCGAATTTTCGCGCACTTCTCTTTGTCGCACTCCAGCAGCACCGAGTAAGGCCCTTCCAGCTTCGGAATTGGGATTTGGACCTGAGCAGCGCTTGCCGTTCGCTCTCCGACGACCGCGAGTGTAAGTTTGCAGCTGGATCGTCGGAGCGTCGTCGGAGCTCTCGGCGAGAAATGGAGCGTGCAAGGCCTCTTGGAATGGCGCTTCTTGTTCCTCGAAGGTCAGAGGCATGGGGTTGAGATACCTGCGCTCTGCTGATGAGGGCGTGCCATCCGTGGCGGGCCGAACTTCAGAGCTAAATCGTGGGAACAGGAATGGATGCGACCAGAGCATGTCATCGATTGGTGCTCCAGCATGTCGGGGATATGCTGACAAGGTAGGTCCAGACCGTGCGAAAGATGATATGGAGTTGACAGCGGCCTCTTTTAAAGACTGCAAAGATGCAGTGAGATTGGATTTAAAGGACGACTTTTGTTTTGCGACCGGCGGCGTCTTCTTTGCGATTGGCCAAAGAAGATCATCTTCATCCTCAGGGTCCGAGCGAGGCAGAAGGGGATGATCAAACGCGCAACTCTCGGAGGCAGGCAACGACCTTGACTTCTCCTTCTTCAGGTTCGTATATGATCTGCTGCTGCACAGAGACTCCGGCGTGGAAGGACATCTGAGTGACAGGATAGAGCGGTCATCAGAGTCCAGCGACGGCATGGATTCGCTGGACGCGGAGCGCGCATTGAGGTAGTTTGGTTCATTGTCCTTGCGGCTTTGTTCTTCAGCATCGTCGGCATCTTCAAGCAGAAGACTGAGTGCTTGGCTGCCAGAACTGCCGTAGCTTGTCTTGAACGACTCGTCGCTCTTCCACTCGCTGACCAATTCCTCGATCGAGATACGCCGATGGCTACCAGGTTTCGTGCGATAGCGGTTTGGTCGTCGCGGGGGAATGGAGGTTACTGCTAGTAGGGCGGCGACAGCCGGTGGCAGTGCATTTGAGTCATGAGATGATTGTTTCCGGCGTCCGATGGGGAGCGTGGCAGTCGGTTGCGATGAAGGCATGCTATGCTGAGGCGGTTCTGATCGGTCGCGTGAGGCAATAGCAACATGTGGTGACTTCGGCGCAGGAATAGCCACGGGCTCGCTCGTAGTGCGTATTGGTGAGAGCGGGGGTGGTGGTGAAGAGTGGCTGCTGCTATTGCTGCCTGTTTGGGTGCTGCCACGAGACGGTCGTCGACGGGTCGTCTCCTTTTGGCGGTGCAGAGAAGCCGAGCTGTATTTGAAGGAGCTCGGCACTAGCATGTTTCGCGCTCTCAGCACACAGACCAGGATCGATGTGGTTCTGATGATGATTATTAAGTAAAGGAAGTAGGCGCCAGTGTCAAGTGTCGTGACTCGTGAGCGGTGCGCAGCCGGCGCAGACGTTGCTGGCCGGCCTCAAGAGCACGCCGGCTCAGGCCTCTGACGTTCGTTCTCCTATGATTCAGCGCAGGGTAGTGGACAAGCGATGCAAGCCTCCAGGCCGGCCGACGCTAGCAGTCTTACCACGTAAACAAGCTCAGGCAAGGGTCCGCAGTGGGTTGCTGGGTCTTTGCTGCTGTAATTTCCTTCGTGGGTGTGGGCGTGGTGTATGGAAGCAGAGGTGAGGTCAGGTCGAGGGCACTCGTGGGAGAGGCCGGGTGACGAACAAAGATAGGTAGAGAATACGGGATGAACGGAGCGGGATGGATGCCCGCGCGGCCAAGCGAAGACCAGCCATCCTGGATGACGAGCACTTCCACCATCATTCTACGGCCGATCTGGTACGGATGCAATTGCACAACAATACCAACCGCAGCCCTCTCATTCGCCCCCGCATGTGGAGCAATCGGACTGTCCGTTCAGCCTTGTACCAGGCAACGCGTGCACAAATAATGTCCGAAGCAAGCGCAAAATTCTTCCAAACGAGTGGGACTTCTCATGTAGCTCTGGCCGGGTCTTCCCTGGGAAATCGCCGGGAACGAACAGGCATCCTGAGATGTGGTCTGCACCCCACACCATCGCGTGAATCGCACAGCCGAATTTGGTATCACTTTCGACCAAAACCAGCTTCTCTGAGCAGAGTTCATCGTAGCCGGACGGTACAGAGAAACGGAGGCTTCCAATTGGGCAGAGATAAGCTTCTCAGGCTGCTGCTGGTCGTCGGGGATGCTGATGTTACATCTGACAGCTTTCTTGGCGTGGTCCAAGCATCTCCGGCAGCATCTCTGATGACATTGGACTTGAAAAGACAGACGTCCATGGGCGCACGCGAAATGGCTTCAGCAGTCACCAAATGTTCGACGAGTCCCTCACTCACGCAGAAGACTTCCAAGTTGACTCAGGAGGGCACGAGGGCGAGGGCGAGGGCGAGGCCTGTGTCAAGTGTGGATGCGCACGTGCCATGCCATGCCATTTTAAACGACCTGCAGCGAAGCACATGCTACCGCAGCACGTAGGCTCTCATCAATCGATCGTGATTGTCGATACCTGACTACTACGGCACTCAAGCGCAGGAAAAGAAAGCTGAGAAGCAGCTAGTCGTAACGAGCACACGCAGCTACTGCTTGGTGCACAAACGGCCGATATTGAGTCCGTTGTAACTTGTGCCCCCAAGTTGCTTTTGTCATCTGCAACGACATCGGCCTCAATGCTGCCATACCGCTTCAAGCAATGCAATACCATGCATTCTCTGTGGCCTCATATTCTAACGGCACATCCGCTGCAACCGGGAATCATCGCCATTGAAGTTGTGGTGCTCGCACCCGAACGCCGAGGAACGGAACACTGCCGGTATGAGTCGCAACTTCATCTGTATACATCCGACGCCTTGTCCACTCGTCTCAGCCAGTCCTCGCAGAGCGAAAGCGCTCCTCAATGGCTCGACGCTGTCAATAAACGTTCGCTTTCCAGGAATGTTGTCATTGCGGCTCTGCTGTTCGCCAGACGATGCGGTCACTGTGATAGGGAGCTCTTCGGCTCAAGAAATCCTCCGCACCTGGGAGATTGTGACTGCGCCCTGTCCATGATCGGTCGTTTGGCATTCTTAGCGAACGACTTTCTTCAAGTCATTATTGGTCCTCTGGCAGGCCATCGTTCGCCTCTCGTTCGCCTCTCGCTCGCCGACTTAGATCGGACTTGGAACTGCTTCGCTTGCAATCCGTGACTGCCATCTGCATGTCATGTATCAAGATCAATGGTTCGTCTAATGAGCATTATGACGAGCAACATACAAGGGTAGACTGCAGGTAAGCAATAGTTTGAAAAATATGATGCCACAGGAATATATGTCATACCCAGATCAGTTCGTCGTAACTCGAGACGAGCTCCCGTAGACCAGATCGATCTGACTAGTAGAATATCAAGAATCTAACGCAAAGGATTGAGTCTAGCTCTAATGTACCATCTAATACAGCCATTATTTTAGACCTGCAAATATGCTCTCGCTCAGAAGATACCGGGAAGGATGGTGTATGGCACGAGTCTGCAATACTCTTCCCACTGCTTTCCGTACTTGTTTCGGCACCGACGCTCATCCCTTCTGGCTCTATGGCAAAGCAGAATACACATGAAGAAGAAGTACGACCAAGGGAGCACGTGAGAGAAGCCACAAGTTGCACAAAATGCAAAACACTGAATCCTGGTCAGCTTGGGGTGCAGCTTGATAAAAGTTGGACGACGCACCTGGATGAGATCAGCAAGATTTCTGTCATAAATCCACTAACCAATTCTGACTCCGCTTCAGCCAAGTCAAATGGAGCGTTGTCTGTTGTTCTGTATTTCGTCCGGATAAACTCGGCTTTGCGACCCCAGATGCGAGCGTCGCCCTTCTTTGCGCGGACGTGATCCCGCTGGAAGTTGGCAGAGCGAAACATGGCATACCCCAAGAATCCAGTGCCCAGGATGGCGGCAGCCTGGACACGGGTAAGTTGGGTTGGATAGCGGGCGAGGTACTGTGCCTGCATGGTGTAGAAAGAAGGCAAAAAGGTGGAATCGCCCCATGAGAGCATGAAACCGAAATGGTCGTGGGAGATGTCGATCGTGCGGAGATACCAGTCTTCGTTGACATAGAAGTCCACGACGTAAGTTGCGTGGAGGATCAGAACGATGAGCATTGAATCAGTCACACAGCCGAATTGCTGGTGCTGATATGCTGCCCAGGAGAGGTTGATCAATGTCCAGGCTCCCATTCCGACGCGACCATTGTGGAAGAACTTGAGGTCAAGGTGCTTGCCCAGTCGCGGGTTGAGCTCTACGCCTATCCAGTAGTCGTAGATCCAGCTACCGCTCAGCTTCACATCCTCCGGGTGAGAAGGAGCCCAATACCCCTTCAGCTGGACTATGAAGCCCATCAGGAAGCCGTAGACATTGGCGGCCACAAGCAGTCCTTCCCAGTGTCTCGCTATGACGGCTGCATCGACTCGTCCCAGCACTGCCGCCGTCAGGAAAAGGACGTGTGTCACAAACCACGCTGTCAAGCCATTTGTTGTGTAGCTCAGCAATTTCCCACCTGGCGTTTTCTGGCCATGGCAGGTTGTTCCGGGAAGAAAGCTGTAGAGAGCGGCCTGCAGCAAGATCCAGCCGGCATATCCAGCGGTCGCTGCTATTGAAGGCTTGGGAAGGTTGCGCAGAATAAACAGTACCGGCCTACAAGCGCAAGACCTGATCAGCATACATCCTCAACTCCTGTGAAGCCACTCCGGAGGCAAGCCCGAAAGCAGACTGCCTGCGGTTTTCTGGAGGTGTGATCCCCGCCAGTATTGCCAGCCTCATATTCTATCATTAGATGAGATATCTCGCATCTGTGTGTGGATGTACTGACCCTTGATCCAGCGCTGCTTTGAAAGTGTCGACCAGCGAGCCAGCGTATTGCTCGAGAGCTAAGAAATTGAGGATGACAAGGATCGGACAGCAAGTACAAAGTACAACGGCGCCGACGCTACTCTCCCACCTCGCTTTCGTCTTCCGGCCCCAAGTCACTGCGACTGTTGTGGCTTCCGGTGCCACCGCAGTCAGAATCTTCTCCATCACGAGCGTCGCGGGTGCTTGCATTATTATTGGCTTGGACTGAAAGGGGAGAAATGTTGGATTTTGACCCCCTTCACCGTACACCGAGCGCGCCTTTTTAAAGTCTTCCTGGTCGAGAGTCTATTTCGCGACTGTTGGCTCGTCACGTGTGCGTTTCGTCGTCGTCACAGAGCTTTGATCTTCCACCAGCGCGCGCAACCACCATTCCTGGAATCGCCTTCGCAACACCAGAACAGGCATCTGCCGTATACTCGGAAGAGAACGCATCGACCTCAGCACCGAGCCCGTACACGAGCTAGCTTCTAAGCCCCAGTGACATCTTACGAGCGCGCGAAGATGTGCGATGACAATAATGCGGTTGCGAAAGCGCGACGAAACAGTCCACGAGTGCCTGGGATCCTGCGGCATGGCTTGCGAATACACTACGAGATGATGCGACTGGACCATATTGCACAAGGCATGTGAAGGGAAGGAAAAGAGACGATGGAAGTTCTTCGTATAGTTGTTGAGTGAACAACACTTCCTTCCGGACACCCGTGTTACCGCGCACTCATCCCATTGCGGCAGTACCACATCTCACCAACTCAATGTCTCAGTCTCGAGCATTACGCTGTGGATTTTCTGATCACCAGGCCGCTGAATGGTGTGGCATGCTTTTACGCTAGGGCTGTGAATGCAAGTAATTCTTCTCTACATCTACAGCTATGTACTCTACATAGACATGCGAACGCTCAAAATTCCGCGAAAGTATGAAGGGCTCAAGATTGTAAGAAGAACCTTTTTGCTCATATGGGCATGTACGCATTCAGCCCAGGTCCACGAGGAATTGCGCCGAGTGGGACTCCGTTACCTGCACCAATGCCGCCGAGAGAATTGATAATGCTAGCATCCAGACCTCCTCGTGGTACTCCGAAGCCTCCTCTACCCATAGCGCCGCCATTCAGATCCAAGCCAGCTATGTCCGGGAGAGGCAAGATGGGTTCGGCTTCAATGTCGTCGTCGAGAAATCCACGCAGACCCGGACCGTTCGCGATAGCCAGAGGTGCCACGACAGCTTCACGAGTGAGGTGGTGTCTTGCGCTTGCCCCTCCGCCCGCTGCTCTCCTGGCGAGGATATTGCCGGTGCCAGTGACGACCATGAGTTGCGCCTGTTGAAGATCGTCTCGGAATGCTTGGCTTTGATAATATAGATCCCGAAACTCGGGCCCATGCCACGACCGGATTTTCGTCATGTTGGGCTGTCCTGTGTAGCGTGGCGCGGGCGGGTGGTGATGGTAGATGTCATGGTCGTGGTTCAAGTAGGTGCGATGATGGGTAGGACCGTGTTGTGCTCTCTTAGCAAGGAACATGCGAGCCCATTTATGTAGCTCTGCACTTATTGGACCTGGCTCGGGCTCATCCTCAACGTTGTAAAGCTCGCAAAGCAGAAGCATGGGATCTTCGTGGGTCCACGGCACCTGCCACATGTGTCCCAGGGCATACCGCTGGAGCTCGACGAATTTCATGCTCTGAGCGGCTTTGAACACTCTGATGTGAGTCACGATGCTGGTGTCTGGAGGCGCTGGCAGCCCTGGTGTGTGCTCGCGATACAATACTGGCGGACCGTCGCCTCCTTTCACGGGCCCGTGCAAGTACTTCTCGAGAGGTGTAGCGCAGTAGCCATTCTTGCTGATGTAGTCCCAAATGCACTTGAGTATTTCGAAAGTCGTGTCTTTTGGTACCTTCAACTCAAAACGCTCGTGCTTCAACAGCGGCTTCTCCAAGCTTTTGAACGTCAGAGCGTTCTCGCGCTTCGCCATGACGCGTTTTACCAGGCCTCTGTCGTCCCACAGCATCTCAATGTACGTTGCAGAAGGAGGACATTTGTTTCTTTCCATCTCCACAAGCTTTCCATCCTCAGCGAAGTCCCAGATCTTGTCTCCCTTTGCTTCCATGTCGAGCTCGAGCGACCTGCCGAAGTCAATCATCTGCCAATTTTGTACATCAGCCGGAGTTACGTGTCTGTTGTCTCGGAGACAGTTTGTCTGATTATCGACGAGTCCGAAGCCCACGTGCTGTCCACCGGGATTGATGGCAAGGTGCGGGTCAAGCCCTCTCCTCGCAGCCAGAGCGGTGGTCATTGCCGCTCGTCCAGGAGGTACGCCCATATCTCGCTGACGCCTTTTCGAGGCATGAAAAATGAGCTCCAACTCGCCTTCCTCGCACTCCTTGCTGATTCCCCTGATCGCCATTAAGATGACTGCGAAATGCTTTCCGTCTTCGAGGCGCCCGTCGGCCTTGTCGCCTCGCTGTTGTGCACCGCAGCTGACGAGAAAGTAGGCGTGGATCATTTGGTGAATCATGACTTCGAGAAGTTCATCGACGTCAGCTACGCCGTCGTCAAAGAGCAGCTGGTTGAGTTGGATGCAGATGCGCGGGATTGTTGGGACCACATTTGGCGCAGATGTCCTGCCTGGCGAACAACTCGCTTGCGGCGACCATGTTAGAAACACCATCCCTTTCAGCTTGCCACCAAATATTGCCGCATCCAGCATGTCGAAGATGAGAAATGCTTCATTATACCGCACGCTGTCGAAGGACTCACGAATATGGTCGATTGCGTCGGCGATGTCCGGTCTACTGTTGTTGAGGTACTTATAGAGCCATGCTGTTGCATAGTCAAGCGTCCATCCAAGGTCTCCAGTGGTCTCGATAGTCTTGTCCGTGAGCGAAGTAAAGCCTCTGACTCCTGTCGGATCTGGTGCACGGTATGGATTTCGCCCTGGATGGTTCAGATATTGTCCAACGTGACCAAAATGGCCATACGGTAGGCAGTGATGATTGCGGATGCCGCCTGGATAGTAGATGTCTCGACTGCTTGGCGTTGCGAAAGGCACCAGGTCATGGCTTCTTGGTTGCAGCCCAAAAGGCGCATCCCAACGACGGACGAGAGGTCCGTGTAGCGCCATTGAGAAGAGTCCAAACTTCTTCAGTTATGATGACAGTACATTGTCCTCGGACTGAGCTTTGAAACGGCTGCTGAAAAGCTGTCCCGCCGTTTGCTGAAATGTCGCCCCGGCCTGACCGACCGTCTCGATGCGAGGAAAGTCATCCAGGTCTCTTGTCATTCATGGCTGAGCATCGGAGCCAGAATGCAGCAACCCGCGAGTACCGCCTATCTGAAGCAGGAGGCTAGGCGTTTTGACATGAATCTCATGGCATCGAGGCTGCAGATTTTGATGGGCTGGACCATTGAATTGCCGAGCCTACAGAGGCACAGCAGCATGCGACTGGTCTGGCACTCGGCTTGTGTAACGAGCAGCAAACAACTTTCTTCCGGGTTCGTGTCAATCATTGATCTTGTGATGTGAAATGCTTCCGGCTGGCTGGGTGGACGAGATTCGTGCGAATGGACTTGCAACGCTCACCGCTCACCGCTGTCAAGTGCATTCTCACCAAAAGCTGTGGTCAAGGGAGACCTGGAAAAAAGAATCGTCAACAAATTCGCTTAACTACATTCTCACCGCCTCGGTGTGTCGGCGCGCGAGTCTCAAATTACAAGTCATCCAATGTTGTGAGCCGGACGTCCGTGCCTTCCGCAAACAACACATTCGCCACTTCTTTGGACACGTCCCCTTTCTCTTTCCTAGTATCCACCTGGTGCGGGCGGGCGATCGTATTCGCTTCGGCTATCCGTCGTTCGGTTGTCCTGATATTTCCTTCGAAGAGCTTGCAGTCTCTTCTTCTTTGTGTGAGCGTTGATGTATGTGCCAATGACGAATCCGACGGCGTTGAAGAATGGCACCCACACCTCGTTGGGCAGGAATGCTTGTGCGAAGGCAAGAGCAAGTGGAGAGGTGATCCAGGAGACCTTCATGACTGGCATGAAGCCTGCTCTTACGGTGGCACGGATCTGGTGGAAGGTGCGTGCGCCGGCGATAACAGCCATGGAAGTCAAGTATACGGCGTTCTGAATTGGTGAGATCTGTGGAATGTCAGCATCAATGATGCACAGCAACTCGTCGAGGGCATACAATCAAGTTCGAGACGATGATTTGGAGAATCTTGGCCTTCAAGCTGGTTCGTCCTTGGAACAGCTTTTGAAGGATAGAGATCATGACATGTCCGAGAGGCGCGCTGATGAAGGCACCGTATACGGCCATCTTGGGCACGCGACTGGTGAAGTAGTGGCCATGCTTGCTTCGGTCTTTCGCGATCCACGAAGCGAGAAATTCTTGTAGACCAGCCAACGTGCCAGATGTGATCATCTTCGTTCGCAGAGGGTCTTCCTGGAGCTTCTTGAGGTACCACTGGCGCAGGCATCAGCAACCATTCATTGTCCACGCACGCGTCCTTTCCTCACAGCAAGATAACCATTTGGTCCCGAGCCCTGCGTGAGGGCATTGCCAATCTTGTGTGCTACATCGTCTTTGCTGCCGACCGCTGGCGACGGTGCAGCACGTGCACCCGATGCGGTGGATGTGCGCACCGTCTCCTTCTGCTCGAACTTGACTTGCGACATTCTTGTTGCTCGATATCAGGCGACGCGACGGAACGTGTTGGATGGGCTGGGCAGGCGATGCGCAGGACCGCGTCGATTACGGTCTGCCGCGACAAGGTGAGCAAAAATAGCAAGGTGAGGCGGGTTGTGTACGTGGTAGTGGTATGGAGGTGTAGGCCAGGCAGAAACGGTGGAGTCTGTTGATGCGCTGTGGTCGCTCCCGGCCGCCGTTGCCATAGGATGCAGGGATGGGCCAGGATCAAGCCGATGGCGGATGGCGGATGGCGGATGGTGTGGGATTCGATGTCGGCAAGTGAACTTTCGTGCGGGCGAGCATCAACGTCAGTTGTTCCTCTCGCGTTGCTATCGCTGATCTGTGATCATTGTGGGCGCTGGCTGTAGACATCACTCGTTTATCACAGGCCGATTGGGGGTGTCTCAATTCACGTTTATGTGGCAGTATCCAGAGCTTCTCCCCTCCCACGCGCTGCATGTCTCGGTCGCGTGCACAGAATACAACACCATACGTCACATACGTCGCGACAATGCATTGTCGGGTGGAAAAACGCGTCGGAAGGGATGGGGATGGGGATGGGGATGGGCGTAGGGATGGGTGGAATGCGCGGCGCGGCGGCGTTTGGGTTGCACAAAAGAGCTCTGCTGGCAACGTTTGGTTGAGGTGATAATGATATCGAGATGGAGCCCATCTTGCAGGGCAGTCTCGACTTCACTCATGTGCATTCTGGCAGTGGCCATGTTACTGCATCGGCAAGTTCGATTGCTGCCTCACAAACAGCATACCCTCCCTCACCTCATACCCTCCACTGCCTCCACACGCGACAAGCCTTGGCTGCTGTACCTTATCTTCAGCACATTGCTACAACGGCCAGCGGAGGCACATCGCAAGATTGAGCCATTGCTGCCTCTCTCTCGTTTCGTTTCGTCTCGCAATCTGCACATGCTCCGATGGCCCTGGCAAGCACTGCACCGCACGCATTCACCGCCGCAACGGAGCGTGAAGTGAACAGCAGAGACCCTTTTTATAACTCCACCCCGCGAACCAACTCCTCGAGCCTCTCTTCCTTGATGCCCGCCATGCAGCAGGTGAGTTTGAAGCGCGTTGCCTCCCCCTTTGAACAGTCACCTCTGCCTTTGCAGGCTGGCAAATCTTTCGCAAGCTCCACCCCATACTCGTCACATCTCCCATTCTGTCCGCACCGAATGATTCGCCATGCTTCAAACAAACCGCCGACCGTGTCTGACTCGAGGCCAGGTGGGACCTGCACCAGCGACAGTGCCGCCGTCGCCTTCGTTTCGCATGTCCCGGTATGCTCGTCGGCCGCAATGCACCCACATGATGATGAATCGAGTGCACGGCCAAGACTTGATCTGCGGCATGTGCGGAAGCCCGTCCGATCTAGGATGGCTCTACCAATGCGAACAGGACGACCGCATCCCGCAGAATGAATCGCTGCCCGACATCGACGCCACTCCTGTCATTCCCGACAGCAGCGACTACTTTGACGCAAAGGCTCGAGTGGCCGAACATTTGCACATGAGCTCCAGTGTCATCCAAGGCATTCGAAATGGAGACTATGATGTCGATCAAATTGACAGGCTCATTGCCCAGAAGGAGAAGCTCATTTCCGTAATCACCGAGAAGGAGAGCCTGTCCGCCACTGCGCCTCCGAACTCTGTCCGGAACAGCTTCACTGCGCAGAATGTCATCTCTTCCATCGGCTCGACCTACCAAGCGCCTCACCAGAACTGCCGTGTGAGCGCATCTCTCCCCGCAAGCGCCACCTCAACGCCGCCTGTGCCCCGCGAGGATAACATCGCCACTCCTACCAAGCAAGACAGCGTTCTCGGCAAACGCTCTCAGAACAAGTGCTGCTTCCAAGTCTGCCACAGTTGCCGTCCATACTTCGGAGACCGAGCGTATGAGAATTTCGAGACTGTGCTGCGCAACGAACCCCACTTTCTCAATGAACTAAAAGGCCTGCCCATCATGGACGCCAACATTGCCCGAAACATAGGTCTCCGCCAACCATTGCCTCACATACTGCGTAGCTTTCAGTCTCAGCAAAGTATGGACATCACCGTTCACGACAGCACCGACGATGCTTCCACGCAAATCTCCGTCGATTGGACACCTACAAACACAAACATCGAAGACGAGTCGCCGCTCGACAGCGCCGAGCTCTTCCCTTGCCCCGGACCGCTACAGTGCCCAGTATGGAGTCGTAAGTCAGGCTGCGCGTACGATGCTGGCTTTGACGATGGCAAGCGTGCCGAGAATCATGGCTTCCTCTCGAGAATTACGCCAGAGAATTCGATGAGTCTCTTCACAGGCAGCGTCCATGGCACTCCCTGTGAAGCGTCTTCTACGGCATCGTCCATCTCCTTGCCCACGCCCACTCGATCACCACTCGCTCCGCTAAAAGCGAACTCCGTCTGTGGTGAGCTGAATGGTGAGAACCAAAAGATCGGCCTAAGAAGCAGCAGCAGCAGCAGTCTTGGAAGCGAGATTGAAGTTGAAGGAGGCGTTGCGCTGACAGAAGAGGCAGTAGAAGCTCGCATCCCTGATATTGTCACCGATGAGTAGAACTCAACTTCGGCATAGGTCTTCGGCGTTGAGCATAGCACAAGGAACAACAAGCATGTGTAGATGAAGGGCGATTGGCGGTAATGGGTCTCATTGGGAGGCGGTTCGAAACTACATGGCAAGGCATCCAGGGATCAGCATAGAATGGGTCTACATTTGTGTACAAAGGCATGACTCCAGTCGAACGAGAGACAACTGAGGTAGTGGCAATGAAGCTGGTAGCACTCACCGCTCTGACTCGGAGTGAGCGGCGTCGAAACATTGCTGGCCCTTGCACCCATTGCTTTTGGGTGGGATCATTGATGAGCTCTTAGCCTATCTGTGCCTTACCGAGGAGAATTTGATGCATTATCAGCAGGCGGCGAGCAAGGCGCATCACCTGTAGCAGAGAAGGAAGGAATGAAGGTGAAAGGCTCAAGTGTATTAGAAATTCAATTCTCGGGTTGGTTGGCTTCAAAGCAGCTCACGCTAGCAGAAGTAACTACCACACGCACGAAGAATATTCACAACTCCAATGCTGTCCCACACCCGCCAGTGAGCAAACTGCTGCTTCTACAAGCTCACTGGCTTCGACTTCGCCTCATCGTCACTCACAGACACGACAGAGTAATAATCTTCTCCGTCCTTCATCATCACTCTAATAACCCTCGAAATCTTCCTCCTCATCCTTCCTTCTCCTCCTCGACCTCAAGAACACCATCCTCCTCATCCCGATCCTCTCACACCATCTCAAACCCATCTTCCTCGTCCTCCTTCCTCGCATCCTCAACTTCCTCACCCCCAATCTTCTCAATCCCCTCCTTCGCAAGCTCAATCTCTTCATCGGCACGGATCCGCATATCGTGTTCACTGGCCGCAGCTTCTCGCCAATACTCGCACCAATTCCTCAGAGTTTTGACCCTCTTCTCGGAAGTTTCGGAGATGTGCTGCGCGTCTTCGAGTTGGTGTTTCAACGTCTGGATTTCTTTGAGGTCGTCGTTGCGCTGTTCGAGGAGTTTGGTTTGGGTTGCGTGCAGTGTGTCTTGGGAAGTGGAGGGGTCGGATTGAAGGCGGGTGAGGGAGTATTCGAGGGTTTGGATTTTTTGTTGCTGTTGGACGGCCTGGGTTGTCCGTTTCGATTCTTTGGATTTGGTGAGTTCGGCGTGGTCTTTGAATCTCTTCGTCGTTGAGTCGAGCTTGGCGGTGACTTGGTTCAGAAGGGTTTGCTTCTCGGTGAGTGCGTTGCGTTTGGAGATGACGTCTGCTTCCCAGAAGCTTCTCATTTTGACGATTGTGTTGCGTTCTGCTTCGATTTGCTTCTGTGCTTGTGAGAGCAGCCGTCTGAGTCCGTCGATCTCTTGCTGCGAGGTAGCTTGCATTTGGCCACAAGCTTTGCTCGCTTTCACAAGTCGATCCTGCAGGTCTGCAGTCTCAGCACGATGAGCTTCGGTCATCTCTGCCATTTTCGCCCTGTAGCTTGTTACGTTGGCATTGTAAAGGTTCCTATCCGTGGTCCGTGCCAGCTCGAGTAGCTTGATGTTGTTCTGTGCGATCCCAAGACTTCCTTGCAATATCGTAGTGAGGTTCGGTGTTGGTGCTGCGGGTGCTGCAGTGTCGCTGTTCCTGCTGACGCTGGTCCTTCTGAGCTCTGGTTTTGACTTGGGAGCATCTTCGACGCTGCGGCAGCTCTTGGTTTCGTCCGTGGAATCTGAGGCACGATCCTTGCCGGTCGCCAACTCCCGCCCAGCTTGGGTATTGTCGATGATGCCGAGCAGAATGGCGAGGACATTCGCCACACTCAGGAGCCAATCCGGCAGAAAGAAGGCCCCGAGCGCTGAAAACGCATCGAGCAAACTCAGTGTGCTATGCAACTCCAGTATGCTATGCAGCGGAACGATGATGACACACAAAGCGAGAGCCAACAAACTCCTCTCGAATCCGAGATTCACGGTCTGCGTCTTGGTATCCGAGATTCACGGTCTGCGTCTTGGTATCCAAGTGTCGGGCTCTGTTCATGCCCGCTTGCGCATAGGTGAGGGCAAAACATTCACCGCACAAGATCATTAAAAGCATAAGTTCGGCGTACACTAGGACTGCAAATCCAGATTCAAAGGACTTGAAAAAGAGCCGACTCACGGAGACGATGGGTAGAATCGATTGAAGACAAAGGACTCCAGCTGTATCCCGAGTGACATCCGTTCTGAGGGGTCCTGAGAAGCGGTGTTGTAAGGCTTCGCCGGCGTCAGCTCCAAGCTCTACTACTTTCCAGAGAGGCTGCATAGCACGGTGCGCGTTGAGAAGATCGGCTATCTTATCGAGTGCTCCATCCAACACAGTTTCCCAAGTTTTGGTCCCGGTCTCATCCTGTTCGACAGTATCCTTGGACGGCTTAGGTGTAGACGGTGGCATAGTCGCCTTGGGGAGATACCAAAATCCCGGGAACATGGTGACTTCGCAAGCCTCGCAAGTCAGTCTGAACCGCAAGGTGGTCAGCTGTCGAAGAATTCCGGCTTCTGGCAAGGGCAGATTGGAGTTAGCTCTCAGAGATGGACAAGGCGGGAGAATGATATGGTGGTGATGGAGTAAAGCTGATCGTGGGTTCGGAAAGGAAAGAAGGAGAAAATTATATAGCGACACTTGGTCCTGCATTTGAATTTGCGAAGGGCCTGTGAAAGGACTCGTGTCTGAGGACTTTGGCTGAGCTACTAAGCAGCAGTCTTGGGACGACCGACAAGCCACACAAGCAGTGTTGAAATGCAGCTGATTGCTCGATAAGCTCTGCCACAATGCATTGTGTCCTGATCGAATTTACGGTATATAGGCGCCAAGACAGCCAGTGCCGCACAATACGGAATCGGAGGGAGGCCCAGCTTTTGCTGGAATCTCATGGCAGCAGCCTTGCCAAGACTAGCCTTCCGATTTTGGTAGAGTGTGGGGATTTCATGTCCCTCACCTAGCACAAAAGATGCAATACTGTCGTGCTAGAAGAGCGAACCAGGTCTGATATGCCAACGATCATATCTTCCTGCGACTATACGCCCAAAAGGCTTTGAACGGCAACTTCCAATCTGTGACCCGCAGCTTCGGCTGGAAGACATCAAAGTCAAGCTTTTGCAAGCGGTCAAGCCACATCTGTGTAGCAACAGCGGGCATGAAGACTCCGAACGCTCGCTCGACCTCTTGCGCCGGAGTTTCTGATCGTCCTGTCGAGAAAGTGGAAGGCATATGTACGTGTTCTTCTTCGTGCTGATGTTCGAACTCATGGCCCGCATCTTGACCGGCTCGAATATTAGCCAGCATTTGCCTGGCAGTGATCAAGTGGTCGTTCGCTCTAGTGGCCACAGTGAAGACTGCATCTCGCAGCCCTTCGGCTTGAGCGCCGTTGCGCAGCACGTCTTCTTCTCGAACTCCAGCTTCAGCCATCACGTCCAAGGGGAGCATGACAGCGCCATGCCGTGTAGCACCCATATGGCCTCCCATGCCGCCTTGATTGCTGTGCGCATTGCCGGGACCAGGAAACGCGATCAAAGGCAGGCCTCGAAGGACGGCGGAAATACCAATGGCTTTGCCTATATGAGATGCGATGTGATCAGCGGCCACACTCCCCATCGGCAAGGCTTGTAATGTTAAGTAGAGCAAGGTACTGTAGGTATTCTCGGCGTAGCTCTCCAGACTGGCCATGCTAGGATATGGAGGATTGGATAGATATTTTCCCCTTGTGTCAATGATCCTCATGAACCAACTTTTGCTGAACCTGGATTTCCCTGACGATCGCTGACAGACGTCGTGTGCAGCCTTGGCCAGGAGCAATGCGATGGGCTGTGTGGGTGGCGTTCCCGCCAAAGATTTGGTGACGGCGTCCTTGTGGAATTGCAGTCGCATCATGCCAATGGCAGCAGTGGATGTCGTATCTGCCGTGCGAGCAACATCGATATTGAAGGCTCGGAGGGCGACATATGCATCGCGAGCATGGCTGGGAATGTATGGCAAGAGCAGGGACGATGGGGTGTCGTACTTCCTCAGCAAATCCAAGCAGTACGTCCTGGCGGCATTGATTTCTGCAGCAGATGTGATGGCTGCTGCCGGCTGGTCGATACTGGATGCATCGCGTGTTTGAGGGTGGTGCAGGATGCCGGGCTTGATGGATTTGATGTTTCTGGTGGCAGCCAAAGTCCCCAAAAAGCTCTTCGCAGGCTTCATGATGGCAATCGTATATCGTATAGTTCTATAGCGTGGACCCGGTCCTTCCAGCAGATGTTATTGCACACTTCCGTCCATCATTGTCCTGACATTTCTGACTGTTGTGATAAGCCAAAGATATTGTTCATATGGCAGTGAATAGATCGCTTAAGTTACAGCAGAACTACAGCACGCGAAAGTGGAGCGTCATTGACAGCACGGCTGCGGCTGAGCGCCAAAGCGCGCGTCACGCGTCTTCCCAAGGCCAACCTTTTTGCCATCAGTGTGTACATCTGTGTACAGCCCAAATGCCGGAACAGAATGGATACAGATATCGATGGTCGGCCGTACAAACGACGCCGATTCTTTGCCGACGGCTCTCACCTGAACGACGCAAGTCTCTCCGCCGAAGCAACGCTCACCGACGAAGTCGATGCCCTGCCTGCAAGCTCAACCCAAGAAGCAGAAGGAGAGAAGCCAGACGGCTCGGCAAACAAGGAAAATGTCTTTGACGCCGACACCTTCTTGGCTGTCGTGGGAGCCAGTGTGCCGGCTGAGGCAATTTGTAGTCTGCAGGCAGCACATGGAAACAACCTCGAGCAGGCCATTAACGCTTACTTCGATGGCTCTTGGAAGGCGACAGCATCCCCGCGCAAGAAGTCTACAACGCCGCCCGCACCGAAGCAGCAGAAGCTAAATGTTAAGAGCGAGGGCGGCAGTAAGCAGAATGGCGTCCAGAATGGAACGAGCACGCCACCCAAACGACCCGCGCTGGAATCGATGCCTGACATGCGATACATAGGTGCGCTGGGCGTGGCGGGATGGACGACTCGCAGTGGCACTGGCCTGCTGAAGCCTGACGATGTGGTCAAGATTCAGAGAGTGCGGCAGACTCTACCAACGAAAATGGGCAGAGGCGGCAAAATGGTGGAGAAGATGAAGCGCACGCAGGATGTCATTGTGAGATTTACGGATAAAAGTGGTACGGAGATTGGACGTCTCGAGAAAGACTCTGCCTTGTGGATTGGTGCCCTCATAGACCAGAAAGTCTGCCACTTTGAGGGACACTGCATCTTTGCCCCGGAACGAATACGGACGAATGATACCGTCTATATTCAGCTTCGCTGCTTTCTGCTGCGTTCGGTTTTTGAAAGTGCCAGTCTTGTCAAGCCAGCGGATAACAACCGACAGACTGGCTTCTTTGAGGCCCAAGAGACCACGGAGGAGCGAGATCTGAGACTTCGACAGATAGGATTGGTGAAGCTATTCTCTGAGATCAACCTCCAACCGTCTACCACGAGCGAGCTTACCGCCAAGCACAAGCGTGAAGGCATATTGCAAGCCGCGGAGGTAGCCGAGCAAAACGATCAACAGGACGTCAAGAAGAAGCCGAGCCAGGACAGGGAGAATGTAGGCTCCAGTCCGCCCTCGGAAGAGAACGAAGAGGGTGAGGAACTGGAGCAGGATCAATTGGATAGTCTGTACAAGAAAGCCCAATCATTCGACTTCAACACGCCTACCGCCGAGCCCGCATCTACCTTCGTGATGGACCTTCGAAAGTATCAAAAGCAAGCCTTGCATTGGATGCTGAATAAAGAGACGCGGGAGAAAGACGAGCACAAGCAGCAGAGTATGCATCCACTATGGGAGCAATATAGCTGGCCAACGAAAGACGCTGAGGATAAAGATCTGCCTGACGTTGATGGCCAAGAAATGTTCTACGTCAATCCGTACAGTGGTGAAATGAGTCTTGACTTCCCTGTGCAAGAGCAGACTTGCCTGGGTGGCATCCTCGCAGACGAGATGGGCCTTGGCAAGACCATCGAAATGCTTTCCTTGGTCCACACGCACAAGTCGCCGGAACATGAAGGCGCAATTGGTGAGACCGACGCAAAAGTGGATGCTGTCAGTACTCTCGCAAGACAGCCCATGGCCTCGTCCACTGTGAAGCGTGCACCTGCTACGACATTGGTCGTTGCACCTATGTCGCTGCTTGCACAATGGGCAAGCGAAGCTGAAAAGGCATCCAAAGCTGGGTCGCTGAAGGTGCTTGTCTACTACGGCAACGAGAAAGGAGTGAATCTGCAGACCATCTGCTGCGGATCCAACATCAGTTCGGCGCCGAATGTCATCATTACAAGTTACGGTGTCGTGCTTTCTGAATTCAACTCCGTTGCGAGCACGCTCGGCGGTAATCGAGCTTCATCGGGAGGCTTATTCGGAGTTGAGTACTGGCGCATCATTCTCGACGAGGCGCACATGATCAAGAACCGGCAGTCAAAAACAGCTAAGGCTTGCTACGAGCTGGCAGCAACCCATCGTTGGGTATTGACCGGAACGCCAATCGTCAACAGGCTTGAAGATCTCTTCTCGCTGGTACGATTCTTGCGCGTCGAGCCCTGGAGCAACTTTAGTTTCTGGAAGACGTTCATCACGATCCCATTCGAGAAAGGTGAATTTGTGCGTGCCCTAGATGTTGTACAGACTGTCCTGGAGCCACTCGTTCTACGTCGAACCAAAGATATGAAGACTCCAAGCGGCGAAGCACTGGTGCCTCTACCCAATAGGACGATTGATGTCGAGAAGATAAAGCTGTCAGACCCTGAGAGAGATGTATACGAGCACATTTACACCAGAGCGAGAAGGACTTTTAACCACAATCTGGAGGCCGGCACACTGATGAAAAGCTACACGACCATCTTTGCACAGATCTTGAGGCTGCGGCAAAGCTGTTGTCACCCGATCTTGACACGAAACAAGACAATTGTTGCCGAGGAAGAAGATGCAGCTGCAGCTGCAGATACCGCCAATGGACTGGCTGACGACATGGACCTGGGCGCACTGATCGAGAAGTTCGAGGCTGATGAAGGCGAAACCGATGCAAGTAAATATGGCGCTCATGTGCTGAAGCAGATCCAGGATGAATCTGAGATGGAATGTCCCATCTGTAGCGAGGAGCCTATGGAAGAACAGTGCGTTACTGGTTGCTGGCATTCTGCCTGCAAGAAATGCTTGCTCGACTATATCGAACATCAGGCGTCCAAGGGCGAGCTACCAAGGTGTTTCAATTGTCGCGAGCCTATCAATGCCAAGGACGTTTTCGAAGTCATCAAACACGACGATGATGCAGACCTGGACGAAAGCGATGTCCTGAACGCTGCGATAAATGTTGATGAAGATGATGATGAGCTCTATTCCAGCAGCCAGAAGCAGGTTTCCACTCCGAAGAAGAGCACGAGGATCTCGCTGCGCAGAGTCAATCAGCTGTCATCTGCCAAGATCACGGCCTTGATCACAACTCTCAAGCGTCTCAAGAAGCAGGAACCAACGACAAAGTCAGTTGTGTTTAGCCAATTTACTTCCTTCCTCGATCTACTTGCACCAGCTCTCACTGGTGCCAATATACAGTGGCTGCGTTTTGACGGTAGCATGACCCAGAAGGAAAGAGCGAAAGTGCTCAATGAATTCGCGAATCGTCCGAAGTTCACGATCCTGCTACTCTCGCTTCGCGCTGGTGGTGTCGGCCTCAACTTGACTTGCGCCAAGCGGGTATATATGATGGATCCTTGGTGGAGCTTCGCGTTAGAGGCGCAGGCTATCGACCGCGTGCATCGAATGGGACAGACCGAAGAGGTGGAAGTCAAGCGGTTCATCGTCGAGGGAAGCATTGAAGAGAAGATGCTAAAAGTTCAAGAGAGGAAGAAATTCATGTGAGTATCATGCTGTCCACTTCAATTATCTCCACCATTACGACCAGTGATACTAATGTGTGGATTAGTGCGAGCTCCCTTGGCATGATGAGCGACGAAGAGAAGAAGTTGCAACGCATTGAGGACATCAAGGAACTGCTTAGCTAATAGTCCGAATGCATCACCAAGAGTGAAAGGAGTAGCTACGATCGAGCAGAAAGCCATAGCAAGCACGATATCCATCAGCTCCACCACTTTCCAAGCACTGCAGGAGAAAGGCTTCATTGTGCTGGAGGACAACGTCATGCCTGATACTTTGCGCGAGAAAGCCCGAGATTCAAGCCCTCATTGTTCATCGTAGAAGCTGACAGTCTATACTTGGAACTTCTCTTCGTCCATATTGCACTATATAGCGCCGACGTTGGGACAACCAAGCAAAGCATCAAGGTACTCATGTCTCAATTGCAACTGCGCTATATCGTCAAGCAGCATTCGTATACTTTCTTCTTGCTTCGGCATTAAACACGGCTTCCATTGTCACGAGCACGGCCTCTCGATCTTCCGGCAGCATGTGATACGGGTTTCAGCGGCTATTGTCGATCAGCAGACGATAGCACAAGTGTAAGTGAACGACTGCTCTCAATAGGCCAATCGGAAGCTCTGCGGCTTAATAGTTGTCACATGCGAGTGAAGCTGCTCGAGCTAGCGTGGTGAATGCTTCTGCTGCCACGCACAAAAAGACTTTCCAACCTGCTTCTTCAACCTAATACTTACATCAGACACACATCGAAGACCAGCAGGCATTAGCGAGCCATCTCCAGGCCTCCAACACAACTACAGACAACCAAGACATACTACCTCAGACCTTGTCTCATTCACTGGAACCAAGTACCACCTTAGCGCCTCTAATACTTAATCCCGACAGCAACACGAGTAAGTAGTATTACCTGTTCCAGTATAAACATGGAAGCTAATTGCCACAAAGTGTCCTCCTCCTACAACCAGTTTCTCGGCACTGCTGTCGGTCCTGACGTCCGCCTCCCTCAAATCCCAATGGGTGCGCGCGAAATCCTTACCTTCTTCCCAAACCATACACAATGGTTCGACGTCATGAAGCGATTGATGCGCAACCATTTCAGCACCGAAGAAATTGCTAGGGCACAGCTCCACGCCCGAGGCACTCTGACGAAGGACAACCGTGATAGGCGTGATCAAGCCCTTCGCCATCAAGTCAGCACAGGCGGCAAGACAGCCTACGCCGACGATGACTGGACCAAGAAGCGCTGGGAGGCGAGCAGTCACCCAGACTCGAGGCCATATACCGAGGCATTCATCACGTCTACTGCGCCCTTCACAAACATTTACGATGTGACCGGCTTGAGACCAAATGATCCCACCCGTCGAGTTGCGAGTGCACCAGCCCTTCGGGACGTCATTCAAAGCGTTGTGAACTGGCCGACTGGCGAAGATGCTGGTCCATTGACACAAGCACTTCTTTGGGCCCGCCGTCAAGGGCAAACTTACCTTGCTACCCATACGCTGGATGATATACCAGCTATCATCACGACTCAAGGCTTCACATACCCGACTGACGCTACAAATAGCCGTGCCTGGGATGCACGTGCTCGGAAACGCCTTAATCAGACGGTTCCGAAGCCGGCATAGGCTAGGATTATATGCAAGGAAGGAGGGTAGGAGGAGCCATTTGTTTACGAGCTGCATAATGTGCGATAAAGGACAAGTATGATGGAATTTGGGCGTTCTTTCGTTTGTCAGATTCACAAGCGGGCATTTGAGGTGTTTGAATTACTGTCACATGCAAGGCTTGGCGTTAGCTTTAGCGACTTTCCGCATTCTACGTAGCCACGGAACGATCAGTTCTAGTCACATGTAATACTTTTCGTGTCCCATGAAACCATTCTGTTCCTTAAATAGCCGCTTTCACGTTGCTTTTAAAATTGAATCTGGGAATGCAAAGCTGCTCGTACTTAGCGAAATTTGATCAAATTCGTATTTCGCTCTTTTTAGAGGAGTATACTCACGAGCTCAGATAGAAATTCAGCAGTAGGTAGAGAATGATGAGATCCTAGAGATGGAGATCCTAGGCCGGGTGAGAAGACGCAAAACCTAGCAAAATCTCCTACAAGCTTGCCAAATTCCACGCTTCGCTCTGTACGAGAGAGTTTATAGACGCACTTTGCTTCAAAGCCGAGAGAAGAAGGAACGGTAAAGTTTTTTAGAGATAAGGGTTGTAAGTAAGGTGAGATAATGTAAATTCACGTAGAATTTAATAAAATTCATCGGCCGCTCTACCGAGAGCACCTATATACGGACTTCGTTTCACAGTTACCACTAGCTAGGAACAATAAAGCGCTAGAGATAGTGAGGTAAGAACACATTAATTCATGCTTTCTAGGAATAATCTGGAAAAAGAACTTAGCGATAGTTATCCGTATTTGCTACTAGCTCCGCAAAGGAATGTCTATACATACTTCCCGCTTCAAAATCAGTAGTATATGAGTATAACGGAGTACTAGAGATCTGCATCGAAGCAAGGTAAAAAGGGGGCAGACAGGGACTCTTTAGGAATAATTTGGAGAATAGACTTAGCAAAAGTCAGCGAAAATCGCCTAGTTTTGCGATTAGCTCTACACAAGCAAGTCTGACTATGATTTCCATCTCGCAATCGGTAGTGACTACTGCGGACATAATGCAGGAGATGTTTCACCAAGTGAGGTGGAATGGGGCATAATTAAACCTTTCGGGGAAGCTTTAGAGAAATGACTCGGAGAAAATGACCATGTCTACGGGCGGCTCTTCGTGAGTTAAGCAAACTGGGCGTTCAATGCTTCAATCAGTGAAGTCTAGAAACGATCTGTTACGAGAGATGCAGCCACGGGTGAGGTGAGGAGACCCCAGGTCTGGCTTCTTAGGAATGCTTTGGTGGTTTGACATAGCAAAAATTGCTTCGAGATAGGGTCAAGTTCGTGTAGGATATCCTGCACAAGGTCGTTAAATCAGATGCACAGCTCTTGGTAAAGCGAAAACTCCTCGGAGCTGGTCCAGCTTACTCGGACCGTGAGCATGCGAGAGCGATACACAAAGCTCACTGGTGGTCGAGCTGACTCTAGTCAAGGGTGTGAGACTGGGCTCTCAATGCCGTAGCCCTAGCGATGCAAGATAACGATGTTGCCAGAGCGGTGGCGGTGTTGGAATCTCGTACGAATGTGAGCGAATGCCCTTCTTACTTCGTTCCAATGAGATTAGCTCTGCTGAAGAGAATCCTCTTGAGCTGTGGAGAGTCCGATCGTAGCATTTGATCTGATTTGCGCTCAGTGGAGCTTTTCACGAAAACGAGATGCCCTTCATGGATCACGTCCCTGGTCCACAAGTCCACTTCAGTCATGAACAATGCTCAATGCGACTCACTCCCAGGCTATATAAAGTCAGAACGAAGAGAGCAGAGGAGAGGCCAAGACTTGTCCTTAGGTGAGCAAGTATAAGGGTCTCGATGAAAGCACAAGCGCAAGACCAAGTCTCGGTACAATACCACCAACGCTGGCACCCTCGCCCCAGCCTCTAAGGGCAAAGGCAAGGCCTCCTCCCCACCAGCCCCGACACCCGCCCCTGCAAAAGGCAAAGGCAAGGACAAGAAGAAGCCACCGCAAATCTGGACTGGCAAGCCCTTCACACGGCACTCACTTCCTGCCTTGGAATTGATTAGCCCCTTACGAGAGGTATGATCTATGCTTTTTAAGCAACAGGCGTGCACTCTCGGAGGAACAATTGCTATTGAGTGCAATCGCATCGGTGTGAGAAGGTCTGGGATCTCACTTGCTTTGACTGGAATTTGTACTTAGGAATTTGGCTTATTGAGTTGTTGAGAAGTAAGCTCCTCAAAGCAAGGAAGATCCAAGCTTGGTTGATCGACCACATAATGTTTGATTTTTCTTGCTAATTCGGAGCTGAGCTGGTATTACTAGGCGTGAAGGGCGCGGAGTACACCTCGACGACTTCGGGATGTTGCTCGATAGCCTTCGCAGCTCTAAAATGAGTGCAATAGCAGAGTCCGTCGTATGAAATCCACCCGTTTCTCTCTACCCGGGATGGCGAGCAGGGACTGCTCGTTGCAAGGTGAAGGCGTAGTGTCTCTGCGTTCAAGGTGTGTAACGTGCTTCGTGTATCTCGGCTCTCCCCGTGAGCGTATACTGAGCGTCTGAATACGAACTCATATCAGTTCACTACCTTTGAGCTTTAGGAGACGAGTCATTCTGATAACGCGAGTAGTTGGGAGCTTCACTCGTTTACGCCGATTCAATTCCTTCCTCGCCTGATGGCTCCGCCTCGTAGCCCTCTTCATAGGGTCCAATGTCGAAGCCACTAATATTGGGATCTTGGAATTCATCGGACATTTCGAAAGGGCATGTCTGACGCTGTTCACCGCACAGTGAAGGCAAACCCCCTCTCCACCAATCGTTGCTCCATCTATGGCCACTTGTTGATGGCCAGTTGTGGAAATGCACAATACTGGGAGTCTCTTTCGTAACCAGAGTTGCAGGATTCAAAATTGTGAGAAGCTGTGTACGAGTGCGTCTTGACCCTGGAAGAGCGATTTGGTCTGACTTGGCTGGACTGCAAGAAGTAGGATGTACTTACTACATCAGAAATGCTGTGACCTGGATTGTTAATGAGTCAGAGCTGCAAGAACGATGTGACGTGAATTTCGGGCAAAACGACTCAGTCTGATCCGACTCCAAGTCGTGGGCATGGGCATCTTCGAGCGGACTGAATTGAAGGCCTGAGATCTGACAGTCCTCACGGACTCATTTTCGTCCTCTTCCACGCCCTCTCCCTCTGCCAGGCAGTCGTCCTTTCGCGCTCTTCGCTCTCGTACTTCTGGGCGCCGGAGTGCTAGCTCGACTTTCCTCCTCACTCCCCTCCTCTTCATCTTCATTCTCTTCCTCGCCTCCTTCTTCTGCCCCCTCTTCCGGCTCTGCTTCACTGCCTTCTCCCTCATCGGCAGCACTTTCTGCCTGCCTTGCGCTTCTTCGCGTCCCCTTCTCGCTCGCTTTTCCTGTGCTTCTCCTGCCGCCCTTGCCTTTCCTACTGCCCGGCGTTGCAGCCTCACTTGGTTCAATGCTAAACGAGGGCATGAACTTCACGGGAGGCTCCTCGGCAAGATTGATATCGGGTAGTTCTGGCTCGCTGTCGCCATCTTCGTCTGCTTCCTCCGGACGTGTTGGTAGTCGTCGCTTCCACATGTCCTCTTCAAGTCCATCCATACCGCTCGGATCGAACTCCTCGTCGTCGATCTTGTTGTCCGCCTCCGAGTAGGCATCTGCGTCGGCGAGTACTTCTTCTTTCTCCACTTCCGCTGGACCTTCGTCTACGAGCGGGTTCTCCAGCTTGGGCAATTGCCTTGCATCTTCTCTTGCATCAAGCGCTGACAAGTCGTACAATGTATTGAGCTTCGCCCAAATGCCGGCGGGTCTCGTGTGCGCATTGGACGGGTGGATATACCTATTTTCCAGCAGCCAGGCATGGAGAGCCATGAGGCGAAAGTGCTTGTGGATCCCGGTCGGCTTCCATCGCATCATGCCCTTGTAAAGTCCGATCTCCTCCTCATCCGTCCATGGGTCGTCCAGTCGTGCTTCGTCGTCTTTCACGGGTGATGAGTTGGGCTCCGCACTTCCCGCTGGTGTCGGCGTCTTGGTTTGTGAAGGGGGAAGGGGGTCGGGAGAAGTGGCCTGCGATGTGCGCGCTCGCTTTCGTGGAGGCATTGTGAAAGTCAAGCACGGTCCAACACAATTCAAATGGCCCGGCCGTATATGCCTCTTCACATGCTTTCACATGAAAATGTCGAGGGAGGTGAGGGTTGAGGCCCATGTCCCCCATCGCTTGTCGCGTACCCATGCCTGCAACACGCGACCGTGACGTCGATCAGCCGATCTCCGATAAGCTCCACCGCACGGCCGCGTTGCCAACTTCGAGCGCTTGTTTCTGTTCTCACCAAGATGGCGGGAAACACTTCACCTGAGCGGGGGCAAAGGCCTCATTTCTCCTTCCGGAAGCTCAACTGAAGCTTCGAAACCCTCCATCGCCCTAGCCTGGCAATTACCAATTCCTCAATTTCTCCCTAATAGCTCCAGCCATGGTGAACTGGACGCGGTAAGCGGCGCGACCAGGCCTCCACCTCCTCTACCAATCTACTGACATATCATAGATTCTTCGATTGGAACGATCGTGACCACTCACACACTCTCCACGATGAGCTCTCCCGCCTCCTTCCGTCCCATCGTGAGGAGACGATCCCTTCAGCCATCCCCGCCAAGCAAGTCACATTCACAGCCCTGCGCTTGAAGTACCAGCTTGAGCAAGTGATTCCCTGCGAACTGCCCGAAGAACGCATCACCGCGCCCCATTCCGATGTCATCACTCCAGCAGTCATCAAGACTGCCAAGTCTGCAGGAAAGGTCTCCGGAAGCGACGAAGACCACGGAGCATGTGTCGTCTACTGCCTGCTTATGGTCAAGCATTGGTTCAAGCGACAGGCACTGCTTGAGCTTTGGGATGCAGATCTGCATGAACTTCGAGCGACAGCATGCGAGGTTCTGGCCAAACACATCATTGAAGACGAGGATGACCTGAACTACCTCATGCAAGAAGTCCTGCTCAAGCGATATGCAATTCTAGTCGATGGCGAGGACACTAAGCCTGCCAATGCTATAGAAAAGGCTGTAGACTTGCATGCCGTTAGAGTCATAGGCAGTTCAGGCTATCAAAAGTGCGTCAATCATCTCTGGAGAGGATGGTTGGTGCAAGATGAGGACGATCCGAGCAGGTATGCAGGTTATGTCTCCGAAGAGCTCACTACTAATCATTTCAGCAGGTTCATCGACTACAAGCTGAAAACTTCGACGAATTACTGGGACCACTTCGATCCAGATCGAATGCGAGTACCACAGTATCAGAATGCTTTGCAGGTCCTCATCTCCCTCGTCTTTCTCGGCCTATACACTGGTGCAATTAATACCATCAACGCCGGAGGAGAGCTCGATGTTGTTGAAGGTCTTCTCTACATCTTCACCGCCGGCTTTATTTGCGACGAGACATCCAAGTTCCTCAAGATTGGTCGGTTTTATTTTGGCTTCTGGAATATCTTCAACACCACCCTATACGCACTCTTGGCTGTATCCTTCGTCCTGCGCATGGTCGCTCTAGGACACGAGTGGCAGTCGCCTCGTAGGTATCGCCTGAACGAGCTGTCCTACGACTTCTTGGCTTTCTCCGCTCCAATGTTCTGGATGCGCCTCATGCTCTACCTCGACAGTTTCCGCTTCTTTGGTGCAATGCTCGTTGTGCTAAAGGTCATGATGAAGGAGTCGCTTATCTTCTTTGCGCTCCTGTTCATCGTGCTGGTAGGCTTCTTTCAGGGGTTTATAGGTATGGACCAAGTCGACAAGCAGATCACAGCTTCCCAGTTCATCTTTAAGGCGATGCTCAACGCCATTATGGGAGATCCCGACTTCGACAACTGGGACAACTTCGCGCCTCCCTTCGGACTAATCCTCTACTACATTTACAACTTCGTTATCATCGTCATCTTGCTGAATGTCCTCATTGCGCTCTATAACTCGGCGTACGAAGACATCACAGGCAATGCGACTGATGAATATCTTGCACTTTTCGCGCAGAAGACTATGCAGTTCACGCGAGCACCGGATGAGAACGTGTTCATCGCGCCCTTCAACCTCATCGAGATTTTCTGCTTGATACTCCCCTTTGAATGGTGGATGCCGAAAGTACGTTACGAAATGCTGAATGACATTGTGATGGGCGTGATCTATTCACCCTTGCTTGCCATCACTGCGCTTCTCGAAACACGAACGGCACGAAAAGTCAAATTCAACAGATCCCGGCAAGAGTCTGACGATGATACGATCGAGGAATGGGAGCAGCTTGAAGGCGAACTCGATATTGAGGGAAGTGGATGGAGCAAGCGAGTGGAAGATTCCTGCCCGAACGTGGTGGTGGATGGCACGCTGCTGGCTGTAAGGCAGTTGGCCGAAGAGCTCAAGGAGGTCAAACAGCTACTTCGCGAGCTCACGCCTGGTCCTGAATCAGAGTCCAAGAAGCTTGCAGATGGTCCCTCAACAGAACTGTCTAAGCTTGATCCCTGAGCCCGGTTTGTGCCTGCACAAGAATGGAAATGGCCTTTGATCCTTACTGGATATGATACCCCTGCTGTACGTATGATTGTATATAACGAGTGTGCTGAAACTGGAATAGCCTCAGCGCGCCTCCTTTTCCCTTCCAATTGTGGATCTTTCAGAATCTCCTGAATCGCTCGTGTTCGACGGCTTTTGCTCGTGCTAGCACAGTCAACGGTCTTTATTGAAGATGGCAAACCTAGAGCGAATGACCCGGTGTGAACATCGCCTGTCCACCTTCGGAAGCTCATCAAGCATTGGCTTTTGTTGAACCCGAGCTTGTGCTCGCGCTTCCTCCCTTGAAGAGACAAACCGACTGCAATGAAGGCTGGGAAAGAGAATTGAGCAGAAAATATTAACTCTCGTGAACACCTCCTGTCTTGCGAGAAGAGCGAGCTTCAGAAGCGATCATTGGGCACGATATTGCGCATGTCGGTCCGGCATCATCCACACGAGACATGGTTTGTGACACCTCAGAATTACCGGTGATAATTCTCACAGGCACTATCGAGTCTTCTGAAAATCACAGGCTATGAGTGAATCAATGCAGACTGTGTTGCGGAAAGCTATTCTTGCCTGTAAACTGGTCTCAAATGCAAGCACACGGACACAGTCTCATCTTCGCAGCTTCGAAGGCAGCTTGAGGACGGCGAGCGAGGATGCAGTATCGCTTGTCGAGCAGTCTATGAGAATTTTCTTGCCCGGGTCGGATGCAAGGACTCCTTTGCCATCTTCGAGATATACAGCTCTGACATGACTGCCTTCAGGCACCATACTGAGAATGAAGTCCGACTTGTCCGCTACCTCTTTACTACTCTTGCAAGCGTGCACCATTTTCTCTTATCGTTTACAAGTGTGCTGACGTTCTCTTCAATAACATCAAAGACGCAGAAATGAGTACCGCTGTCCATTTTGCTGACGAGGCTTTTTGCTATAGGAATTTCCTGGGCCGATCCAGCCGATGGTCTTTAGGAGTTGCTCAGCCATCGTCATTGCTTTGGTCGATATCGTGACGCGTGTACAAGCGTGTAGAAGGAGGGTAAGCCATCTTAAGGCTCGGCAGACGACGACCTCGTTAAGATAGCCGTGTAGTGGAGAATTGATTGCAAATACCCTGGAGGTGAGAGTATGTATGGGGCCCCGCGAAGCTCGGACCAGGCCGCCAAGCACCTTCTAACAGCACGTTCCCTCTCCGCTCTCCTGTACACCCTTGCAATACATTATTCTGCCAGGTGTAGCTGATGAAAAGCAAGCAGCTGAGCGTCAATTCGAGCAAAATTTCATTCTCATGGCAGCCACTGATCCCTTAAGGTGCCGTGATGCCAGCTTCTTTTGGTACGGAGGTTTATTCCCAAACGGTCGAACCGCACGTGAATGTCCCGCCATGGGACTGGAGATAGAAGCCCGCAGAATCTCCCTTCTGCCCAACCCAAGTACATCTGACACGCCTCCAGACTTGACCGCGATTTATCTGATTCCGCAAGGACACAACTCATAATGACAGGAACCTCAACGAGCACCATCGTCCCAAGACAGCTGGCCATTGGAGTCGTCGGTCTTGGCCGGATAGGTCGACAGCATGCTTTGAATGCATTGCATCATGTTCCACGCACCAAGCTTCTCTGCGCCTGTTCGCCAATGGACCAAGACATCGAATGGGCCGAGGAACATCTTATCCCTTATGGAGTCAAGATTTATCGATCTTTTGAGGAGATGCTACACCACCCTGGACTCGAAGCGCTACTCATAGCTAGCACCACGAAAGTACATTACGAGCAAGTTGTCGCAGGTGTCGAGAAGGGCCTTCATGTTCTTTGCGAGAAGCCTTTAGCCATGAATTCTGAGCAAAGCCGGAAGATCTTGGAATTGACGAAAGACGCGAAGTATTCTCAGCTGAAGGTCATGACAGCCTTCTGTCGTCGTTTTGATGCTTCGTATCAAAGGGTTAAAGCTACGATCGAGTCTGGTGGCATTGGAGCACCTGTGTTGATACGCTGCGAGAACCGGGACAAGTACGACCGTAGCGAGTTTTATATGCGGTACATCATGGCAAATCCCGGAATCTTCATCGACACTGCCGTTCACGACATCGATCTCACCTTATCGTTCCTCGGATCTGGGGCCAGGCCAAAGAGTGCACACGCAATAGGTACTATCGCTTTGCACAAAGAGCTAGAGCAGATTCAAGATGTCGACAATGCTGTTGGCACAGTAGAGTGGTATCCCTCAGACAATGCTGTCGTTAATCCAATTTCTAGCTACACAATTAGTCGGATTATGCGTCATGGCTTTGACAATCCAACTGAGATTATCGGCACTGAAGGTGTCCTCAAGGTCAATCTTCACCCACGACGTGACCTTGTCGAAATAGCTGATCGGAAAGGAATCGGGAACGACGTAATGCCTGATTTCTACGAGAGATATGAGAAGGCTTTCGTGACCGAATTGGCTGTTTTCGCAGACTGCGTTCTAGATGGGAAGCAGCTGCCATATGAGCTTGATACAGCAGTCCTGGGCATGGAAATCGCTGAGGCATTACAAGAGAGCTTGCGAACGGGGAGAAAGATCGAGTGGGATGAAAGTGGGCATCGGAAGTGAAGCTTAAAGAATTTGTTTGGTAACATCGTGGCTGTTGGAACAAAGCACTAGTGGGTCTTGAACGGGCCCTGGGAGGTCTGGTCGATTGGCAAGGTGACGGAGTCGCCAGAGTACTCAAGAAGCTGCGAAAGATTCAGCGGAGGATAAAAGGCTCGGGAAGATGGTACGTACCTCATCGTCTAAATTTCTGCGAGTGCTACGCCGAGAACGAGTTGTTCAAGGAGACTTAGATCGCTCGCTCGCTCCTGACTTCCAATTGCAAATCTGTCGCTTTGTGCCGCTCTTTATAGATGGCAATCTGGAAATGTGGACAAAGGAGAACTAGGAAAGACCATACCACGATCTGGCCGATCACGGCATACACCGCTTTGAATGAGGGCCATTCGGCGGCCACTGCTCTCATTAGAGTCGCTGAGCATGAGTTACCTACCTAAAGAGGCATCAATTAGCAAAAGATCAGCTCAGAACACTGAGGCTCATAGCACACTTCACCGGGACGCCGGCATATGTGCTCACACGGTTTCAGCACAGATCTGTCCTCTGATCACAAGAGGGCAGGTTTTGGCTGCGCCTTTTTAGGGTCAGGCTTGCTTGCAGTCTTCTGACTCCGCTTGCCAAAACGCGCCAAAGTCTCCTGATCGTGGTTGCGCTGAACGCCGCCCAAGTCCAGGACAGGCAAGGTGCCGAGATCCTCAAGCACTGTTTTCAGTGTGGCCAGGTCATCGGTGGTCAGGTCCGGGTATGTTGCCTCATTCTCCTTCCACAGCTCTAGACATGCTGTGAATACGCCCCTATCGTTGCCGGTGGGAAGCTTGTCGACAGAGTTATAGATCTGCCTGAGAGGCTTTGGCTCTTCGGTCGTTCGAATCCTAGCGTTGGGATCATATGAGCTCTTCAGCTTCCACGTAGCTGCAGTCATATCATCCTGCGAGCCTTTCAGCTGAGCAGTTTTCTGGCTTGTGGTGCCGTGAAGAATTTTCAACGCAGAAGCCTTACTGTGCTTGTACCTCTCGTTGGCGTCATGGAGGTCTTTGAAGTCGTAGTCGTTGAATCCTGCCATCTCCATCTCGGCCAACGTCCAGCAGTCAAAGCCGTTCAGGAGAGCTCGCTCCATAACAATTGGTCGATGGAAGCATTTCGGCAAGAACCGGCAGATTTCGACAATCGTGAACTGCATATCGGCAGGCAATTTGACATTGTCGGGAACATGATTCCTAAGTTTGCTGCCTTTCACGGGCTGCTTCGATACGTTGTCGTTCTGGGAGGTGACAGTCCCCCGATTCCTCCCCATACCTGTCTCTTGATCCTGGCGCATTCGCTTCTGCGGGTAAGGCTGGGAGACATCCGTGATCTCGGCTTGCGCAAACCTGCGCTTACCATCACCTGTCGCTGGTGCAGCAGGTAACGCGGTCTGTTGAACGCGCTCGGCTCCGTGCAGATTTTCTGGTGGATAAGGTCGTTGATCTGGGAGAGACTCGGCGGCTGGATCCTGATCCAACGAGTGATCTGGCTCTGTGGTCTGAATATACTCCGCATACCCGTCGCTATTAGGAGTATCCGGCAGAACATAGCCGGCCAGAATGCTGTCCAGCTCGTTATGGATGGTAGAAAGAAAAGAATCGGGCGCATTCGAGTCGAAGTTTGGCTGGCGCTGGCTAGTAGTTCGCGTCAAGTCGGTCGAGATCGTTTCTTCATGTCCTTGCTGTGGCTGATCCTGATTCCAGAGAAACGCATATCGTCCGAAGACCTCTGCAATCTTGAAAGCGTCATGTCCAGCATCGTCCATGTCTCGAGAGAAGTCCTCGAAACGTGGATCCAGGAGCTCAAGACGGTCCATTTTGAGCGCCTTCTCTATCGCTTTTGCTAGTCTTCAACAAGTGTATTGCTTACTAATGGAGATGTCCACTTTCTGCAATCAAGTGTCCGTTGGGGTGTCTTGTGTTGCAATCGTAGCTAAGGGTTGTTGGGTCGACTCCCAAATACGGGAGAGAGATGCTTAAGAAGTACAGCGCAACATCGCAAGTGAAGGTCTGGGGCGCTTCACAATCCATTGTCGAATCATTTTGAGATTTACTGCTCAGCTATTCACTTCGAGCACATAGTCAAGAGTCCTCCCTCTATGCGATGAGCACGTATTTCGACAGGCTGATGGGGTGCCAAAGTGTTACACAGTCCTTTGTTCTGATACCCTGGTTGAAATACAATTCATTGTTCTTTGAAGCACACGCGGATGTTCGCAGACTTTCTGAGCGAGCTTGGATGCATCTGTCTGCCCGGAATATGGTGTCCAGTAGCGTGCAGAGTTCAAATCCGGTCCCGTAGTCTCGAGTATGACCAGCGGTCCAATCTACTACCCAAGAGGCTTGCTGATGGGCGTCCATATTATGTAAATTTGGAGCAAGCATCCTCGTAACTCTTTCCAGGTCTCGTGGGCACAGGCTGGGGATTGTCCACGACGGGAGGCTCAAGTCACATCAGAACTAATAAGATGTGTGCCGGACGCGGCTACAGCTCCAAGGATTTCCATTCTACAAATATGTCTCTCCTAAGACTCTACTTTCTCAAACACGTAATTATGCAATCTGATAGTCTGCGCCATCCCCTTCACGAACTTTTCACTGAAGTCGTTCGAACTGCTTGTGAAGAAGCTCCGAAGCTCTGGCTGGGCAGACGGGCTTTGCATAAGTTGGCAAAGACGTCTTTTGTATAAGAAACCCACCAGAACCCTAATCTTGCCGGCGAACGCTCCGAGCGGAAGAGTTATTACAAGGGATAGATGATGTTGTACAAGTTTTTGGTCCCCAATCTCACTTCTTATGCTGCTCTCACCTAACCCCTGCGATATCTTCATATTTCCTTGCTCTTTCATATCTGCTCATATCACTGTGCCTGCCACTGCTCCGCCTCCTTGATCCCGATACCTCTTCTCGTTCATCATCCCATGCCACATGCCCGCCGTCGCTCGATCTACGATAGGGAGAGCCTGACTGGTACCATTGGTAGGTGTCACCTCTGTCAGGCGCAGCATCTCCGCTGCCAGAGCGATAACCCAGACTCATGCTTTGGTAACCAGGACTCGAGCGACTGCTCACATGAGTCCTCCCAGTCTTTCTAATCTCGGATGTTGGGGGAAGAGGTGGTGTCGGAGCCGGTTGCAGGGTAGGAGCAGACTGTTCCGTAACAACGTTACGCCTCATGCTGCGATAGTAGTTACCCTCTTCCTCGTGCGCGTACCTCTCCCCCAAATTGTCCTGTGATATGTTCGGGCGGACCTTGCCGGTGCGAATGATTCGTGCAAATTGGGAATAGACACTAGCGAGCAAGGCCCCGAGGAAAGGTCCTGCCCAATAAATCCAGTGAGAGCGCGGAAAGTCCGATGTGACTGCGCATGGCGCAAATGAGCGCACAGGATTGAGAGAGGCGCCAGTGTACCCCAGGCCAGCAAATATGCCAACGAAGAGAGCAAGTCCGATTCCCAAGGGCGCCATGAAGCTTAACGCGCCTGTTCTCGGCACAAATATTATGGCAACAATGACCAGGAGTGAAGTGAGAAACTAGCAGTCTGTCAGACCACGAACGTCTTGAGGAAGAAAAGGAGCTTTGCTTTTACCATTTCCAGAAACAAGCCTTGCGCAACAGAGGTGCCTGCAGTGAGACTTGTGTACACCCTTCCCATGTTCCCGATGGGTAAAACAATTCTCACGACAGCGGCTGCTGTAACGCCGGCGAGTAGTTGTATCGGTATCAGAAGAGCTGCTCTGGTGCTGGACAACACTCCGGAAAAGGTAAGTCCAAGAGTTACGGCAGGGTTGAACATGCCACCGTTGATGCCTTGCAAGATGAGAGCGTTGATGAGCAGCCATAGTCCGTAAAAGAATGCGTATGCGAAAGCAATAGTTAACACTGTGATGGTGTCTGGAGGTTTCGTCGGATCGGATTGTGCGGTGGCGGTAATATGAAGCATAAATGCGAAGAAGAGGAACATAAAAGTACCTCCGAATTCCCCCATGCACGCGATGAGATGTGATCGAATTGGTGAACTTCTGGCCGAGGATGCTACGTCCCCTTTCCCACCATTATTGCGAGAGGACTGTTGCATGTTATGAAAGAGACTCTGAAAAGAATGCTAGTGGAAAAGGAATGGTCAAAAGGATGGAGACGCAGTTCGCTGGCGCGCGCATTTGGCATGTGATTTTGCAGAATCACGTACACTGTTTTATACGGCGGATGTTCTCGCCAGCCTCCTGTGTTGTTGGTCGGATAGTCGTTGTCGAGGTGAGCCACGAGCGGTTACGATGTCAGTGCACAAAACTTTGTTCTTGTGTCCAAGATGGGCACAGGCGAACATGGGTGCGGCTTGAAGAAGTTGGTCGGTATGGTCTCTGACAGCCCTCAACACCGTCGACAGATGCCATCATGCCCGATCTTTCGGCATTCTGCATGGAACTGCTAGAAGGCTTCGTCTTCGTCTGCTTCCGGCGTTCCGCAGAGGTGGTTGTGCGTGAATTAGAACATTCCGCCCGCCCAGCCGAGATGCTGGCATACCCATTCTCCCATATGACAACACTGGATGCGCTATTATCGCATTTCTATGCCTCGTCACACGATGAGACAGTCGGAATCATTGCCTACCTTGACCCTCATCCGGAATGGAGAGAAGTCGAAGTCGACTGTGTCCTATTTAGCAAATCTCTGCAAAGAACTGCTGCTGCGACGGAAGCACATTACCTCATGCTCTACAATGCGATGCAAGTGTCAGATCCGCCGTAGAGAAGAGTGAGCTGGAAGTGTAACTCTCTGAACGAGGAAAGTCGAAGAGCAGCAGAGCGCTGAGGTCATGTCTGCAAGGGGAGATTTGGAAAACATATAGTTCTATCGCTAAGA